GGAACTCTCCCATTCGGCCTCTTGGGCTTCACTCTGCTATTTGTGGCTGCCACGCTGTCTATCTGTTCATCTTATTTTCCTCATCTAATCCCACTACTTGGTGACTACTAACAGCTAGATGGACGGATAATACCTAGGAATCGCTTGTCGGAAGAGCTTCTCCAAGGACACAAGGTATAATTTTACGGATTGACGGTACGCTAAAATTCTAGACATGGGCCTTAGAATTGGAGACCTACCATATCTTTCCAAGGTTTAGACAAAATCCTTACATTATCCTCCGTAGTCAGCGGTGAAAAAGCTGGCTACCTAGGTATGGCTGTCGAATATGAAATTTTATGTACCGTCGCGATGAGTTGTACATTTGGTATAGACCTCTGATATCCTCTCGTTTTCCCCTCTTGCTCTTGATCTCTTTCTCGACCCTTTTCCATCTATCTTTGTCTTTCCGTTTTGCTCCTAGATCAATCAATTGGTCCATTACACTCTTTTTCTATATACTTAGCATTAATACCGGGACCATTCTCGCCTTTGGATTTCTCACTCATTACTACACTATACATACAGTGCGACGACGATACAATAAAGTTAATCCTATTATTTCTACTCTCTTCGAAACCGATCGCTGCGCAATACAATCAACTCCGTACGAGAGATATATATTAGACATTCATTCAGAAGGAAACAAACACAAAAGATTCAAACACGGGACGAACTACCAACTCACTACTGTCGCAGACATAGCACTCATTACCATACTAGCAAAAACGTTACGATTGCGACCAAACATCTATTCCAAGGGAGGCTTAACGAAGGAAACAAGAAGAATACGAACAAAACTATTAACACCAAACAAAAAAAAGAAAGCCGTGTACGAAGGCATTTCAGAATTGATTTGGGCGCATGGAGACACAATATGCGTCTGATTTAGAAGAATTTAGTTCGGGATGTCAAACTCTCCTTCAAGAAGGCCTTTGCATACAAGGTACGCGCAAACTTACTACCGTCATCCCATCTAGATTTTCCATAGTTTCCCTCACCTTAATTGCTTTTCCTCGCTCACAATCGCAAAAGATCAGATTCAGAGACGAATCGCTCAGCAGCGGTCCGATTGGTTCCGCCCGAACGCCCTCAACTTTTAAGACAATTGGAGGATGATGAAGGAGAACAAGCGAATGATTATTATCATGAAAATGATTTCAATAATAAGAATGATGATGATGATGATGATGATGATGATGATGATGACAAAGTTTATTCACGATCTCCTCTTCCCACCCAGTCAGCTCATATTCTCTCTCCTGGTCATTCTATTGGCAAAGGCCAATATTTCTATGGTAGGCAAGGTTCCAGCCCCGATTCAGCCGAGTTTCACCAGATGCCCAAAACGCAACCACTGCCAGCCACTCCTAGAGGCACGTCCACCGCAACGCATAACACGCATCAAATTACTACTCCTGCGACACGATCCTCAACGAGGCCCAGACCCCAGTCAAGAAAGCGTCTTGTTGTCAAGGTTGGCGACGGAAAGACATTTTCCCTCGTACCCCAAGATGAACCACTACCCAACGACGACGGTACCTCACAGTCTTTATCCACTAAAACATCATCATCCTCTGTACAAGATTTGGATCATTCTATCACCTCATGCACCAATACCGACTCCACATACACAGCCGCACCTAGTGAGGCAACACCCAGGAAGTCAATATCTGCAGATCATATAAGCTGTTCGTCCTCGGAGTTCTCGATTGTGGGTGGTGTTCGAAAAGTTCCCAAGACACCAGAAAAGGGAAAAGGTCCAGCGTTCGATTATCCTCTTCCTCCTTTGCCAGAAACTTCAGACGGATCAGAGCCCCGCTTCCATGATCTTTCTGCAAAACCATCATTCATTTCAACAACCTCAACTGCAAGCGAGGGCACTAATTGGAAAGTTTACAATCATATTCCAGAGTCGCCGACTTACGAATCTGTCCTTACTGCAACTCCCACTCAACCTAATTTTGAAGTTCTCGACGGTCAATCCGTGCTTGAACAGTCCACTCCTTCAACAACTATCTATCGTCCGCGCGAAGCGTCAATCCAAGAATCATTTCAAGAGTCAATTCAAGAGTCAGTGCAAGAATCAGTTCAAGAGTCAGTTCAGGAATCAGTTCAAGAATCAGTTCAAGAATCAGTTCAAGAATCGATCCCGGAATCAAATCAAGAATCTACAGGGACTGTAATTCACCGACCCCAAACATCTCAAACGTCTTCTGCGAGCACCTCGGATAATTCTAATTACCAAATTCACGAAGAGTCTGTCTCTGGTTCAGTCATCTATAGGCCACAGCATCGACCCCAACTATCCACTAGCACTTCCGGCTATTCGACTTCGAATTATACCAACTCAAACTATCAAATACATGAACCAGACACTCCAACTTCAGTAGTCTTCAGACCTCAACATAGACCTCAGTTATCTACAAGCACAACTGGCGATAATACTAATTACGAAATTCATCGTGGCCGTACCCGAGAACGCTCTGAATCAATTGCCGATTCGTTTCTTGCAGCATCATTTTCTAGTGGCTCCAATTACCGTGTACATCAACACTCTGATATAGATTCGATCTCATCAGTTGTCCATAGGCCTCGAGCTCGAGCAGCAACCACTTCTTCTAGCGAACACGAAAATTACGTGTTTCACGAGGACCTTTCTAGATCTATATCTCTTTCCAGTGGTCAGGGCCCAGCACCTAAGTATTCTCAAGAATCACTTCGTATTCCTGCCCTCAGAACAAAAAAGAGGTCGAACGACAATTTTGGTTACTACAAGTCAAGATCGCGAGAGACATTGAAATCGAGATCAAATCACTCGCTACGAAGTGCAGCACACAGTCGAGCTAATTCACTAGCGTCCTTATCAACAATTCACACACAACCCGACGCACAACGAGCAATCGTGGCGAGCGGATCATTAGTCAATTTATCCACTCACGCTCAACTCCAAAAGCCAAAAGGATTGAGTTCATGGGCAGAGTTGCCAAGCCCCACGAGTCCCCATATGATCGAGACTCCGCACCAATGGAGCTCACAGCTATCCACTGTGCTCTCCGTATCCGAGGGAACCGGAACCGAACGCGGTTCGCAAGCTTGGTCCGACAGCATGGGAAGAAGGAGTGTATTTGGTCTACCAAGTCGCGGCAGTCGCGGCAGTCGCAATGTTCTCAGCATCAGTTCGTCGCACGGAATCGAAGATGCCTTGTCAAGATCGAGAAGCGAATCTGTGGATCCTCCCCGTCCCGCTTGGACACGCGCTGGTCGAGGTCTCAGCAGCTCGTCTATTCCTGTTATAGGTGATCAAGATGAATACGGTGACGGAATCACTGCCATGCAAGATCTACGCACTCGTCCATCCAGAAACAGATTATCCGGCATGTTCAATGCTGGAGCATCTGATACTTCCCGTACCCACACCATGCGCTCCTCAATAAGTACCCGCTCCAACAGTTTTCTCGCAAACTCAATCCCAACGTGGGCAAGACTATACTATGGAAGTGGAGAGCGTCGGTATCTAGGCTACAGACCCGAGAGCTCCAGCGGGGGAACCCCAAGCCGCAACGGCTCATTCAGTTATGGAAGTGGTTCCCCCAATACAGAAAATTTCCCAGACGAATTATATAGTCCCCGTCGTCGTCCACGAGAAGGCCATCCACACATGCGAGGTTTTTCCCAACAATCTATGGAAATTACCCCCGTACCCAGCGCAGCCCAAGGCAACGGCGCTCTCAGAACCTGGTCTCTCATTTCCAGCGTCTGGTCTCCACATCTCCGTACCGATCGTCGGGCCGCTCGTCAATCTCTCTGGGAACCTCCGCAAATCAACTTCTCAACCGAGGGCGGTTTTTTCGGCCGTCGTAACATCCAAGTCGTTCTCTTCATTACTGGATTTCTCCTCCCCTTCACCTGGATGATCGCCGCTTTCCTCCCTCTCCCCACGAAGCCCGTCCAAGAGATGCGCGAACGCGAAGATAGTACCGGACACCTCACACAAGCGCGGGATGTAGAAAGTCGCGGCAACAATGATTATGTCAAGGAATTTGGCCCGTTGGATGAGGCACGGTATGAGAGTGCCAGGTGGTGGAGGAATCTGAATCGTTGGATGAGCGTGGTGGGATTATTGATTATCGCTGCTATTGTAAGTTTGACACTCCTATTTTGCAATCAGTGAACAGAAGGCTAATATATACCAGATCATCCTCGCTGTCATTGGCACTCGAGAGGGATGGTAATTCCATCTTAATTCCCAGCTTTATCATATCCACCTCCTTACTTCCTCCTTCGCTTTCCATTTTCCACCACCCTCACCTCACATCCTCACATCCTCACAACGACACCCAGGACCCACGGCACACAACACACGGCACAGATATAACGAACCCTTGTATATTAGAGTAGAGCCCCTCTACCCCCTCTCTAATAATGATTCTTACGACCAAATAACGACTCTCACAACAAACAGATGGGTCTAGACTTTTTTTTCACACTTTGACTTTTTATTTTTAGCGCGCGCAGATGATATATTAGCATTATACCCTTTCTTTACGGAAAGAAAAAGCTAGCTTGCTTGCTTGCATGTATGTATGTATGTTGGATAATTTTTATTATTGATGATGGTTGGGAAAAGGAGAATGCATGGGAAGGAAAGGGATGACACAGGACCTGCCATGCGATGGCAAAGGCGATGATGGCGCTATATGTGCTTGCTTTGTATATATGGATGCAACGTTGGAATGCATGATTGATAGATAGAACAAGTTGAAGAAATTTTAATGTTCATGAAGAGCAAATTATCATTCAAATCATTTTGAAATAATATATGTATTGTGAATTTCTCGTATCGTGTACGTCGGGTATATATTTGTATTCATCATGCTGCAGCTAACCAATATACATCCCTAAGCACTCCCCCAATTAAATTGCTCAAGCACGCTTTTGTACTCCTTCCGAGTGGTTCCTTACTTCAATTCTACCTTTTTTCCCTTTCTCTTCCTCGCCTGAAGCTCCGCCTTTGCTTCTTCAATTGCCTCGTCAAGATCTTTTGAGGGATCAGCCGGCAACCCAAGAACCGGTTCCTTGCCTCCTAGACTCTCCATACTGGCTGAACGTTTCAATCCCTTATCAGCCTTGCTAGTTCGCTCGCTTACCATCTTCATCAAATGCGATTTAGCAGGCGAAGCGAAGAAAGCGGTTGAAAGGGCAGTGCCGATGATAGCGTAGAAATAGACGCGTGACCAGACGAGGAATGAAGCGGGGAGAGTAAGAAGTATAAAGGGAGCGACCGTGAATGAGAATGCAAGTTGAGTTGCTAGCCACGAGAAGACATCGTAGTAGAGTTTGTGTGATGTGGGTTGAGATGTTTTGGGGTCGATGAAAAAGGGACGGAAACAACGGCGGAAGTCTAAAGATGGTCAGTTATAGAATCAATCTAGAACCAGGGGAAGAAGACGTACTCTTTGCGATGGTTTGAATAAAACTGGCCAAGATAAAGGCAAGGTAATAGCCAGGGAAGAATCCGTGCCAGAAAGCACTGGTTACGAAAGTTGCCATGCTAGCTCTGAAACCAGGCTTCTTGCCCTTTGGAGTAACTCGTAGGTAAATATAGTTTCGAAGCCAATTATTCGTGTTTATGTTCCAGTTTCCCAGATATGCGCGAGTATTTTGGGCCGTTTCCACTCCCCATGGGTCAACGTTGCAAAGCCTGTCCCAAGAGACTTTGCCAGTAACTGGATCAATACCTTTATAACCAAGACCTGAGAGGATACATGCACCCTCGGTCAATGCCCATACACCGTAATACTTCAATCTAGCAGTCATACCGACCATATGAAGAACAAAGACACGGCGAGCAAAACCATAAGTTATGTATTCATCACCAGTCAAAAGATCAGGCCAATACCACGCAGATAGCTTCAAGAAAAGTAAGATCCAACCCAAACCAGAAGCAGCTTTCCACATCGCGGGGGTACCGCTCCTTGGAATTTTTCGCAACTTTCGAGTTGGAGGTTTCTTTGAGGGATCAACACCAGCAGGCACTTCGAACATTGTGGTTTCAATCCACTGCTTATAGTCCACATAATCAAAAGCCGGACCTGCGAAGAGCGATGGAAAGAAGAGGACGTATCCAGCGTAATCCAGCAAGCTTGGTAGTTGTTTGATGGCCCGTTCCTTTTGATCTTCTGTCAATTCTTCGTCTTTCATTCGGCCATCTGCAACATTCCAACAGAATGCCGATAGTTTCATAACCATCACCATTTGAGCCCCCGTAATATCCACCACTCCTGGGTTATTAGCAAATTGTCGAGCCAGCTGGTTCACTGACATATGTGCCATCAAAAACACGAAGCCAACCCATGGCATGAAAGGACCTTGCACATATTTTGCGATACAGTATGCCCCGATAGAACTAATAGCCAGTGTTCTTGTACCACCCCATAAATCGAAAAGCCCAAGGAGGTAAAACGAGGAAACCCTGATAGTTAACAAGTCAGCAAATCGAGAAAAGAGTGTGCCTTTTGAGTACTTGACGCACCCAATGACGAAGAAATTCTTCAAATCAGGTCTCGAATCTGGAACTCGTTTCAAGAGCCCTGCGAATGGATATGATAGGAGGAAGGAAGTGATGAGTTTTACTGTTTGATGTTAGAATGAAATCCAAGTCCTTGATGTCCAATCCCCATCGTTTGCTTTAATACATACGTTCATCAGTCGAGGCTCCCAAGATGCCTGCGGCATATTCGAAAGCTGCATAGATACTTGTCAGACTACGTCACATATTGTCAAGGTAAAGCCTTACGAGCATCGATGTATGGTAACATTGTTGGAGATGGATAGTATCAATGTACTATAAATCGAAGGAGGTTGTTGAGGTACTACCGTTTCCCCATCAGTGAAGTAAGAATTGTGTTTTGAGTGACGGAAAGCCAGATAATTGTATCTTGTGAACTTCCTTGGTAATTATTTATTTATTCGTATTTGATCATGGCACATGTCATAATGGTTCGTTTTCTGCCGGGCGGTGGTGGGGTGGATCGAATTTAGTGGGATAAAGACGGGTCGTGCCTTGCTCCCGAGCCTTGCTTCCTCTGCCTTGTCCTAGCTTGACCGATTAACACTTACGAGTAAATAAAGCTCCTTCATACATGCAAATCACCTACTCCTATTATTCGAAGCCTTGTTTCAGTAACAGACTACGGCGAGTCTATACAGCATCTTCATACTTCGACAATCTACAATTCGTACGGCGATACAATACGAGTAAGACATGCCTATGCGCCCTCGACATTAGAACCCTCCAAGCTATTCGACCTTGACCTACATATAATAAACACTATGGATGTCGTTCAAGCTGTATCGGGATATATCTCGAAGATGGTGGCTGCAGGAGATGGAACTTCTGGGACACCATCTGCGAAGATGAAGGTCTTATTACTGGATAGTGATACCGTGTCCATTGTCTCTACTGCGATTACACAATCTGCGCTTTTGAACCATGAAGTATACCTCATAGATCGATTGGACAACCAGAATAGGGAGAAAATGCGTCATCTGAAATGTTTGTGTTTCGTTCGACCGTCGGCAGAGTCTATACAATTCCTAATTGACGAATTTCGAGATCCCAAATATGGTGAATACAATGTGTACTTCAGTAATGTTGTGAAGAAGTCATCCCTGGAGCGATTGGCAGAAGCAGATGATCATGAAGTGGTCAAGCTAGTTCAGGAGCACTTTGCAGATTATATCGTAGTAAATCCAGATCTATTTACATTTGATCTTGGATTTCCGAAGCAACGAATATGGAGTTCAAATCCAGACATGTGGAATCCAGATGCATTACAACGTACAACCGAGGGGCTCATCGCGGCGTTGCTATCGTTAAAGAAGAAGCCACTTATTCGATACCAAAAGAACAGTTTGCTAGCAAAGAAGTTGGCTACGGAAGTACGATATCACATCGTTCAGGAAGATCAGTTATTTGACTTTAGGAAAGTGGATACTCCTCCAATATTGTTAGTTTTAGATCGAAGGGATGACCCTATAACACCACTTCTGACACAATGGACATATCAAGCTATGGTCCACGAACTTCTTGGTATAAAGAATGGGCGGGTTGACCTTAGCGAGGTACCAGATATTCGTCCCGAGTTGAAAGAAGTGGTTTTGTCGCAAGACCAGGATCCGTTCTTCAAGAAGAATATGTATCTCAACTTTGGTGATCTCGGTGGCAATATAAAAGATTACGTCGAGCAATATCAATCAAGGACCAAGAATAGCTCGAATATTGAATCAATAGCTGATATGAAGCGCTTCATCGAAGAATACCCCGAGTTTCGCAAACTGTCTGGCAACGTCAGTAAGCATGTCACCCTTGTTGGTGAACTGAGTAGAATGGTTGGTTCAGATAATTTATTGGAAGTCAGTGAAGTCGAGCAGAGCTTGGCATGTAACGACGCTCATGCCAGTGATCTAAAAGTAAGTTCGCGGCTCCCACTTGATGCTACCTCTCATTTACTAACAAGTATTGTAGAATGTACAGAGATTAATTCAGTCTCCCAGTGTTACTCCCGACAACAAGCTGAGATTGGTTGCCCTTTACTCGCTTAGATACGAAAAACACCCATCGAATGCATTACCGATTCTTGTCGATCTCCTTGGCGCAGCCGGAAACGTCCCTCAAAGACGTATAGATCTTGTAGCTAAGCTCCTCATCTACCATTCTTCTTTGCAACTGAACCAGTCGACGGGGGGTATTACCGATATGTTCGAATCCTCAAACATATTCTCTGGGGCTCGTGACCGATTTAAGGGGCTAAAGGGTGTAGAAAATGTCTACACGCAGCATTCACCACGACTCGAGCTAACACTTCAAGATCTAATCAAAGGAAAGTTGCGTGATCAGCAATATCCTTTCGTTGAAGGTGGGGGGACAACTCGAGACAAGCCTCAGGATATCGTTATTTTCATTATTGGTGGAGCCACTTTCGAAGAGGCAAAATGTATATCTCAAATAAACGCTTCTTCGCCAGGTGTTAGAGTGGTCTTGGGAGGTACCTCAATTCACAACAGCACGACGTTTTTGGAGGAAATGGAAGATGCTGTATCTTTATGGCCTGAACCTGCTCCATCAACTGCTGCTGGGAGATTACGAAAAGAGACAGGAAGACGTTGAACAATGAGGAAGTTTAAAATTCCTAGTGACGAGATGGATATCACTTCTACTAGGGAGTTCCGCGCGATTGATGGCCGCATTTCGATGCAAGAAATCATCTTCCAGCCCTTGAATATACTTTCTGACTGGAAGTATCGTCGTAAAGATAACTTCGTTGTCATTGGAGAAATTTTTCCGAAGGACAGGATCTTCATACATATGAGGTCTTTTCAAGACATTGATTAGTGCTATTGGCACTATTTTATGAGCTATATGATCGCATGTCCAAACGCATATTTTCCAGCTGCTGTCACGATTCGCTTTAACATGTAGCCCCGGCAAACCATGAAAGTCACCTTGGGATTAACGTGGGACTAGATAGGAGCATATCTAGTTATTTTCAATTGGGAGTAGCAATGTGGAATTGTTCCAGCGCTTTGTGAATCTGATAGCATGGAACCTTATACATATACATCGATCTACAGGTAGTGAACCACGGGGCCGGAAATTCGAGAGAAATGGGCCTGGTGGTCGTTGGAGGCGACAAGAAGATGACTGATTCCTTGCCTACTCGGACTGACATTACTCAGAAATATCTTGCCCGAATGCTTGGCTGGATGTTGATCAAACGGCTCAGATATACGGATAGTAGCGAAGTGAAGCCTAGTACAAGCCGAGCTAGTCTTGATATAAATTTTTATGTCAGTATGCAAATAGGATACCTCTAGACTTTGGTCATTACAGAGTGCATTGCCACCTCGTTGGCAGAAGATCAATGTTAGCACAAATAAATGATTGTTATTACATTCTACTAAACTTTACATGTAATACAGAAACGCTTTGTCCACAATAAGAGTTTACTATTTCAGGGTTCTCACGCAACGTTAGACGTTGGTTTACATTAGAATTTTGTGTTACAGCTGTGAACTTGGTAGCATAAACCGCCAATGCCTTCTTAAATACCAAATCAAGAGACTTGCCCCTCACACATGTGTTAGATGAGTTCTAAGCCGTGCGTACACATAGCCCCGCTGATCGGTGAGATTGTTATAAAAACAAATTTCTAATGATGTATCACAACATGCTACCCTCGACGAATAGAACAAACTCGGTCGTTAAATGATACCTTCCCAGTAATTCGTCTATGAATAGACTCGTGTTGAGAACAAAATCCAAATCATAACACAATTTATCCGTCTGTTATCGAAACAAAATCAAATCACATCAAATCCGTTTTCTGCATGCATGTGATGCTACCAAACTGGTTATTGAGGTGGAGATATCGCTCGTAGAAAGTGAAATTAAACATTTTGGTTGGGATGATGGGAGGGAGGAAGGAAGGATGGATGGAAGATGGGGATCTGGGTAGGTAGATAGGTAAACACGTTAGGTTTGAGGATGCGTGTTGTTTTGTTGGTGGAAGGAAGATTACTATGTACTGATTCTGTTTGTCGCATCGTATTTGGGTATAAGAAGAAAAGGCAGGAATCAGAAAATCCAAAACCATTGAGGCATAGTTCAATTATTTAGTATTCATCATTCAAGATCTTTGTGTCCGATAACAAAATTCAAGATCCTAGATGACACCAAACCCATATATCTTTTCTCTTCCAAGACTTTCAAAACAGGAGCAAATAACAAGTAAACATTACTTTCGATAGCTAGATAATCTTACAATATGTACAAACTCCACCAATGCTGTTTACTGATTCTTCTGCTTCCTCCTCTTTTCTTCCGCTTTATATCTAAATCCATGGGAGACAAGCATATAATTACCAAAGAACTCCTCTGCAAAATCGTCGAATTTCACATAGTCGGCACCGAGTCGATAGGCAGCTGCGATTCCCGATACGAGGGCTAATTCGTGCATGTTCTGATAGGTTGTTAGCATCCTCAATTTCGAAGCTTGAAGCTAAACCTAAAGCTGGATTTTTCCCCGAACGGGGAAACATAACAGAGAGATTGTAGGCAAAGGAAAGAAATACATACCACAAGCGTCCAACTCCCTGCAAACCACGTTTGATTCTTGCCATTGATGAACATCATCCCAGGCACAACCCTGGCATAATGTTGCCAGCGATGACCAAGTTGATGCCACCATTTTTTCTCAATTACTTTATCAGGAGAAATCTCATCGATGGTCCAGAACTCGCGGTTCGAGGCGTCGAGGAAGATAGATTGGAAGACGTGACGATCATATGGAACGGGTGCAGTTTCTGCATTGTGGTCTTGCCGGAATTGATGTTGGTAGTTTGTACAGCTGGAGAGGTGTGTTAGTCTCGGGAGGGAAGCAATAGAAGGGGAAAAGGGGGAGAGCATACTCAAAAGACATTTCGATTTTTTTAGGGTCATGTGCATAGGATTTGGTGTAATACATGGGTCGAAAACCGCTAGGTTCATTATCAACACCACGTCGTTCGCCTTTTGAGAAAGCGATTTGGTCTTTTTGGGCCTGAGATTTAGGATCAGCGCAGAGGGAGGGGTCGAATTCGGTTTCGTAGTGTTTGCGGAAGTATTCATGGTCGGAGCTGAGGATTTATTAGCATCTTAATGGGAATGTGAGTGAGGAAGGGATGAAAGGAAAAATGAGAGGGTAAATCTTACTGTGTCACTGTTATGTCATCGTAAAATCTAATATGATGATTAGTTATAAGCTTTTACGTCGCCCGCAATCAAGATGTGATAACTTACCTGGCTCCCCCAAGCACGAGTTTCTCCTTAAAAGTGGCGGTTTTTCCAAGGATTTTCAGTGCATCATCAGCTAATACACACATGACCAATTCATCAAATTTTTCAGATTTGGAAGTTGGCCCAGTGTGTTCCCCCTTTCTGTCATTTGCATCGGGATTAAACGGCCTCGTGGTCATCACAACGCCTTTCTCATTACGTTGAATAATCTCCGTGACATCAGTGTTGAGACGAATATCTACACCTTTCGATTCGAGATCTTTTCTCCAATCTTCGTAAAAGTTGTGAAGATTAGGGAAAGTTAACATTTGAGGTAAGTTTGGAAGAAGTGTATCTGGATCATAGTCCCAGAGCTTCATATTCTTGTCATCGAACAAACGCTCCAAGATCGCGCACGATACATTGGCAGTCTGGTTACCGGTACCAAGGAATAGAGCGATGAGAGGATACACCATTTTATCTCCAAAGTCCTTGCTGAAGAAGAACATCTTGAGCATGATTCGGATAGGTATAACCCCCATCGCAGGCATTAACCACTTGATAATCTTCAACACCTTGCCAAATTTCTTGATATCGCTCGAGAAGCGTTCGACCAGAGGACTAGGGAAACAATTTGTCCAGAATCCATCTTCGCCTTTTCCAAATGCGACTTGAAGTTTGATGCCTTGAGCTTCGTGACCGTATTGTTTGAAGAAGTGGCAAGTATGCTTGAAGATTGGTGAACCACCTTGGACACCATCGTTCATCCAGTCGGTACCAAATTTCTCCTTGTCAAGGGCGATCGAGGTTGCTTGACCTCCGGTTACCCCCATTCGTTCGATCATGGTAACTTTGAATTTATCTGGATGCTGGGCAAGAGTGGCGGCACATGACATTCCCGCCGCTCCAGCTCCAATTATCACTACATGTTTTCTTTGACCAGAGGAGGCCATTGTGAAACGAAGCGGTAGACGGGGCAGAAATCGATATGACAGCAAAGCGAAGAAGACTTTTCTTTTGTAGTTTTGAGCCGATGATATAATCAAGATATTATAATTAAAAAAAAACAAGAGAATGATAGGTTTTTCTCTCTAGAAAAATGTGTGATCTTTGACGCACAGTATAATATGGTTTTTGTCAATGTTATAGCATTGGCATTTGACTCGTAGACGTCATGATTTCAATATACTTTTCCCCACCAATTCCCAATTCTACCTTAGACATCAAGAGCTTAATTATTACTTCGTCTCACCTCAGAAGATCCTGCCTATACGAATAAAGACATTTCATTGATTTCACAGAATCTCCCTACAAAATCAGTAATAAATATAGCTCTTTTGGATGATGACAACCTTTGGGTGTCCTGGTTGATTGAACTGATGGTTTTGAAGAGGAGGTAGTGGTGGGTACTGATAGGTACTGGTAGGTCGGTCCCAGGAATGTTGAAATAAGCTTCCAGGTTATCTTTTGTGCAACCGTCACCTCTTATAACTCTTATATGCATATGATATGATTGCTTTTGTATTTCCCCGAACCGAGACTTTACTAGCCATCTTCACAGTTTGCTTCAAAGAAATCGACTAATATCTCAAGTCAGTCACAACAATAAGAGAAGGAGAAGTCAAATTTATAGATGTTGAGAATTCCATAGTTAACTTACATATTTGATATTTGATAAAGAGATCTTCTCGTCTTGTGCGGGTGTGCTTATCACAACCTAGGCATGCTTCATAATGCTTATAATAAGACAAGCACGTGACAAGCTATGCTATGAGGCTATCTGGTTGTGACACCCCATGTGCCCAGTCGGCTGGCCCCGATCAGCTAGTACCTTTTGAGATTTCTGCCGATCTTCTCACCGCCACAAGGTCATTTTTATATTAACTCGATTGGTAATTCATGATTGATCAATCTCTGAATCTCTCAATCTCCCATATTATCGCTACGTAATTCCCATTCGATCGGGTTCTCGGGATGTATGGATATGGATATGGATATGGATATGGATATGGATATCCAAATAAACCAATCTTACCCCTCTGATGATAAACGTGCATATTCAAACATGCGAAATCACTTGGGTCTGGACTGTTGGATTTGCTTCAATGTTAATTTTCCAGCGTGGATGTCTCTGAATTTGCGGGGAAGATGCAGGAATCTTAGCACCGTTCACGAAAATGAAGCTTTCTGTCAGGAACCACCTTCCCAATTCGTGGTCCCAACCGTAAGAAGCTGCATAAGTGACGACTACTTCACAAGTTACAATCTGGAGATTGACTGACCAATACAATCAAAGCCACGTGCTGTGTTGAGGTGGTTATCATGGAATAGTAGGTCTGGCTCTAATCGGATAAGTATTGTGCCTTTCCCTTTCCCTTTCCATATGTTGCCTGTTATCCTGTTTTCTCACACTAGCTGGGCCTGTTTTGCATCCAAAAATGTATCTCCCGGTAGCTTTGACTGCGCTATCACTACTGTCAGTCGCATCAGCACACAAAGGTCACAAGCGACGATCCATCCCGTCAAGTCCTCAAGCATTGAACAAGACGCTCACAAATACAATTCCAAACGGTGCTGGAGGTCCAACCCTTCACTATAATGGCACTGGGCCTGTACCTTCTTACAACGAAACTTCTCCTGTCCCTGTCCCATTGCCTACTTTAAGGTATAATCACTTATTCCTCTCGTGTTGCAGAGCTAACAACCATTAGTAAGCAGGAAATTGAAGACAATATCTTTAGTGAGATTCAAGGAATTGTTAATGGAAATGGACTCACAACCGACTGCGCAAAATGTATTGCCAGCACCGAAGTGATGCATCTTGCAGCTATCATGCAACCCGTTGAGACGATTGTGAATCTTCTTATTCGTGCCTGTGAAACCTTTCCAAAGGTCTATGACAGTATCTACGCTGAGACCTGTTATGAAGAATACTCCGGAATTGGTGGAACTGGTCCGTATCTTGCTCAACTGTTTGCAAAAATGAGCATGGCGACCGCTGATATGCAAGGTTACTGTTTCTATGTGTGGGATACTTGCAGTTCACCCCCAACAGTTCTTATCGACGAATCTGCATATTTCAAACCTAAACCAGCAAATAAGACAACAGCTCCTGCGCCATCTAGTAAGTTACAACACCTTGGTTGACTATGAGTAAACTAATTCTGACATGTCAACAGACCAAACTATAGATGTTCTACATCTCTCTGATTGGCATTTGGATTCAAGATATGACATTGGCAGTGAAGCTAATTGCTCACAGTATATGTGCTGCAGACCATATTCAACTAACACTGACCTCGATACGACGAGTGACAACCCGTCTACACCGGCGTCTCGTTTTGGATACTTCTATTGCGATTCCCCTCCTGACTTGGCTCTCTCTGCATTTTCAACCATGGACCAATTTATCAACAGGTCTGATGTGGCATTCACAATATTTACTGGTGATATTGTAAGCCACGATAATGACGACCAAATAAGTCGAGCCTATGTAGAGTATGAAGAGACGGTTACGTACCAAACTTTCAAGGCTCAAATGAAGAACAGTCCCATCTATGCGACCTTAGGAAACCATGATTCTCTACCGGAAGCTCTCAGCACTCCAAATTCCATCAATAACTCGACGGGTCAATCTAATGTATTCTCTTGGAACTATAATCTATTATCCAGCTTATGGCTGAATAATGGATGGGTTGGTAGTGAAGCGGCTCAGTATGCATCAAACCACTATGGTGCATATGCTACGGTCACACCTCAAGGTTTAAAGATCATCTCTATCAACACAGATTTTTGGTATACAGCCAATATCTTCAATTTCTTCAACATGAAAAATCCAGACACTTCTGGTATTCTTACATTCCTTGCCAACGAGCTCCAAAAATCGGAAGATATTGATCAACGCGTTTGGATCATCGGACATGTTCTTCCGGGATATGATGGTACAAATGCGCTTCCCAACCCCACAGCCTTGTTCTACAGTATTGTTGCTCGATTCTCTCCATCAACAATTGCGGGAATATTCTTTGGTCATACACACGAGGATCAGCTCATGATCTATTATGACTTCCTACCCAACTCGACAATTTCTAGCAACACGTCATCGATCATTCGTAATACCACGTTGGTGGATTACAACAAACCTATTCAAATTGCATACATAGGGCCTTCTATTACCCCTCTTACCGGACTCAACGCTGGATGGGTCCATCTTCAGGTCGATGCTTTGACTTTCTCAGTCGTCAATTCTCAAACCTACTTCGCCAATATGTCCAACGCCAACTCCTGGACAACACCAAAATGGGAACTTGAGTATGATACGCGTCAAGTATATGATCCAAATACCACTTGGCCCATTAATGCTCCCTTGGACGGCGCTTTCTGGCATGGAGTAACCGAGGATATGTTGGCAAACAACACTATAGTAGAAGTTTATAATTTCCTGGAGACGAAAAGTTCCGCAATGACGAAAAGATGTAGCACAGCGGCTTGCGCGAAGCAAAAGGTTTGTTATCTGAGAAGTGGAAGTGCAACATTAGGTTACGCTTGTCCCGATAGCGACGGGCCATTTTGAGTGCAGTATTGATACATAAAGACTGGGCATAAGCAAATACAATGAAAACGCAAAAGAATTTTGACCCAGACTATGCTTGTGTAAATATCTGTGTTACCAATTAAGATTGGGTCTCCATAGACTTGTGCGTGAAAAAAATTGACCTGCCACCTTGGGACACCTATAGTTACCTAGGAATCCGACGGTATTGGATTCCTACGGTTAGTATTCCACAAATACATAGCATTCATCGAATCTCAAGCCGTACCTAAGATGATGAGCATACCGTCAATCGTAAATCTCCATCATATGAGATACTCCACGAAGATCTCCACAATAATATCATGGTTGCTGTACCTCCCTTCTTTCACTTGATGTTACTCCCAAAAAAACATCTTTCTTTTCCTTTCTTTTCTTGTCCTTCAATAGAAATAGAAATGAAAATTCTGCTAGAAATATCGATTTCTCATAGAAACATTCATTTTGGATCTTCCCAGAAAAGAATTGCTATAGAGTGTAGTGTAGTGTATTTACGAGTAATACTTTGATCGGCTCTGATGGAATAGGTGTGATATGTACGTAATTGGAGACCCCTAACTATAATTAGCGCTAGCATTAAGCACACTCGAGGCACATAAGTACATCAGCGCTAAAAGTAACACTAAGGTCAATAATCCCATGTCTTTCAGATCAGATAAGCATCGTATTACTTAAGCAAGGAGTCCTAGCATCTCGAACCAATACACACTCGACTCTTCAAATTCCTCTTTCTTTCATGTATATCCAACAATTACATTTGTATATATCCTCACAGTGAAACACGCCGCGGATAAGAAGAAGACATACATACACTCACAGCAATCCATGTCTCCGCACCCCCCCGTAATCACTGAACGCGAACCCCTCCTCGCGCCTCTCACCGAACCTACAGAGGTTCGCGATGCGCTGATCACGGGATCACAAGTTTATCAAGATGTTGGGACGGGGACAATTGGTGCGCAGAACTCGAGTCGAGATGCAGAAGGAGGAGGAGAAGAAGAAGAAGATCATGGTGATGGAGAAGATGAAGAAGATGATGATACACCGCTCCCTCTCGGACAAATTCTGGGACTCTGCTATATTCGATTGGTAGAGCCGGTGGCGTTTTTCTCGGTCTTTGCCTTTCTCAATCAGATGTTGTGGGAGATTGGGAATATTGGAAAGGGGGATGTGGGGTTTTATTCGGGGTTGATTGTGAGTCTTTTTTTGCTTGTTTTGTTTTGTTTTGTTCTGTTATTTTTTTTAAGAGGGTAATTGGAATGGAAAGAAATGGAATGGGGAAGGAGATTGCAAAGTAGAAGAGAAGAAGAGAAGCCCACTGTGCATGTGTTATATGCTTTATGGGAAAAATTAAAAAACTAACCAAAAACAGGAATCTCTATTCTCCGTCACAGAAATGATCCTCATGGTCCACTGGGGTCGCGCCTCCGATAAATTCGGCCGCAAACCCATCATGATCATTTCGCTACTAGGTATCTCGTTCGCAACAGGTATTTTCGGGTTCGGCAGGAGCATTGGACAATTAGTCATCTTTCGATGTATTGCCGGACTATTCGCAGGAACAATTGTGTGAGTGGCTTTGGTTTTTGTATTCATCTAATCGTGTCTGGAAGTTCTCGAACTAATCTAATGATGAAAGGACGATTCGAACAATGATTTCCGAAAACAGCACCAAGAAAACTCAAGCGAGAGCATTTAGTTATTTTTCCGTGGCGGGCAATCTGGGAATTCTGGTGGGACCGATGATTGGTAATTGAAGCTCCCTACTCCAAGCATCTAGATAGATAGGTGAGAACTCGACGGAAAGACTAATATTCTCAAGGCGGCGTCATGTCCGAACCTGCGAAACAATATCCGTCTCTCTTTGGCGGTGTAAAATTTTTCGAGGAATTCCCCTTTGCGCTACCTACGATTTGTACGGGATTGTTCGCGTTGAGCTCAACGTTGGTTGCTACGTTTTATATTAAAGAGGTGAGCGGTTCATCAAGGCTGTGGTAAAATCTCAAATCACTAATCAGGACGCAGACATTGGGCAAGAAAAGGTATCAAAAAGTAGGAGCGCGCGATGGAATGACCATGAGAGAACTTCTGAATTTCCCCGGCGTAGCGAGATGTATTTACATTTCGTGCCATGTAAATCTAATGAGTACAATTTACACATCCGGTTCGTGTCACTTCCTTCTTCGCCCATTCTTTTCCCTTTCCACGGCTAACCTTTTCCGCACAAATAGTACTATCTGTCTTCTGGTTTACACCCGTCTCCCTCGGCGGTCTAGGTTTCTCGCCCTTCCGAATTTCTCTCTTCATAGCCCTCGCAGGTTTCTCGCAAGCTTTCTGGATGATCGTCGTATTCCCTCCCCTACACAAACGTATCGGTACCGTTGGCATCCTGCGCGCGTGCGCTTTCCTCTGGCCTTTCCTCTTCGCCTTCTGTCCTTTTGCAAATTTCTTGTTGCGCATGGGATGGGAAACGGCGTTCTGGGTCGTCTATCCAGTAAGTATGTCGATGGGGGTTGGAGTCAGTATGGCGTTTAGTAAGTTCTTCCCCTCTCTTATTCGTCACTCTAATTCTAGGTCTCCTATCCATCTCTCCACTCTCATACCCCCTATCTCCTCGATCTAATCTAACAATATCCTTCCTGTAGCATGTGGCCAGCTAGCTCTCAATGATATTGCGCCCTCCTCCGAAACTCTCGGTACCCTCAACAGCATCGCGCTCGCCGTCACAAGTGGTACCCGTGTATTTGTCCCCGCTCTCTTTACTATCATCTTCGCGTATGGCGTTACGCATCAGATCCTCTGGGGGTATTTCATCTGGGTGTTTGAAATATTGGTTGCGATCGGATTGGTTATTGCGGTGCCGTTCTTACCAAAAGAGGCTTATGGGAGGGGAAAGAAATAGATATGTGAAGAGGGAGAAGAAGATATATTGAATACTAGTGGAGAGAGTAAAGACCGAAATCAAAGATAATAGAATAGAATAGATTTAAATAGAGATGGAGATAGAAAGATATGTTTGAACAGGAGTTAATTCCACAGCACTAAAATATCGGGAAATCATAAAGATCGAAAGAATCATTTAATATTTCAGCACTGCCTCCAAGAACTCACAACATCAAAATGTGAATTTCTGTTCATGGCCTCGCAAATCATATTCATTGCATAAACCAAAAAACAGATGGAGGCTGGTCATGAAGCCCAAGCTCTCCGAGGCGATGTAGTGTGTGGTGTGCAATAACAGAAGAGCCCTCCAAATCTACCAATCACTATCTCGAAGTTGGGAACGTGTCATGACGGCATCGATTTTCCACCAGCAAAGACAGTGAAGTGCCTACCTAGGTAAGTAGACATCAAGGTCCTCTCTCTCTCGACTTCCCAAACACATGATCAAACACATGAGTAAATAATCGAGTCTGCTCATTTTGATGATTCACTGTTAATTTTATTTCGGGCTTCGGCTTTTGTTTCTCCTGTGACTTCAATCTGATTCCTGTGTCTCAACTGGTTGAGTACGAGAAGGGGAGTGAATACCTTACAGCTTATCATCAATTTATATTTGGTATCTGGATTTAGTGTTCAGGAGACAGGAAATAGAGGAACTCTTGATTTCAGATTTTTGACAGCCATTGTACTAGTAACCAATGAAAAATGCTTACTGCAGGTGGTCAGAGTGATCTTTGAGCTGAAAATTAAGTTAATCGTTGTATATAACAGTTGATTATGCAAATTATTTTCTCGGCATTTGTGCTTGTGTCTGAGCTAGATGTTTGCTAGTGAATGAAGAAATAAGATATTTCAACAGTGTCAGCTTTGTAGACAGCAACCGATGAATACCCGAGAGCCATGGTTGCCTATGGTGAGGACGTTGAAGACTGAGAAACAGCAAATCTTGAGAGTGCAAAGTATAGAAACAATGTCATTAGTCTTACAGTTTGAGATGATGTATGGATACAGGAAAACTTCAAGCTGTTATCTACAAAGGATGTGATATAAGACTGCTTGCACGCCCATGAGGAAAAGAGAACTCATGTTTAGGTGAAGTAGAAGTATATCTGCATCTACTCATTATTAATGGGTCATCTTTGACTCAGATGTTCAGAAATAAACATTGAATATATGATTCACTGAAGAACTTTTTATCCGTTCCATGAGCTTGATCAACTGGATCCTTTGATTGGTCCACCAATCATTAAGAACTAAATCTCAGGATGAAGAACCAAACTTAAGTATGACGTAGGTATGACAGGAAGCCTATAGACATGTCAAAGAAAAAGAGCTTGAGAGATCCAATATGAAACAACCGATATCGGTCTAATTCACCACTCAAGTTTCGAGTCGAGAAAGATCAAAACAAAGCCACGTGAACACCCAACACGAGGAGGTGAATTGCCCACCTGATACAACATTCATAGCTTTAAAAGAGGTACTTAAGCTCCGACTTCCTGTGTTTGAATTTTCCTCCCCCCAATCTTTATACACTTTCAAATCTTTCATACAGTCATAATTTTAACAACTCCGACACTATGTCGTCCACAAGAGTGGTAAGAGAATCCACCCTGGAGCTGAATGTCCTGCAGAAAATCCTACTAATATATCCCCATAGCTCCACAACGGGCTGGCCCCGTTGCTTGCGTCAAAGATGCTAAGAAGCTCTTCAATCCATGCGGACTTGAAAACTAAGCCAACAATTTCCTTTCTTCAAAAAAATGTAAGAACAATCTAACAGGCTCTTCCTCTGTGCGTTCCTGACGTATTATCCACAGAGTTACACCAAGAAGACTGCTATTTCATTTTTAAATGCTGGCATCAACACAAGAGCCATGAGATTTTCACCCTTGAAGTTATCTCATCAAACCCTTGATGAATTGACTGCAAAACTTCCATCGACAGCTATCAGCGAACAAATTCTTGTCTCTTTGGATTCCAATGCGACATCTCCATTGTTACTCAACAATATTCTTGAACCAGTTGACGCAGCAACCATGGCATCACCTTATTCCAAGTCCAGTTCAGAGGAGACACTTGAAACCAGCCCCCAACAGTCATGCAAGCACAGCCTAGAATGCATCGAAAATCAGTGCGCATTTCGCGATCAAGATAAATTTATGTTGGAGGATCCAACACAAATTAACTTCTCTTCTGAAGTTGGATGCCGCTTCCGAAAATTTCCAGATTTCCCCCTTGAAGTCCAATGTATGATATGGGATTTCTCTATGGAAGAAGATCGCATCATTGAGGTACACATCACCAAGCGTTGCGCAAATTGGATGATTGTTTATGCGTCTACTGATGCTCAGAATCCAGCAATCCTTAGCGTCTGTCAAGTAGCTAGAGAACGAGGATTGAGACGTTACAGACCATTGTCCGTTGCGAATTCCTGGAAACGAGACAAGAAGATGTACGACGATAGGCAAAATCTGTTGGGGCTTCCATTGGACTTTGTTGGTCCTGAAGCTGCAACGACAAACTTCAGGTGCTACATTGATTTCGACCGAGACACTGTGTTCATCAACTCCAGCCATTTTCGTATCTACAGCGATGCTTTGGAGGTTGGTGACAACACGTGGCGCGAAGACTTTGGCTACCAATTCTTGAAGGACCTGTTTTTCTCTACAGCTGGTGATCGAATTCAAAATCTTGCCGTAGACTACTTATTGGCAGAGAAGTGGTTTGATAATGATCGCAACAATTGGCAGTACTGCCAAGTTTTGGCGGCAATGCCTAAACTACAGAAACTCGCCATTGTCTGGACCGGACATCACCACTTTGAGCGTGTGATTCAGAATGAGTGCTGCCGCACGAGACAAATCGAGATTCTAACGGATGAAGCATTATCTGATGAGGTGCGCTACAGCGCCAAGTTTCCTAGCGATCATCACCATCGTGTACGCAAGTTTCATAAGATGAAAGGCCTAGGTCCATATCTTGGAGAGGGATGGGTCAGCGACCGATTTGCTTCCGGTGAAACCTCTATCACCTGGAAGAGCAACATCGTCACCGCAATTCAAGAGAATCGACCGGTAAACCCGGCTAATTATCCGGCCAATTCCTTTCACTTTACTGCGGACGGAAATTCGAGATACCGAGATTTGTGTCAATTGGAGTTTACTGAAGTCGCCGCCGAGAGAGAATGCTAGAATAGACGTATGCGTGGGGATTTTTCTTTTTAAAATTACCGGATGGAGTTAGTGATTAATGGGTTGAGGTGTTTAAGATGACCGATGTTGATCATTGGTGTAATCATGGATTGTATTTTCGGGTTTCTTTTGCTTGCTGGATGGAAAGATGCCGGGTTTAATGATGAAATTACTTTGAGTGGGCTGGTATTTTGATGTATCATTTATTTGGTCGTTTTGCGGTATTGATTTCTGAGTTTGCATGAAGTTTCTCTTTTCTTTTCGTCCCTGGAGGATGGATTACTTGCGAGGAGTGTTCATGGGAGATGGCCATATCGAGGTCTGAGATTCAAGCGTAACTAATGTTTAATATATAAGAATGATACTGAAATTGATTTTGATCTGATGATGCGAATGTTGAAGATGTGAAGAGTGAGTGAGTTGTAATTTTGAACTTTAACGAGAATTTCACTTCAAGTTGCTGAATTGTCACGTGATTGTGAAAGAAGACAGACGAGGAGACGAGACGGATGTGATAAAAGAATTATCACGCACAGACCACTTGTATTGCAGAGCGGCCATGCGTAACCTACGAGGTACGTACCCGTTAAAGGAAGCGACAACGACGTTAGAAAGAAGACAGGAGTGAGCAATCACTGGATTGTTCCGCTCGTGATATCATTGTCCTCCTCCCTTCTAATGTCATATGCTCTGACATATATAATATGCATGATTGTGGTTGTAAGACGATGGATATAAGAGTTAGTACATGAAGTCACTTCCATATCTCTTAGCCCTCCACAAACAGTGGGAAGTTGTGACCGATATTGTTACTGAATCGAATCATATCGCGAAGACTCATCGTGCGTGCGACTTCCCTGGAGGTTTTACTCCCCGGCGAGTCTGTTGTCGTGTTGTTCTATTGTGGAACCTCGGCTTGGCAATAACCTTAACCTGTTCCATGTTTTCTGATTTCTAATCAACCCGACGATTACATCTGTTGAATAAGTAATCTTTGCTCACTCTCCCAACAAAAGTCAAACAGGACTGGAGGGAGAGTCTTGGAAATCTTCTGGCTATATATCAGTGACACAGCATCAATCCATATCACCGTTTATTGCTCAATTCATTCTCTTCATTGCGAAGCTATCTTCCACAAGAATGGCGAGATCTCTAGCCTACGGAGGCGGCATCTTTGTTGCACTCATCGCAATTCTCTATCAGTTTCTCTTCAAACACGTTATATTTGAGGTGTTGGGTGTTGGACGTTCCGTTTCGTCGATTGATGCATTCAACGCAACTTGTGAAAGGATTGATAATCTCGGCCTTGAAGGCTGTGAAGATTTATGGTTTCATTATGACACCGGATACCTATATATGGCCTGCTCCGATATCCAAAGTCGCTTGCAGTGGCTTCCCGGGTTCGTACTTTCTTAAGCTACATACTTTGTCCGTGGCTTTTTTTTTCTTTCTCATTACTGGCGGAATATCCCTTAGCTAATTCACCATACCCACCACAGTGCCAGCCGTCTGAACATTTCCGGACGAGGTGTAGCAGATAGAATTGGCATTTTGGATACCCGAGGAGATGGTTCTTTGGAATCTCGTCTCCAGTGGATGACAACCGAGAATTTCTCCGGCAACAATGGAGACGGTACCTTTAGCCTACATGGGTTTGATATCCGTCCAGATCCGAAGACTGGTACTTTGCGTATCCTTCTCATCAACCATCGACCTCCAATAGATCCAATAACTGGTGCCCCACTTGATGCTGGGGCACTAGGTGCCAATTCTACTATAGAATTGTTTCATACCCAAGTTGGAAGCATTTCAATGAAACACATAAAGACATACGCAGATCCTGCGATCCACACCCCCAACCAGGTGGCCTGGGTGAATGATGATGATTTTGTGTTCACGAATGATCATAGTCACAAGGTCGGATTTGTAAGTTGTATCAAAATTTCTATAGTGGTTTAACGATGGACTAAAGAAAATTACAGCGTCGCGATCTAGAGGTTTTCCTTGGTGGTGGAAGTATCGGACACTGCGAATTACGTGCGAACCACTGTAATATAGTCTTCTCTACTGGCCTTAATGGTCCAAATGGACTGGTTACAGGGCGTGATGGACTGATATATGTCCCAAACACATTTTTGCACGAAATACAAATCTTCTCGCTCACAGAAGAGAAGACTCTATTGAAACAGGATACGTTACAAGCACCATACCCCATTGATAATATGAGTATTGATGAGAATGGCGACATCATAGCTGCATCACTTCCACAAGGTTTTAAGTGGTTCCAAAATTTGGATGATCGATCAATCCAGGTTGGTGCGGCAGTCGTACGAATTCGAAGAAGAGGATCTGATTTTGATCGTTTGATCAAAGAGGGTGTAAGAAAAGAGAAGGATCTTGGGAAGAGCGAGGAGGGTTATATTGTTGAAACCATGGTGGAAGATGACGGAAAGATTCTGACAGCAGCAACGGCCGCTATTCATGACGCCAAGAATGGGAAATTGTACCTTGGGGGTATCACGGTACCATTTATCATGACTTGTAAGATGAAGAATTAGAGGAATTTCATTTCAGAGTGTCGAGTGAGTTTAGGTAAGTAGATTTGGACAATAATAAACACAAGCCATGTCTTTCGCGATTCTTCCAATGCTCTCTCAATACTCTGCATTTTTCGACGTCTGGCTTCATGTATCTCAGCATCATCAGCGAGACTCTCTACATGCTTCTCAATAATGGTTTTAATTGCATCGCTTCCACATCACTTATTGTGATGGAACGTATCGACGTGATGAAGTCTCACGGGCAAGCTTCTCCTTTTTACCCGGCAGCGCTCTGTCTCTCCTCAGTCGATAGACTTACGTTTTTCTATAACCTCTAGTCTGCATACTCGAGGGGCCCAATTACCAGCACTGTTAGAGCTAGAAATTCCGCTTATCAACTTCCTCATGAGTTCGCCGTCTTTCAATTTCCAAATATACCTGGCTGTTTCGTGGTGGTTCTACATATGGAAGCGCCTGCGGAATGTTTTGGTCATAATTACTATATCGTTGTATTACGATGCAACCAAGGCGAACCTTTTCCGTGGACACGTTAATAATAGAGGCTTAATTTAATCATATGTAGTTGAGAAACTCATGCTCAATCAGCTCATCATACCTTCATAACAGGTGATTCTACCTCGTTCCCCTCTAAAACCGTTGTGTTTCCAGCCACTTCCTGTACTTCCTTTCAGCCTCTTCGCACCACGGCCACATTGACCGTTACCTACCTAGGTAGCCACTGAGCCCAGATTTCTCTGGAGACATTACCTCAAAAGCTGTTTGAAAACTGTTCAACCGCGTGGCTTTTTAAATATATAAGCTTCGTACCAGTAGGAACGATCATCCCATAGTTGATCAATGAAAAATGAGGAGTCATATATTACCATCTAGCACTAACATAAACTTTTACAACGCATCACATTGTTTTACCACAAAAAAACTTACCTACCGTTGGATAGCATCTAGACTAGTCCGTAGGGTTTAGTCTGGTCTGTCTTAGTGATCTCTAGTCACTAAAAATTAGTTCAGATTGACGCACGGTTTCGAATCCACAAAATCACATTCTCGGTAGTTTAGCGATGTCTATGATTTCGTGCATGAGAACACCCTGATTGTAACCATTTATTTCCAATTTCAACGCAAAGATTTGGGGGAAGCAAGTATGCTTCGATTTCCTGTATGCTTGAGTGAGCTATGATAGTGTTAGTAAGGTCGAAGTTTAAAAGTGGAGACTGAATTTTTCAATACAAGTTCAAGGTTCTCGACGGCCTCGTCGTTCATCATGATCGATAGCCTAGCTCATAATTCTGCACATCTCTCCTATTTCTCTTCTTCGTACAAAGCCCACTAGAGAAATAGCCATTTGATCAACCTCTTCCTATATTCCCTCCTCCTCAATAAGAATATGCAATGCGTAAATTAATCACATGACCTGAGACGTTCAACCGATCAGCCCCAGACTACTAGAGTTCAAAACCTGACGTTGGAATCCACACTAAAGAATCTAACTTAAAATAATGGATCTGATAATATAGACTGAAACCTGAGCTTCAAAATTCATCTTCATACATCGAAACTAAATGATCATAGAATATCTCTAGCTATGTTGAATTTTACCTTTCGTCGTCGATTCGTCATCACTATTCCGGTCTTTCTAATCCTCTCAATAACGCGATTGAACGGATCTGTTCATCACAGCTGCTTTATCATTAGTTACCTACATCATGATGTGATCTGTCGCACTTACTTTTCTTGAAAAACAGCGGTGGCTACTTCTGCTTCTGATTAGCTTACTCTTACCTTCCTCTTCCTCACTTTTCGAACTATCAAATCAGACTGTTCAGATCCTTTCAGAGTCCTTTGGAAACTATCAAAATCTCTAAAGATAGTATTTTCCAATGGTGTATATATCACATTGAACAGCTGTCTTAGCTTACACTCATCAGTAGCACTTTAAGTTCATCTATTTGATTGAAATTGTTCTTACTTTGACAGAATCATTAACTTTATTCCAGTCATAGAATCGCGAGAATTTGATTCGATTAAAATATCTTGATCTTCAGATTGTTCATATTAATTAATTCTCTAGCATGGACAATAAGTTCATGTCGGTCTCGTCTCTTAGCTCATTATCATAACAATTTTTACATATAAATACCGCTCCCTTAACACCATACTTTCCTCTGAAGCTCTCTTCACTTCTCAACGCTTATATTCCTATTCTTTTCCTCATTTCTCGAATATATCTACATATTTATTTTAGTTTCAGGATTATAGAAATCTTTCCTACACTCTTTCATTCACTAAAGCCCTTCAAAAGTTCCAGCTAAGATGAACAAAACTCCCGAATCGTCTCAAAGTCCTTTAGATGAAGCCATGATTGATCATAAACATGTAAAAACCTTACCCGCCATCTCCTCACATCACAAGTTGCAGGTTGCTGCTCCCACCGCTAGTTTTGCTGCGATTCAAAGCTCTTCGGACAAGGCAAAGACCGACAGCGAATTTATCACAACTTCGCTCAAGACCTCTTTCTCTGGCAACACAGAGTCAAATGCTAGACAATCAACTCCTTCATTATCGGCACCATTGTCCCCCGCATCTAGTCTAAACATTCCTGTGTTGCCATCCTCACTCGACCTTTTTGTCAGCATAGCAGCCGCGGCTCCATACGCCGCGGCACCGCGTCCAGAAACGTATACACATCAGTTCATGACCTCCAGCATTCGCACTCCAGTTGTTAGGAAATGTGGAAGATGCGTCGCAGGTTATGAATTTAAAACTTGCAGGCAGAGCGTGTGTGATGAATGTATAAAGAATGGGCGTGGGAGCCCTACTGATGTATCAATTCTTCATGCCCGCTTGCGGGAAGAACTTGACCAGCTTCCAATTTCTAGTACAGTCAATGCTACGACTGGAAATCGGTCGACTGGCAATACTGTTATCGATTACGATAGCGACGCTACGATTAGTAACGAGGAGGACGAGTGGGAGTTTCAATGAGCACGAGACAAGGCGAACGAGGCGAATTGGTTTTTAGAGCTCAAGAAATGGGATTACAAAAGTGGAATTGATACCCACGATGGATTGACAAAGATCAACATCGAATACTGCCGGTTTTATGGGGAAAGGCGTTTGTTTATCGAGCTTTAACGTTATTATGCACTGTGTCTCCAATCATCTTGTGTGTTGTAGCAGTAGCAGTAGTAATTGAGTTGCAAAAAAAGTCTTTGAGAGCTTTGATATGTCATGTAGTTGTGAAGGTGATGAACCTGATCAGCAACTTTGGACATCTTGGCATATTCTTCGAAGTAAGGTTTCAGATCACGATGAATCTCGTAGATTTGTTTGACATGCCTAGACTAAGCTATCAACCTTGGCTTACCCAGATTCTTTTGGTTAAAGCTGGTTTATACTAACTAATCGTGACTCAAACCAGTCTCCAATATGGAAAGATTTGGTACCGAATCTAACATACTAACCGCCCTCCAAGTACGCAGCGACCAGACGGACGTAAGAAATGAAATACGATGTATACGACAATGCCAAGGACAAGAGAAATATGACTCTGATGATGTACTTGAAAATACTACAAGCCCGTCGCATATTTAAAGCTCGAACTAACTTGTGAAACAGTAAACTTGAGGAGCAACATATTCATCTTGAAGTACCTAGTGCAAGCTAGCCTTCAGGTGAAGAAACTATCGAAAGGTAAAAGAGTCATTCAGTCAAGCGATACACCTAAAAGAGAAACCACGAAACTTGGATAATCAATGTTCTACAACAAAACAAACGTCGATCTGAACTAAAACTAGTCTGATACTCATAATCAAATTCTCTACAGTATAAACTTTAATATAGCAATCCATACGGATTTTCAACCCAGAGTGTTTTTCGAATCTTGAATTCACTCATCAATCTTTTAATCTAATATAATTTGTTACAAAAAGAATATAATTGAAAAGAAAAGAAAAGAAAATTTATATTAGAAGTAATTATCACGAATAAATTTTTAAAAGGAACTTGATAATAAACTATTTGATTTATTTAAAAATGATAACTAATAAAAAAAATTAAAAAAATTAAATGAGGTAATTAATGATTAGAATGATTAGAATGATTAGAATGATTAGAATGATTAGAATGATTAGAATGATTAGAATGATTAGAATGATTAGAATGATTAGAATGATTAGAATGATTAGAATGATTAGAATGATTAGAATGATTAGAATGATTAGAATGATTAGAAGAATTAAAAGAATTAAAAGAATTAGATACGTCTTCGACAAAATCAGGATGGGGACGAGGACGAGGAAGATAGTGATAAGGAGGAGGAGGATGGTAGTCAGAATTAGGACACCATTATTCACGGCTGTTCAGTATCAGATAGTGGATCTGCATTACCTAGTGAGAAAGAAAGCACTAGCAAATCAGAAACACAACTCTGGTTTATTTCCAGGTAGATTATTCCTCATAAATAAAAACTTATATTCTTTCAGGGAACAAGTACGAAAGTTCTTCTTCCAACGGTTTGATCACATCCTGATATACTCCAGCCCTCGTTGCTACATCTTCCAAATTCACCCTCTGTCCAGCTGGTACCCATGGTGTATCCAAACATGACTGAATCACATCACGATATCCAAGGGAGCAATCCTCAAGACTCATTACCACGCGGTTCGCGACAGTCAAATCCGTATCTGTGTTAAATTGTTTTTGCTCAGTCTCGGTGCGAAAACTCTCAATCAATTTGCCAGTATGTATTTCTATGAGAAGAATTCCAAGAGCTAAGATACTCAGGTTGCGATGGAAGCGGTTTAAATCCACAGGTGGGTGCTTCTCGTCTATGGCAGGATCGAAGACTGTTGATAAATAAGGTCGTCCAAAATCCAAGGCTCCGGCGGTACCATAAAAGAAGAATATGTGATTTTTACTCCACTTCTTGTTCTTCCAGTAACTTTCATGCAGCTGCAATAACGAATGTGCGAAAATGACTGCCAGTCTCCGTTTAATGATAAGAGGCAATTTTGTCGATTTTTCTAGTACTGCTTGCAAAGACTCGGTCTGTGAGGCTGCTGATTTGGGTAGTCTCTTGGGGGTTGAGCGCAGTTGCCAAAGCATTTCGTTGCTCCCAGTATCTTCTACCAAGAGTTGAAGGCATTGATCAACGGGTCCTCTACATCGGACGGTATCACATATTTTCTGTAGGAGTGAGCGGTCATCTTTAACAGATCCGCTACAGCAATGTAGGCACATGTCAGTAACGATCTGTCTCAATCTTTAGTAGGTACCATTAACTAACCCATTTGATCTCACAACCACAGTTCCTTCTTGCCATCTCCCCAATTGTATGTCTTCTTGAACGGAAAATAGGAAGTCAAAATCGATCTCTGTTATCACCGGTTTCGCCGAATTTCCTCGAGCTTTCAAGCAAAACTGTGCTTCGTGTTGAGTTGGACAATTGCAACTCCAACATTTTGCAAGCGCCTGGTACAGCTTTTGCGAGAGTGTCCGTAGATGAGATGAAGGAACATCTTTTGCTCCAGAAGATAACTTTCTGGTAGCGGGTTCCTTTTGTGCTTGCTCTGTTAAACGGAAAAGTCTCTTATTCCACGTTAACAAGTTCTTCAGGCATATTTCCCTGTCTTTTTCTTTCTTCCAAAAGCGTATTCTTTCTTTGAAAGTACTACTTGTATCACCTCTTTCTCTATCAGCAGCAAATTCTGTCAATTTACTGAACATCTTGGATTGCCCCTACACTTCATCAGTTGTCGGTTTTCCCATGTATCGATATCTATACTTACAATATCGCCCGATAATACATGGATAGTAGAATCTTTTATTAACTGAGAAAGTAACTGAGCAATTTTGCCCATCACGTGTAAGAAAGTATCCAGATCCTCCTGGGATTCAAAATAATTAAAGAGTGCTTGAGCAACATCTGCATCTGTTTTCCAAGCCTCCATACGGATATCCATAGTAAGCTCAGCCTTTCTTTTATCAGATAAGTAGGGCAATGATTTGATGACCCCTAAAGTTTGACAGTCTAACTGCACGATTTCCCAATAAAATTCGTCATAGAAATCCATGAGCTTTTCATCGCGTTCTCGACGAGAGACCGTCTTTCGAATGGTTTCAACGCCATGTGAGTATGCTTTCGCGCCCTCAATGAAAAGTGGAAGCACGGCCAAAACTAGCCCAGTCACTTCAATGCCACTCATAGTTATCTACGGCGTTCAAGAAAATCGGAAAAATAGAACTTTGATATTTGTTCCAGAAACATTCTGATGATCATAAGGCAGACTTCTGCGTCTACAATCAAAAATCATGGTCTTGAGTAAGCAGCCTTGGAAAGTTTCTTTTTGTGGCGAAGATCCCGGAAGACAAGACCAAGGGCCAAATGATTGGTGAATGTGAATAGGCATTTCTGCGGGCTTGGGAGTTTATCCCGACGTTGCACTACAGGCATGTCACAAATCCCCTTTTTTTCACAGCGTCAACATTCTGCTCTTCAATAATTTCTTACAGGATGATGATTGCAAAAATTACAATGTATATGGCTTACTACCAGGAGATGAACCAGTAATGTCACTACATGCGGAACCGCGACAAGCCCCTGGAGATTCGATCGCTGAAATTGCTAGAAATGTGGCTACGGTAACCGATATCCCTGCATCGTGCACGACCCTGTATCTTGCACGCTTTAATTTATTGAATTAAAAATTGATTATAAATCCAAAACTGTTTATAATAATATTAAAATTTATAAAAAACAGATTGAAGATCAGTTAAATATAATAATAAGTTTTTGATAAATTTGAAATATCAAATAGAATATTAATTGATTTTAAAAAATAATATTTTAAGATATTAATAATTTAATAAAAATTTATATTAGAATAAATTTATATTATTAAAAATAAAGTTTATTGAATTAATTTATATTATTATTATTGAAAAAAAGCTTGAAATTCTGAAAAATATAAAAAATTTAGTCTTAAATATAATTTCAAAAATATGTATAATATTCAAAAAAATAAAAAGAATTTAAAAATTCTTTTTAAAATATTTTAAAATGTTTTTTTATAGATTTTAAGAATTTGAAATTATTATTGGATTTTGTCGTAGGTCATAGGCTAGTAGTATAGTATGGAAGCTGGCTCAGGTTAACGACTAAAATGGATTATATAAGCAGTGTGACACGTGATATTAAAGAATCTATATTGAATAGTGATCGCTCTTATTCTACATTCAAGGGGAAAAGGCCTCTTTTTATGCTTTTTCTTTCTAATTCAGTATTTCCGTTTTCATAAATCTCTTGTAGATCTCTTCCTAATCCGTCCATTCTTTCGAAATAAAGCCCTTTTTCATATTCTTTATTTTATATCCGTTTTCGGATTTATGGCCGTTTTTCGGCTTAATGGTCGTTTTCGGATTAATGGTCGCTTTCGTAAGCTTTATAAGCGATGATCATGTGATCTGATTATATAATATGCCTATACTTGATTGAATGCTTATTAAAAAGGTGTATATATTATATTATTTTTAATTAAAACAATAGATTTTAATTAGAAAATAGAATTTTTATATATTAGAAAATATATAATATAATAATAATAAAATTATAAAGAAATAATAAATAATTAAAAACTATAACTTATTATATTATAAGTTAATATATAAAACGACAAAATAAGAAATGAAATAAAATATTCTAATTTTTTAATAAATAAATCTATTATTTTTTTAAAAAAACTAAAAAATATTATAAATCTATTTTTAAAAGAATTTATTTTTTAAAAAAAATCCTTAAATTTTATAATATTTCTAATAATTTTATAGATTAAATATAATTATAATTTATCACGGAGGGATAGCTATGTCGATTGGTCACTCTGATCATATAATAGGTATGTATAGTGATAATAAACTAGATTGATTTGTGGTATGATCATAAGGATCATGCCTACCTTATATACCCTGATCGAGCGACGAAGTCGCCTAATTAGGTATTAGGGTTCACATATGAAATGAATAGAAGACTATGTGGTGATCATAGGAATAAGCACTTCGTAGGAGTGCCATGCTCAATCACGTGTTGTTGCACAAGACGGTGAATTCCGTGACATAATTTAATATTATAATATATTCTGTTTTTTATTAATATTCAAATTAATTCCGTTTTTAAATTTTTTTAAAAAAAAATCTTTTTTAGAAATATCTTATTATTAATTATATAATCCTAATATTTAATTTTATAATTTTTTTAATAATTGATAATATATATATATATATATTTAATAAAATATAGTTATTTTTAGTTTTCTAATCAAAATTAATTTATTAATAATATTATATAATTGAAAAAATTAAAAATCATTATAAAATACTTGATTTATAATCAATTTTTTTTTAAAAGAAAAGATTATTTATGAAAACTTAAATAATATATTGATATAATATCAAACTTATAATATAAAAACTTGATTTTTTTATTTCTTTATGTTAAAATATATTCAAATTTATAAAAAAGAAATTGAAAATCAATTTTCGCTATTTCTATTAATAAATAAATTAATATATAATATTTTTATATTAATAATTTTAATATTGAAATTATATTATATATAATAATTATTTTTATATTTTGATTACTTTATAAGAAATAAATAGTAATATAATATATTATGTATAATTATTAATAGAACTCAATGATTGATTAATTATATATTGAATTTAGAATATCTTTTTTAAAAGAAATAAAAGTGTGCACGATACAGGGGCGTGCACGATGTAGGGATATCGGTTATTCGCACGTGGGCGGGCTAAACAGCTCGAACCCCATTTACGATCAGAGTTAGAAAACGAACTTGGAAGATTCAAAATTTGGGCAGGCAACTTGGGTGTTTTTGCTCCAGGTCGAGCATCAGTAGATTACCGACTTCGTGATGATGCTGATGTTAAAGAAATCCTAGTTCAAATGTTGGATCGACTAAGACAAAGCACGAAACAAGCAATGGATCCGCCGGTGATACTGGAGGAGGAAGCGGGAGAGGAAAGTGAAAAGGATTACAACTCAGATTCATCATCGGAAGACTCTATGGCCATCAGTTTGGACAATGAATCAGATGCAAGGTCCGAAACGGATGATCTGCCCAGTCTTCATAGTGTTGATGTTGTAGCGAGAGCTCTAAATACGATCAAAGACACGATTACTCGTCTTTACAGGCTTTCTACTATTATAAAAAAGCCCAGCTCAGCAAACGAAAACGTAAAAGTGGCAGACTTTATAGCAAAAAATGAAGCTTCGGCGGAACTCGTAGAGTTCCAAATCTCTGTCCGCTGGCAGATAGAATTTCGGTTCCCTGGTGCCTCACCAACCTTACTTGAATAGACTGGTAGAAGCTGCAGTATTTCGAAGAAGGAAGTTAGAATACCGGGAGCGACATAAAGAAAAGCTAAAGCAGGGTGTTGAGCGTTCGTTCGCGTCAGACCTGGTACCTCCACTTATACCCAAAAACACAGTAATTCGACCAGCAGGAGCCCAGCATAGAGGTACGCCGATTCGTAGACAACAGGCAAACTCAGCCAGAGGTTCTATTAGTACCATGCAGTATTCTGCTACTGAAGCTTCATCTGTCAACCGCCTCAAGTTTGCTTCTTATCCGAAATCGGTCGCAATTTCTGGGATAACAAGGTCAGCTGTTGCGCGTCGAGAACAGCTAGATGTTCCCGCCCCACCTTCGAAGTCAGAGGGTGAAGTCAAGGAAGCAGTCTGTCCTTATTGTTTTCGTATTGTTGATAAGGAAGACATGATTCAAGCCCGTTGGAAGTAAGTAGTCCCTTTGTTTGGAGCTGAGAAGAATTGGCTGATTGTCTACAGGCGACACGTACTACGGGATATAGAACCATACGTATGCCTCTTTGATGGATGTAACAAGTCAACAGAGTATTTCGCAACGGTAGAAGACTGGGTCAATCATATGCAATGGCAACATGCCGTGGTGTGGTGCTGCCAGGTACCCGGTCATGAATCACCAGTCTACCGCTCTGAAGAAGAATTCAAGCACCACTTATGCGAGGAGCATAAAAATGCTTTCAACGAGACTCAGCTATCCATGATTGTGAAAAAAGCTTCGCAGCCTGTTTCAGACCTTTTTGGCTCATCTGCTCTTGCGGCCAATGGCAACGACAAAGAATCCCATACAGCAGGAGCTTGTCCACTCTGCCCATTTTCAGTGGATGTTCCAAAACATGATGCATTGCCAGAAAATCTGGAAGTAGAAAAAGCATCATTACCTGTATCAAAAGAGCTTTGCGACCACATAGCTGTCCACATGGAAGCTATTGCTCTCCTCTCGTTACCAGAACGCGACGATCTCGATGATGCGAACACTAATGAACGGCAATCAGAGAAGACATATCATAGCCTCGACCAAAATACCGTAGATTTACCACCAATAGCATCCATTAATATTGAGAGCGATGTCGACGAAATAAGTCCAGATCATGCTCATCATTCAATAAGGCCCACAAGCTCGGAATTTATATCCAGAGGCGATTGGAATTACATTCTTGAAGATAAGCAAGTGAAGTCGAGACAAGGTCCGGAGCCGGCCCGGGAACCAACACTACAAAACTTTGTGAGAAGAGCCAGACGCGACGAGATGTTTCGATGATGGAAAATAGATAGAATTCCTCCTATCGTTCTTTATGACACCGATGGAATAGAAACCAGTCCAATTATTGATGGACCACAGGCATATTCTACGGCCGATGAGGTGCTTGATATGTTTGTGAACAACGTGGATAACTTTCAACCTTTTGTCGAGCATTATTACTCCGTTTTCCAAAATCATTCTCAATTTGCCCTCGCTGTCTGGGACCAAACAGCCTACAAATGTTGTTTTCTTGACGACTACTGTCAGGAAACATTCAGGGATGAAGAATCTCTACAAATCCACTTTGAGACTTCCCATTTTCAATTCACCCGCATCGATCCATGTCTTCGAACGATCTGCACTAAATGTTTAACTGTTGGTTTTGAATCCACTTGCAATTGTGGTGGAGATGTGAAATTGTATGTTGTTGGGAACTACATTCGAGAACCGTCATCAATGCATCCAAAACTCACAAGTACTGTCCGACATACACCAACTCGTTACGTTGACACGACCGGAGTACCAGATTCAACAGATAAAGCTGTGATGGAGGAGGCAGATAGAGCTTATCGTGAACGCATCATGGCCAGGAGAATTGTTGAAGAAGAGTGGCGTTCCCCGTATTCTGTTGTTGATAGGTACAGGGAATAGCGCTCAGCCATTTATCTGTATTTATTAAATGTCTCAAACTGAGCTGCAAACAAATTTATGCCAGTTCAGGCACGCACCGAATGAACTTATGTGAATGTTTCCATACCAAGATTTAGACCTGGAAGGGATAGGTCTTCCTCGATGTAGATAAAAGATCAAAAAGCTCATGAGGCATTGCGATATCTACTCCCATCAGGATCTTACCGCTAAAAATCTGATCCGTTAACAACGACGTGTTTGGACGACACATCAGAAAGACGCATCATCGATATCAATCGTACATGAATTTATGCATAGCCTCTTTGACATAAAAACGCGGGATTCTGAGATCGGATTGTGATTGGTTGACGACCCATAAAACCGCTCTCGCATTCGTTAAATTTAATGCTCCCTCAAGCTTACGGCCGTTGTCAAGGCTGGGCTCATCTGAGTTCTACGTCAAACATATTTTAGGAGATTATTTTTGACAGAGGGCTGACACGGACACACTTGGCTATTTCAACGTCCGCCAACAAAATTCGCGGATGAACGATAGACGGTCAATATTTGACCCGACTTGACACATTTTGGTCATTGTTGATAGTATCGTCCGTGGGAATGAATGCGAATGCGGCTGCGCGAAATACACCATGGCGCTTACTTTTTGTAATTTTATTGAAAGGGATGAATATATATTACTGGAGAAGCTTCTCTTTAGATGAGCACTTTCATCTATTTACTGATCTATACTATTGCATCGGTACAGCTGTTAAATAAACGAACATCTTCGCTAATATTCACAACATAATTTCAATTATCTCTCGACATTTCGATTTTTTACGGAATTTCTTGCTACATGAATTAAAATGTCCGAATCACTATATTGTACCACTGTATCCCCAGAATGCCCCGTTGAAGCCACTATATACGGTTACACACCCTCTCTAGGCTTCAACGCATTTTTCCTCGCCTTTTTCACGCTAGCAGCCATCTATCACCTAGCCGCCAGTATCCGTTACAAAACATATTTCTTCGGTATAGCCATAACAATCGGTTGTCTGGGTGAAGTAACTGGATACATTGGCCGGATTCTCTTACACGATAATGCCTGGTCAGACATCGGATTCGAGATCCAAATTTCCTGTCTTATCTTTTCGCCTAGTTTTGTAGTCGCTAGTGTGTACATTACGCTTCAACATATTGTGCAAACTTTTGGCACAGAGAAATCGAGGATTCCCGCAAGGTTTTATACTTGGGTGTTTATTACCTTTGATATTCTCTCATTGTTACTACAGGCTATTGGCGGAGGCATCGCTGCCAGTGCTGGTGAAAACGAAAAGACGAGAGATTTGGGCACGAATCTTATGATTGCGGGTATCGTGTGGCAGGTCTTCACTTTAATTGTTTTTGCGGTCCTAGTTATTGACTATGTTCTTCGAACGAGAAAATCATGGGACCGAGTGCCCGATGAAACGAGAATGATGGCTGCAAAAAGACCTTTTAAATTGTTTTGTGCTGGAATCAGTGTGGCTTTCGTCACTATTTTTGCGAGATGCGTGTATAGGATTGCAGAGATGGTTCAAGGTTGGGCAAATCCAATTATGCGGGATGAGGCGGGCTTTATTGTCATGGAGGGATTGTAAGTTTTCCGTCTAGCTTTTTGTTGTGAGAAACTAACGAGAATAGTATGATTGTCATCGCTGTATCATCTCTTGCGATCTTTCATCCTGGATGGTGCTTTCCGCAGATTTCCAAAGGGGTTCACAAAAATGGAGAAAGTGTTGAGAAGGCAATGCTGGGGTCCAAGTCTGATTCTGTATGAATGCAAAGCGTGATAGTAAAGAGATCTCGCGAGTCTTTTTTTTTTTTGGATGTGTAGATGATTAGATGGATAATGTAACGACTGTGTTTAAAGCGATTTTGGAGTTGAATGGTCAATTATACAGACTTGCGGGTGGAAACATGGAATCGTCTCTAGTATTAAGTAGATTGACAATTATTGATATTATTCTTTTACTCAATAGTAGAACGTGTGAAAGATTGATCTTTGGAGCGAAGCTTCGCAGTGAGAAAGCGATCGTGAAACACGAACTGCTTCTCCACAAAGCTGCTAAATTGCATCTTCGAAGGGAGTATTGAGCGAGAGGCCCCTCTTCCTATAAGTATTGCCTAATAGAATGTACTTCAAATAAAGGTCCCAGCCCATTCAGGGGGTTTTCGTCTCTTTATAGGCTCTGATTGTACCCAAGACTATGTAAGGTTATTAGCAAAGATGAACAATCCTGATAATCATTCTGTAACTAATATTAATCGCGTTCAACCATTTTCAGGCTTTGGTGAAGCCTTAGACCTTTATTATAGGAATTACATCTCTTGATACACGGACGCTGAAAGAATTTTACCGTAAGTGTTTTTACGCTTTGCGAAAAAGCGACAGTTAGATTAATAATAGTTCGGCATCTTTATACATTGTCACACTGCTCACCTTACCATATAGTGACTTGGCCAAATGGTCTACTATATCTGCCAGAGACTAAAATTGAGCACTTATTACACAGTCATGTGATGGAAAGAATATCATGAAATTACAACTGGTGTATGTATACGTAGCATTCCCCTCATTCCTTTCTCAATAATCTTGACCCGTCAAAAAATGCGTGACCAAATCAAAAACAGCGACGTTTCCTTCCTAATTTCCTTGCCAACAAAAAGAGTGAATTGAAAAATGGAAGATTATCAATTTATCTTAAGTACTACTCGCTTGCGAGTAGTACCCATAACCCCATCCAACTTCCATGGCTTAGGCCTATTCGGAAACAACTTTACATCCAGCAAAATACACATCATCGTTTGCGACCAATTCGAGCTGCTTAATAAGTACTGAACCTTTATCTGCACGAGCGGCCGTGATCCAGATATGTTTGCTAAACAAAACCTTTGCATTTTTCCCCGGGACTTCGAACTTCTCTGTTACCGTTGACTCTTTATACTCCGTGAATTAAGAAGACCTTTCGGAGGTAAATTGATAATTGAGAGTGACGCTGAATTCTACGCATCCAATGCCAGAAGAGGCCGAGACTAAAAGAGTTTGAAGTCAGCAATTGCTCGTCTTGGATGAACAATGGAAAGGAGTTCATGTTGAATATTGAATATTGAGATAGAATCGATTATCAGGAAAGTGAGATTAATAGGCATGTATAGATTATACTAACTCTCAACACCAGCAGAGTGAGTCATTGACTCAGATTCTGTTTTACTGACGCCGTATTTTATTTCTTTTTGGCGCGAGTACTTGCCCTCACCACCATTTACCCAAACACCCTCGACCTTCCATGCAATGGATCTGCTCAGTTCAATAAACGGGATCCGGATGAAGTCAAGGCTTCTTTCGTCTTTCATGTCAAGGAAAGAAATGAATGGCAAAGTAACGCGGCACTGCTCGCTGAGCGAATATTGATCCCCCGTGGTAGGGATTGCAGTCGCTGAGATCTTAGGAACCGAGGCGTCGAATCTCTTGAATTCGTTCTCGCAAGGCAAAACCGGAACCAAAGCATGTTCTGAGTCGGGCTTAGAGTAGCTCTGGTGTCCTCGGAAAGTACCAGCTGTTATGGGAATATTCTTGTCGCCCATGCCTATAGTTGGTTCCGGAACTATTTGCCACACGCTACAATCAAAGTCACCACCGCCATGCTTGTCGTCCCAGTATGAGCTAGTAGAGTAGACAGCACGCTTTGCGAGATCAGCTCGTAAGCACCAGACTTTATCAGTGCTTGGTTTTTCATCCCATGTCGTATTTGTGCAATTAAAGACAACGTCACCCATCGACACATATCCCTCTGGAGGGATTGGTCTCCATAAAGAGTTATCATATTTTCCACCCATTCCTTTAGAAATCCACATTCTTGTGTATCCAGTTGGGGATTTGACTGCGGGATTCGAATCGCTGGTGGCCCCTACGAGGAGAGTAGCTTGCTTCTTATTGATATCGTTGTAGTGGTCAACGCCGACAGTACCCAAGGGGCGCATACCTCCAAAATCGCTAGACTGGGACTTTGGATGCCAGAAAGTAACGGCTCTAGCTGCACCAGTACCTGTGTCTGCCCAGGCCCATTCATACTCGGAGGTCAAAGTAACCTTTAGGTCCCCGTACGTGCGGGTTTGGTTTGTCATATTCACTAAAGGCAAGAGTGAAGGCTAAAGAAAGCCGTTGACGTTTGATGGATTGTTAGGAATTGATCAATAAGTAAGATGGAATATCTGCGTGGATAGACTGGCCGGCCTGAAAATCGCAGGAAGCCATCTCAAATATATATACACGATGGCTACTGCCGCTAATATATGCCAAGTCCCTCTCAGAACCGCCTCTCTGATTATCAGGGGAAATGAGCTACCGAAACAGCTCTCTCCGCTTCAACTAAGACATTTACGATATTTCAGCTCGTACCGCACCTTTCTGATCATCTGAACATATTGATAATGCTATGAGTTACTATTCCCATACTACGCACATGGCTCTTTGTTCCTGTATCTGGCGACATGCATGACACAATAAATGCCGTGTGGAGAAAGAGGAGTTTGATTGAGCCATCCAGATTCGTGTGAAATTTCTGATAGAGCCCGCGCCATGCATGCAGCACACAGTTCCAAACTCTGGTGGATGCTGTTGTTGATTGAAAAGGTTAGTCAAATGAATCAGAGGTAACATTTAAAGCAACGAACTGCAGAGCTGAGAAATTTGACCCCGCGTTTGTGGCTTCAGATGACGCGATTAATTTGGTATTCGGTCAATGAGCCGGGTCTGACGAAGAGAGATACGAGCTTTCAGCTCACAGAGGACTTTCTGCCATCCACACATTAGACCACCTTCAAAAAGTGCTTGATTAAACATAAGTATTTCTGTACTGAGTAACTCATGACTTATTCTCTGATAAATCAAGAATTACCACGTCAGAATTACGTATCATCATCCAGAACTTCAAGCAAATAATGATCGCGTATTGACTCGCTCAATGTTGAAGGCTCAGATCTTGAAGGACTGCGCAATGATCTAGCTAGACTGTAGAATTGCATCAGGATGTAGTGTTTTCATTGATTTTTTTATGATGAAACATAAGAGATGATATACGATGGCCTAAGTCCTCAGGTCAAACTAGAATCTAGTGCAGGAGAGGCGGCTGGGTCTCCGTCATGATACTTGCTGCCATGTTTTCCGAGAATCATTTCATGCAAGCCTTCTCGAATTCGTTATTTAATTCTGTGAGATGTTCGTGACATCAGAAGAGGAGAACCTCAAAGGAAAAAATGGTCGATGAAATATGTAGAAAACCAAGAGAATCAGTACTACAGATCATGATTTGATGAATTGGGACCGAATTCAACCTACAATTGACTCAAAAGAAAATGTTACCATTTGACACAGATTCTCTGAATTCATACTCATTTATTCGTGGTTTCAAACGATGTGTTTCGAAAATATGGTACAAGGGCTGACCAATTTATCTTCACAGAAAATTCCCAAAATCATTCTCGATATCAAATGCCAGAAGAATCAGGGGGTAATGCAAGAACATTCCTCCTTGATATACATCGCTATGAAGGATGTTACTTTGGATGGATGGACATCTTCACGCACCTTGACTCAAGTGCGTTCTTCCTTGCACTGTCGCACAACGTTTGGCAGTTGAGTTAACTAGGTTTATCACGGCTTCAAACAGACTTGAATGGGCGGGTCAATATGCGGCACCCAGCTTTTAGGAGCTTCTCTTGTTCTAAACGTTCCACTTCTCGGGGACCATCTTTGTTTTAGGGACATCATTATGTTCCGTTTGAATATTTGCTAACATGGGAATGCATTACCATCACTTCATTGCTCTCGCGCTGTTTCACGAGCTCAAGTTTGTATCACTCTAACATTGCAAGTGTGTGTATTGAGTCGAGTACCCCTCACTCCGAGCTTTCACCCCTCGAGCAGCCTCTGCCACAGCGCTACACGTAATGGAAATGCATATTTGTTTATCAATTGCTGTTCACGGCTTCGCACAAGCTGTCCATAGAAATATTCTGCCCAACAGCTTTGCAAAGGCTACTTTTCTTCTTGGCTATCTTTCCTGTCAAGGCTCGTAGGTAGTGCTTTGAAATCATGCAAGGCTGTTTTCCATGAATTAGCGGTTAGCAGGCTTCGTGAACCTTGAGGTACATAGAAGTATACTTAAACACAGTATATGTGAATGCAAGGGAATTTCAACCACCAAGTCGATGCGCATAGCGAAATAGCCTCTAGGCGACAACTACAAGATCTCATGAACCAAAAATTTCGCCTTGAGATACAACCTAGTGGGGTAGCTTTTATACTTCCACGATATCGCACCGCAGAGCGGTCGTGTAAGGTATGATGTGACGACACGCGTATCCAGAGAACTTCAATGGCAAAAATCAGAAGCTGTTCAATTCGTCGAAACCCAACTCAGCGACACAGTTATACACCACTTGGGAAGTTGCGAAACGAAGCACTTGAAAGTAATAAGGTATTAAAGGAAGCGAGTGTTATAGTTAGATGTCCCGACTAAAAAATTTCATCCACGCTACGATTTCATGAGACAATTGTGCTTCAAATTTGATCCACGAGACTTGATAATCAGATGCTTCGTGAGGATCCCACAGTCGTTATTACCGTTCGTGAGTAATTCTCCAGGTTGCAATACTTGAACTTTGAGAAGCAAAACCCCCAATTCGACCAATCCTGATAGCAAACTTCAATCCTTCACCAGAACGCATAAAAATACGCATAGAACAAAAGTTAACATAATATGGCAACAGCAATGATTTATACAACACACAATAGACTTCTACCGTACAACGCACCAAAAACCCCGCCTCAAACCCCCAATTCTCGCCAGCCAATACCCAAGCGATCCGCCCCTCCATCAAAAAATTTAAGCGCCCACAGCGCATAAACATCTATCCATAGGTCCTCAGCCTCTACTGTGAAACAGTAAATAGCAGCACTCATTCACTTTCGATATACTAAAAAACGATGGTGTGGGCGGGTATATTTTGGAGGACCAATACCGATGTGTATTTCGATTTTCTTGAATAATTTTAGTAGATCGGGTAACGGGATTTAAGATGAGGATTGAAGGTTGGGTTGCATGCGGTGGCATGTTTAATTGCAATTTGATACTACTTCGTGTTTTGATGCTGTACTTATACCGTTGTGATCGCTCTTGATCTCGATTTTCTTACTTGGAACTACCTACACATATTTTACTCGCTCGTTCGTTCATTCCTTTGATTTTGCTGATTCATTTAATACCTCGAGTTTCTGTTTGCTTTTCTTTTTGCAATTGAGGATTGATATACATACAGTGCAGGCACTATTTTTTGAGAATCGTTAATTTTGATTGATTACTTGTTTGAGTTTCCTACGCTGTTTCAGTTACCTTGCTCTCTTCCTATCGTTGCACAGTGGTACTCTCTTTGAATACTATATCCCATTGTTTCATTAAAATATCACGAAAACTGCTGTCTCATTGACGTTGACATATCTATCCATCATGGTCGATAGAAAACACGTTAGAAAATCGAGGAGTCATGGGTACTTTCATCGAAGAAGACCAGATGAGATATATATCCAAAATGCCCAAAGTCATATGTTTTCATACGCCAACATGGAAGAAGTCATGCCAACACCCGAACTCCTTTTTGACGTTGATGAAAGAGAAAACGCCACATTTCCCCGAACTCCAGATGATGAGGCATCATCACCCCGAAACTTTTTTCTCGAAAAGCCACCCGCGAGTTGGAAATCAGAGGAAACGCCCATCTCCCCTGGTGTGACTGTATTATTGAGTCCGGCGTATGGGGATGAGAATGGCGATTTGGATGTCATGGAGTTTTTCCAGGCGTATGTTGTCACCTGTCATTATAAAGCGTATTTTTAGGGTTCTCGATACTTATATTTTTCATTTGCAGAGCGACCTACCCAGGACCACGAGCGGTGCGAATTACTTCAGAAAAGTCACGAGATACGCCCATGTCTCGAAATGCAAATAAGAAGAAAAATTCATCGAAAATTGGGCTTCCATCGCCAAAAACTCCTAAAGCTTGGCCTTCAATCGTGGAGCCTGACATTAGTACTCTTCCTTCGCCGGAAGTAATTGAAAAGAATATACTAGGAGCTCGTCTGAAACTTTCTAGACGAGAGATTTCGACTGAGAAGTCTGTAAATTTTGGACAAACTCAACGTCGTATGATTGACAATCCGCTTGAAGCATATCTTGTGGCACCAAGGCACATGCCAGGCCGGAAACAAACTGGCTCGCCATCTCCGGAAGAGAGAAATACTCATAGCCAAAACAATCTGCTAGAACCAACATTAGCAGCCAGCGGAACCATTTCAAGGACACCTAGTCCAGTGTTTGATTTTGACGATTCGGAAATCACAGATATTGAAAGCGGTGATGAATTTGAAGAGACACGCAACGAGAGATTGAGCAGATGTGAAACATTATCGAGTCAAGATCTCCATAGCCCAATGTTTGACAAGCCTCCAAAGCCATTGGAAAAAGATTGGAAGTTCCGTCTCCAACAAGATTGTGCTATGGGTACTCTTGGTGCCTTAGAGTCACCCTCGATGTTCTCATCTGCTAGCCAAGCTCCTCGGAAAATATCCAAGTCGACAAATAGAAGGCTCGGGGAGATTGAATTACCGAATTACAATACCGAATATTCAAAGAGTCACACAAATGGTATACACACAAGTCGTCCTCGTCAAACCAGTGCAGAATCAACACGCTCTCAAACCTCGCCTATCATACCGCCACCTCGAAGGAACAGTCCACCTATCATGGCACCAATTCATCGAGACCAGAGCGAAGCAAAAGGAGCATCATTTGAACCAGAATCCCGCACACCGCGAACTGTAGTATCGAATTGGCTCACGAGTATGTCTTCCAACGCTGGACGTAAGGAACAATCGCGAGAGCATGATGCTTTTTGGAAGAAAAGTCGAAGTTGGGGTCGCAAGACGAAGCCTAAATTGGAAGGCTGGATTTAATAATATAGGCGGGGAGTATGCCGTTGGGTGGTTTTGGTGGGGCGATATTTACGATGTAAATTTACGTGTTGACGGTCAGGGTTCATCAAAATTGTTAATGAATATCTAGGCATCTGGAAACTTTAATGGAGGGCATTGTGTAGAAAGATTATATGTTAAAATATAAGGCCTGTGAGAGGGAAACTCGGGAGTGGGAGAATGGAGAAGAGGCTGGATCATACTCCGTGAATTTATAATGATACCAAGTTCTTGTTCATTGTGCTTAGGTTCCCCGAGCCTCCTGTAACCTCAAGTACTTCTTGACGTCAAAATGACTAGGCATGCGCGCGGCTGCTCGCTGTCACTACCAGCTAAATTTCTAGACCTTCTTGACAACTAATGATGTTGTGTCATCATACTCTGTCGCTTTGGTCTCTGCTTGCTGCGGAAACTGCGTGCTGTTCGTCAAACCCTTCACTAATCTTGTATATACCCGTAAAACAGACAAATGATAGATGTCCATGATGGAAACAAGAGTAAAGGGACCACTTAATGATCTTTCAAAGATGTAAATAAAGCGGGGCATTGCAAATACTCCCCGGTTCCCTCAGCGGCACAGCACAGCACAGAGCACAGAACATCAGCGTGATAGCAGCGGCTGTTTGCAGATTGGGAGCAACCATTCAACAAATCCCGATAATAAGCTTTGAAAGTTGGATAAAATACGGGAAAGCCAAGAGAACCAAGATGAACAGACAGAGTAGAGAGCAAGCAAACAAACAGGAAACATTCTCTCAACGGTAATGTAAACATAAGATGGAGAGACAACAACTATTACATGGCAATGCATACCTAGGTAGTCAATCAGATTAAAAGTTATATATAACTCTAGAGTGAATGATCAATCGAGTGCTCATTTATCGTTCAGCTTTAAGAAGAAACCAATCGAGTCCAGAAATCCAGAGGCTGTGTTGAGACTCTAGAAATGCATCCATCAATGATAATGACAATACGTACCCAGCGAGCCAGGTAGGTACTGATATCACGCACCAAAATCTGACGAAGAGCCACCAGGTTATGACAAAAAGACGCAGGGATTCAAACTGCACGTAGTTAGTCTTGTACCGGTTTTAGTCCTGATCTGACAGTGAGAGGGAGAGAAGAACCCACTCCAAAAACTTTCCCGTTCTTCAACCAATCCTTCATCGTCTTCAACCAACAATTCGGACTATCGTAGTAAAATACAGCGATCTTTATGTCGGTTCCAGACCTGCAAAAGAGTGAATTGCTATAAATGAAGAGTACCAGACCCACATCCATCATCTATTTGTTAGTTCAAGGTGGTTGGCGGATAAAGTAAGAGAGATAGGTAGGTGAAGTGGTAGGCTTTTGCTTTGCTCCCCTTTGCTTTGTTTTTCTGTTCTAGTATTTTTGTGGCGCAGACCTTTTAAGTAGGTAGGTATTGCTTGATATCGTGGTAGTATCAGTACCAACTTGACGTCTCATTATTCCATAATGATTGATATGCCGTTCTCTGTCGATCTGCTGTTACACTACTGATACGATACGAGATATCGATCCGCAAACAATTTGCAAGATACATTCAAACCTCTGAACAAAAAGGAAAAGAAGGACAAACAGACAGAGAAGAGAGAAATTTAGATTCACGACTAAAATTTGAAACAATTCACATTCACTCAACATGAGTGCCAGTCCGGCTGAGCGAAAAAGTATATTAAAATCAAGGGACATCGATCTTTCAGATAATGCAACCGGCGTCGCATCTTCTTCGGTGTCAACCAGTCCACCGAGATTGACCCATCAACGACACGGATATCGCAGAATGGACTCCCAAGGTTCAGTTCAATTTTCCCCAAATCTCGAACATGTTCAAGAAGATACTCCTTACTCTACAATTCCCTTGATAGTCGAGGGCGAATCGCCTGAATCTGCGAACATGTCTCAAGGATTAGGAATATCTCGAATGCCTACCTCTGCGAGTCGCAAATCGCCAAGTCCGCCCAGTCCCTCGGGCGGATTTTATAGCCCACCAATTGGGTCTGCATCTTTGATGACCTCTCCTGCAACTTCGACAAATCGTTTACTGGCATCTCCGACGTGGACGGAAAATAATACATATGGTGGGGGAGGAGACTTCTTGGACGTGGACCAAGGGCAAAGACGCAACAATGAATCTCTGGATGAGCAAGACATTTCTAGAGGAAAGATTTCAGCTTTCACCGAGAGTCTGGACCAGGCTTTTGACACCCCGAATATTTCAAGGCTGAGCAGTATTCATGAAGATCATGTACACGACGAGAAACATATCGGATGCGGGTGTGCAGCGAATAATGATATTCATTCGCGTGTCAGAAGTTGGACGTCAGTATCCGTTCTATGCCTCTGCATATATTCAACCATATTTTCCGGGATTTGGTTTTTCATAGCTGTTCTTCGGCCGCGATATGGTGAGCATATCAAGACTAATGGTTCGTTGACGCCGTCAACTGCTTCAATTTTGTTTGCCGGTTTTGCGAAAAGTATCGAGTTATCTTTCGTCACTATATTTGTCAATTTCCTTGGCCAAGTCTTAAGTCGGAGGTCTCTTGTTAGGAATTCCGATGGTGTCACTGTTGCAGAGTTGACAATGCGAACTTGGGTAGGTTTGATTTTTATTACTTTGTTTGATGTTGAGTTTTTCCTTTGAGGCTTAGATATCTTTTTTGTGTGGAATGTTTGTCTGATATTAATTGCCACTTTTAGGTCATCCAACCAGGATTCATGATCACAAATCCTAAAATTTTGCGAAGAGCCGCATGGTCAATCTTAGGAGCAATTACGTTGACGGCAGCTTTTGTCGCTATGTTCTATACCACGGCATCAGATGCCATCGTTAGTCCTAGTCTCCAGTTTGGCAAGTGGGAACATGCAGTAATGAAAGGATTGGTTGAAACAAGCTATGGAAATCCTTATTATGTTGCACAGAATTGCGAAACTCCAATCACAAAAGAAATGGATTCAGAATACTCCGCTTCCACTTGTGTGGATATTGATCACGCGGGAGAAGGTGTGTGAATCCTCAACCATGCTATTCGAGAACACGCTAACTTTTTAGCCTATCATAATTTCCTTGAGTATGTTCGTACTTGGGCCGATATTGCTGCTGCTGGAGGAAAAGGTAATTCGTCGAAGATGGCAAATCGGCCAATTGTGACAGCCAACCTTTATGACAACACTACTGTTAAAGCATCATGGATTCGTACCGATACTAGCGATATGGCTGCCAGCTATGAAAAGTACAAACGTGTTGTTAACAACGTCACTCTCGCTATGCCGCACGCTAATGTCATTTCCGCTGCGACTGATTCAATCAATGGAATCTTACAACCTTCTGATCTTGAAGGCGTAGGAGAATATAAAGTTAAAGCATCGGTAGTGAGCCCCACTATCAATGTTTTATGTGTCAACATGAATAAAACAGAACTCTCGCCAATCATTTATGTTGACTGGCCTAATGCAATCACAACTGACGCTCCAAATATTCCAGGCCAGAAAATGGCTTGGAGTGGTTACTCATCGGAGATCAATTTACAGCCAGGCCAGGAGTATCTCAATAGCACTGCGGTGGATGATATATTTGGGTGGGGCGCAGATGGAAAACAGCCTCCAGTATTTCCAATGGTAAGCTTATGTTGTATAACTTAGTGTGTTTGTATCGGCTAACCCCTATAGTTGCCTATCGACTACAATACTATCACCAATATATCGGTGTACATGAGCGATTATATATACATTCTTGCGAAATCAAGTACCACAGCCGATTATACTGTATGCGAAATGAGTATGTACTCCCCAATCCTTATTTCCCTAATCCTTTATCCTCGTGACTCGGGTTTCAAATTCAAAACGAGCCATTGAAAAATATACAATATTACGAGCAGGGGAATACCGCGATAGCTGAGTTGCTAACAATCATTTGCTAGGCTCCTTTCTTGCAACCGACTGTAGCACGACATATTCAGCTTCTGGGGTAGGTGGAGTTCTGGAAAACACTTGCGAAGATCCCAACGATGAGATCGCTTATGACAAATCCTACAACCCACCACCACCACCTCCCGCTCGACAACAAGATTTTCGAAACATCATTTCGGAATGGGCGCTTACATTGTCTCTGAACACTGGAATTTCAAATGATAATGCTTCTATTTCTCGATTGCTTACACAATTCGTCACGACAGCTCCTAGCCTGAATACTACGTTACCCAGTCTCGCAGAAGCCCTCGCTTCGCTATCTGGCTGCACCTTGTTGATCAGTGCTCAGGGCGCTACCTACAGACATTATATGGGATACAACGCTACAAACGAAATCGTAAGTCCCGGCGTCTACGAACCATTCAACGCATCAATCTCCAGTCAATCCTACACCTCAGGCCCGGCTGTTCGCTGGCAAAACATGTTTTACGTCGTTCTTCTCCTCGTCTTTCTCACCAATATCTTCTGTCTCGGTTATTTTATCCGTCAACGCGGTCTTGTCACCGATTTCACCGAAACACAAAATTTATTCGCTTTGGCGGTTAACAGTCCTCCTTCTCAACGCTTAGGTGGGAGTTGTGGCGCTGGTCCACAAGGTGATCAGTTGAATGTTGATTTCCATGTTCACCACGAAGAAAATTCAAGTCACTTCTATCTGAAGGAGGGGAATAGTAGTAGTGTTTTTGAACCTTCGAGTTTTGAGCTGAAAAGCAGAATAGGCTCGGTTACGAAGTTGAAATCGAGAACGGCGAGCAGTTACAGTATGTTGAGTAATAAACGGAGGAGTATTTTGTGAGTGAGGTGGATCAAAAAAAAATCAAAATGAAGGCGAGATAGACGGAGAGTAGCTAATTGCATATGAGGGGCGTTTGATATGGTCGGGATGTATAGTGAGGGACTTGGAAATACCCATGATATGATGAACTTATGAAGTTTATTAATTGCTGCTTGCTAGATGCATCATAAGTTTGACAGCGTCAGTTTCTATAATAATAACCGGAAAAATGAATCTTCAGCCTAATTAGTGGTTTATAAAATAATTGAAGATTATTGAATCTCGGTGGTGGGTTCTAGGTCTTTTGGTGATGAATGCGCTTTGCGTCGTCCATGGGGATCTTGCTTTTATTGCGGGAAAGAAAAGAAAAGGAATACTTAGTAGTGTTGCTTTTCAATGGGAAATTAGAATCATACAATGAGCTACGACGAAACGAACGGACGATTAGATATACTTATGAGTTGAGATTTCAAATCCCGCGACAGAAGTAATCGCGAGGTTCTCCGATCTCCATGTTGAGTAAACATGACCAAGTTTCCTCTTCTCATCGAGCAATTAAATGGGATGGAGTTATCGGACATTATTGGCGTAGCTATGCGATTTGTTTCTGGAGCGGGGTCTACGTCGGAGATAGGAGTGGAGAGGAGGGCGCGGAGATTTCTGGGTGTGGATTTTTTTATGGAATTGGACTTGTGAAGTGTAGTGGGTGGATTTCTCTGTTGCGATCAGATGGGATGGGTGATGGGTGGATGGTGAGTGAGTGAGTCTGTATATATTTTTTCTTATGCTTTGAATTGGTTATCTTCACTTCAAGTATTATACGACTTTTAGAGTTCCAGCGCGTTCGAATGTGGAGTTGTTGTGGATTCATTTTCTTACTTGATAGAATAGTGGAACCTCTCTATGACCACAAATTCTTTGTAAGCAGAGTCTCTTTATAAGCAAAATCTCTTTATAAGGATATATGTCTTTGCGTCTCGAATCCTTTAAAGTTCAATAATGATATATGTCCTTGAAGCCCCTCTATCAGAATATCCTTCGGTATCCTTATAGAGAGGTTTTACCGCATAGAATTGAGTTTCCGCTATACTCTTATTTTCGTCTGTCCCTCGCAGTATCCAGAATTCTACGAATGATCTAGGACTCCACTTCGTCTTAAAGTGGGCATGGCAGTTGTAGGTGACTAGCCTAGTGGGCAGTCAATACCTCGTATACCTTATGATATACCTCATTTGATTGGCCTCTGAAGAGAAAAAAAAAGAAATGTCGGGCTGCCCGGGCTGATCCAACGGTATTTCAGATAGCACGTCATTCGGCCCGCTAACTGAATCTGGTGCATACATAATATATGGAGTACTTCTGGGGAAACGTCAAAGTTTGCGACATGTCCCGAATTTGCATTGGTAGATACTTTTATTCCGGTGAGGCTTTGATTGCATTGAGGGACTTGCACTCCAAAGCAGCCTGTGGACAGTCCGTGGATCTCGTTTCGGAGTCCGACGGGATTATCGGACTTAGATGGTTTGAGACCTGGTGGTCGACTGATTGCTAAGTGATTGCTAACTGATCGTCGTTTCGTCTTGAGTGTGAAGATAATTTTCGTTTCTGGTGATGGGACGTTATTTCTCGCGTAATGGCCATGTACGGGGTGAAGTGGTACTTGGGAGTGTACTTATTTAATCTGGTGATTTCCCATTTTTCAATATAATAGTTCCAAGAGTTCAACAGTTAGCTTTAATTGAGCCAATAAATCACCTTCTCGAGATTTCCCCAACAAACATAATCAAGTCGAATATAGTCATTTTTATAAGTCATCTCTTCGGTCAACATGCCTTCAACTTCACCATATTCAGCCGAGAGTGGTAAGATGCCAAAAATTTCATACCAAATTTAAGATAACTGATCTCTTTCAACCCTAGGCGAGAACTTTACAAAGATATCCTACAATGACACCTACGCCGCAATCAGTCCTAAAGCTTCAAGCCATAGTGGCAAAGTAGTTTTTATAAGCGGAGCATCGAAAGGGATTGGTCGTGCAATTGCCCTTTCATATGCCAAATCCGGTGTATCTGGTCTTATCATAAGCGCACGAGCTTCCTTGGCTTCTGTCGAAAGAGAAATCGAGGAAGTTTGCAAATCAGCAAATATTCCCGTTCCAAAAATTCTTGCTCTGAAGCTTGATGTACTTGACTTTGCAAGCGTCGAAGATGCTGCTAAATCTATCGAGACAACGTTCGGTCGATTGGATATTCTGATTAACAATGCGGGATATTTTTCTAGTGCAGAGAATATAGTGGTTGGAGATAAAGACGAATGGTGGATGAATTTGGAAGTCAACTTGAGAGGAGTGCACTGGGTTACCAAGTGTTTGTTGCCACTATTACTGAAGACAGATGGCGGTGATAAGACCGTTGTGAATGTTGCGAGTGTGGCGGCTCTACTCATGCACCCTGGTTTGAGTGGGTACCAGATGTCGAAGTTCGCGCTTGTGAGGTTCACGGAAACATTGTGTGTTGAGTATGGGGATCAAGGTTGTGAGTTACAGTTTTCTGTTTCCTTTGTTGGTGCGACTGAGTTTTAGGATGGTACACTAATGCTTGATCTTTTAGTACTTGCATATTCTCTGCATCCTGGAGCTGTGCCAACTGATCTATCAAAGGCATTACCAGAAGGTTTTCATGAAAGTAAGATAAGCCAATTTTTCTTCTTCGTTCTCAAAGGAATCTCCGATGGAATTATGCAATATTGACTGCATAGGCGGTCTGCAGTTTTAGTTTTCAAAGAGTTGTACTGATTTATATCCAATAGTTCTCATAGATACCCCAGAACTTGCTGCCGATACAATTCCATTTTTGACGTCTCAAAAGAGAAAGTGGCTCGCTGGTAGGTTCCTCAGTTGTAATTGGGATATGGCGGAAATCATGAGCCGAGAGAAAGAGATAGTCGACGGGGACAAGTTGAAATTCCGAATGAAGTTTTAAAGTTGGAAAGATGAGAGAACGGATAGAACTTTTGGTTTTGATAGTTTCTGGGTGCATACACACTCTTATTTATGATTGTTTGAATGTATCTGTATGAAAAAGAACTTCGAAGGCGCTTTAATTGTTCTTTCCCAATTTTCCTGTTTGTACGTGAGGGTCGGGTGGTTAGAGATGTCTACGTTGTGCCGATGTGATGAGATCACAAGTCATTCATAAACGCGGTAATACTATTTATGTGCCTATTATTATCGTCGCTGGATTTTTCTCACCTGCTGCTTGAATTCAAGAAATTGCGAAACAAGATGCAGTAGTCGGTCGTACCTTCTCATTTCCACATCCTTCGTACCCGACGAAATAATCAGAGAAGGAAGGAACGTCTAACATGACTAGGTCACTAAGATGATTTTCTTCTCTTCATTTTCCTAAACAATACAACACAATCTTGTTACTTACAAAACACTACAATTTGCTTCGCATCACTTCGCATTCCTTTTCTTTGCTTTACTATCAGTTTGGATCCATCGTCTCTCGTCTTAAATAGTCTTAGATGCACTGGGTAGCACATCAGAACATGTGTTGTAAGTTCCATGTTCTAAATGTTTTATCCATACCATCATTTCCTGCCACACATACTCATATCGTTTCTAACATAATCGAACCAACAGATCCACGATTCTCAAGAAATATGACTCACAAATCGACTGACTCAGAGATGACAAGACTCGTAAGTCTTTCCTCCTTCGCTCGAGATCTAAGTTCCTTCTTCCGTTTCCCATCATCAAGACTGTCAATGTTCGATAAAAGCCCCAAGACTGAGGAGTCTCATCTACTCAACTCAATACGTACTGTATCGATACTTTCGATGCCAATACACATTGTTGAATGATGAGAAGTTTTGATTACTCAACCCAAAGCCCCAGAACTTTCAATCGTAGTATAAACTACAAGGTTGAAAAGCCCCATCTCCCTCACTTAGTCCATAATTCTCCATCAATTCCGATATACAATACAAAAGTATCGTTTCTGCACCTGCCATGTCAGTCTTTCATATGTCCAACATAAGTACGGAGATCAGTAGTCTCGTTGAAGTTTTGATCTCGAAATTTTGAACATGGGATACAGACGGGGGCACTAAGAAGTCTCATCTCGTCTCGTCAAGCCATATATTAGCATCTTCAATTCCATCACACATTCCAGCACCAAGATCTCGGATTTGGTCTAATTCATTACAGAAGTCAGCTTTCGAAGAAATCGACCAACAACAGGAGCTTCCTTTTGTCAGATTCTACCGCTGGTATGTTCTTCACAGCATTCACAAGCGTGCTTTCAAAAATGGCATCTTTCAAGAATATATCCCCTGGATCCTCACCGGCGATTCCGCATGGAGCATCGAAAAAATCCTCTTCAAACTTTGTGATTCACCCGAAGTCACTGAAGAGGAAAGAAAAACCATCTGTAACTTCCTCGGCAAATATCATGAACAGGTCCTTGAACAGAGTAAGAATGGTGCCCCTTCCACAGGCCTAGGAAACAAGATGATCGCAGAATGGGAGCATACTAAGCGATTGTTTGACTTAAACGATCCCAACCATATGGCTGGGAAGTCGTGGGCCAATGATCCACAACTTCACACTGACTGGGCTGCTTCCTACGAACCAAATCGCCGTGAGAGAGAAGCCACCAAGGCCGCTAGCCTCTGTCGTGAGCAAAAAGTCATCAATCTCAGCAACCACTCATGTGAGCAACATGCTACCCCTGAAGCCAAGCCCCTTGAAATCAAAGTCCCCTTGCGTAGCAAGAAATCCGCAGATGTGGGCGCGTTCAAACTCGACCTTTCTAGAAAAGGCTCAACAAAGATCCAGAGAGAGATACATGAGATGGAGAGAGCCAAGAGGATGAAATATGAGATGGAGAGAAGAAAGAAGAGGGTTGTCTCTGGAACGGCGAGTGGTTCAACCAGCCCAACTAAAAAGATCAGAGCAGAGGTCGTTGACTTGCTTTTGGACGAATTAGACTTGAGTGATGGTATGTAGGTCTTCGTAAATTGATGGATGTGATACTAATTCAACCAGGTTATTGATTATGAGTTTGAGGTTACTTCGGGGAGCGAGGTGTAGTACACGGTTGTGTAGAGATAGAGAAATTGAGTCTATCGGGGGAATAAGTTTATTACATGGACTGGGTTTATCAGAGGGGTTAGATGTCGTCGAAGGGTTTGATTCAACGAAGTATCAGAGTTGTAAGCAAAGATTATTGAGTAGAATAATTTTATCTCATTGCTTGGAACGACATCCCGCTGCCTATCTAAAATCTTCATGTTGCGTGATAGTGATAGAGTTTCGAAAATTCAACACTTAACATATCGGAAACAATAGTATCTGCATCTCTCATTATTCTTCTCGCTGGTCCAGTTCAATTGTGCAGAGTAAAAAGTCTTGGTATCATTTCGCGTTGTAAGCTAAATTCTCATACATATTTGGTATCCAATCCAATCCATCCAATCTGATCATGAATGCATTTATTCGTCTGTTCATTGTTTATTGCTCATCATTCGTCTACTCATCTGTTCATGGAATTTGAGTTCGTGGCGTCATCATCTCATCATTCTTCCGGAATTCCGATTCCATCTCACTCGTGTCTAGCCAACCAGGCGCGTTTTCAACATCTGAACCAAAGCGGATCTTCCAATTTACACATCGCAGCTAAATTTCATCGGATCCAATCCCCCATAGATTCAACTATTACCGAGTACCGTTCACCAAGCCATTGCTGATTCAAACTCGAGTGGTTCCTCGGCACTTTATTCCCATTTCCTCCACTCATCATTCAATCTCTGAATCTCTCTCCCTATTCCTGGATTCGCAACCATACTCTCTCTACTCTGCCTCTTGGTAGCCGCTACATTAACCTTCCAGGCCAACTCTGCATTTCTTCTCTCTCTCGCCTTAGTAGCCAAAAGCATATAATCATCCGAGTTACAAGCTTTTTGAAAAATGACTCTCATTCTCGGAGAATACAATTGACAACTAGCCTTTTGTATTCGCTGTGGAGTTTTATTGAACATAAGTGGGATTGCCTTTCCATCTTCTAGTTCCGGGAGAATAACATCGTCAAAACATTCTTCGCAGACGGTAAATTCGGGCAATTGAGTGATCATGTACCAGCGGCGATCAGGGAGATCGGTAGCTTGTTGACATTCTTCTAGAATGGAAAATTTACGTGCGAGTTTAGCGAGGGTGCGGGTGTCGGGGGAAGAGTTGTGGTATGCGGCATCATCTGCAGTAGTTTCTAGAGCATCGAAATATTGAACGAAGCGTTTACTGTCAAAACGAAGGTCGCATATGCGGGGAATGGAGCTAGAATAATCTGTTTCAATGGTACGAATAAATGCACCACGGATAGGAGGAAGGAGTATTTCGACCGATCTAACGCATGAGTGACAAACATCAAAGTTTTTGATTGGTAAACCTGTCTTGGGGTCGATTATTGAGTTCCATGATCTGTTGAACACTTCGCGTTTTCCAGGACAGGGTGCCTCGACCGCCCCCACATTCGCAAGACCATAGAAGAGACCGAGATCGTTTCTTCGCTCCTTAAGTGTTAAAAGCCATGCTATTCGATACCAGGGCGAACTTCCAAAATCGCATATGATTGCAATGTCTGGTCTGCGAGCAGCGGGTATAAAGTGGTCTCTAAATCCTGTTGGTGCTATGATCGAGTTGAAGCAACTTGGACAAATGTCGAAGTTGGGGCACTGAGGAAGCGTCAACCAGTCTTGGTAGCCAGTGGTAGGATTCATTCTCGGGCACGATGGAAGTGGCGCAACGCCACCTCGTCCTACATCTTCCGAATAACGACGATAGCTACCGACAGGCCTCTCTAGTTTATTTGAAGGGGTCTGAGGAGGTTGAAAGGTTGGAGGTTGCCAATAGGATTTATCGTTGGGAGCTGGTCGTGTGCTAGGTGGCCGATCTTCCTGATACTGAGGCACTGTTGGTGTGCGTCGAGTTTCACCTGGGGAGTGCAAGTCAATTCTAGTTGGAACAGGAATTGGAAGAGGGAAGGGGGCCGGAATCTGTTGCATCTGTGGCGTTGAAATTGAGCCTGGAACACTTGACTGACGAGAAGATGGTCTTGGGACTAAACCTGGGCTCAAAGGATTAAGTCTCTCCGAACGGTAAATCTCTTGTGAGCCATATAAAGGAGAAATGGGTCTTGAACAAGGTCTGCGACCTTGTGGAAACGTCTCTGCTCTTTCAAATGGCTCTGTCCTAGGTAATTGATTGGGAGAAATCTTTGGAGAAGGAAGTGGAGATGAAATCTTAGAGTGATTTGATGACCTATTAGACCTTGGCGAGTCTACCCGACACTCATAGTCATCTTCTGGCCTTAAATCCTTAGTCCTGCGGTGTTCACGCCGTCTACGCCCAGAACCTCGTTGAGGATCTCGTTCGGAACCACTGTCTGCGAGATCATCTTCACTGCTGCTACAATACTGCAAGTTGGAAGTAGCCGATCTTTTAGGAGAGCGTGCACGTTCTGATCCAGATCCTCGCTCCGACTTGCCAGATCTTAGTCTCTCGAATCGTTTTACGTCTTCAGGTGTGGGCTGTGATTCTACAGTTCTGTCGTTTGAGTTGCGCCTTGATCTTGAAGGAACCTCAAAGTTTCCACTGTTCCTCTTTGCTGCGAGTGGTGTTCCCGATCGCGATATACTATTAGGAAAGTTGCTTTCACTATTTCTTTTCTCATTTATAGAATTGCCGCGTTTTCTCGAGTTCTCCTGTAATGAATTGTGTCGAGGGACGGGCTGCGCAACGGACTCGAAAGAATCTTTCTGGCCCCTAGGAGTGTGCATCATATTAGGAGAGAGGAAGTATTCGCCAGTCGAAGTATGAGGAACATCTTGGGCTTTTGGAGTTTCGTCATTATCCCTGGAACCATATGCAGACGCACTCCTTCGGTATTTGGACGGGATATCTCGAGGGACTTTTGTCTGTATACTTGGCAATTCTTGTCTACTTCTTCTTCTTTCCAATGGAGGGGGCTTTAGCGCTGGCTCATTGTTGATTTTGTTCTTCTCATGTTCGTCCCCATTCGGTGCGGATTGGCGTTCTGATCTAGCTTGTTCCGGTCTGCCTCTGGGTTGCCTATCTTCATTTCTATATTGATTGGCTGGTTCATTGTTTGAGCTTGTATCGGTTCCTGGTACAAGAACAAAACGTCGTTCGGAATTGTCATCACAGTCCCTCGATTCTTTTGGTCTTGGCGCAGCATGTAATCTCTCAGCCTCACTCTCACTGACATCGGACTCGAGTATGATAGGATATTGATCGATAACACCACGACAGGGAGGATCGTATGAGGAAACAGAAGATGGTGCAGATTCTCGTGATAGAGAAATGACCTCATCTTCTACTGTTGGTCTCGGTGGAGGTGGTCCTCTATGTCGAACACGGCTTCTGCTTCTTGCACGTCCAGCATCACGATCGGAGGTGCTCAGGAAGTTAGATGCATAATTGTTTTGTGGAGGAGGGCTGGGAGTTCTTCTTCTATAGCTATAGCTATATAATGATTTAGCGGATCATCAAACCTTCCGGGGAAACTTGGTGGGGAGAAAACATACGGCGAAGGACTTCTTGCTCTAGAGGTTCGGAAGAATCCATTTGCCAACAGTTCATTGACATCCCTCTCTTGTCGTCTGTCAGGCCTTTCCATGCCGGTGTGTGTAAATTTTGAGCTGGTTGAATTTATGGTATTATTGAATCAAGAGGACTTATAAGCTATGAAGCTTGTGTCCATGCGATTTGAGTGAGGATTATTAGATGAGACGAAAGATAATAAAATCAAGACAATGCCTTCAATCTCCAATCTTTGATGTGTGGATATTCAGGATTATGATTATTATTGTCTCTCGTAATAGCTCACCACTACTGGTATCAATTCGTATAAATAGGGTATTATTAGCAATGTTGGCAGTGGTAGTTAAATAGTGGTAGTAGAAGTTTATTTTGGGTGAATTGAGATTGAGAGTTTAAAGTAGGATATGACGGAACAAATTACAAGTGATGACTGGATTCCTTCCCTCTCTGAGACATCTAAGGTTATCGCACACAGACATTTTTTCCATGCGGCTAAAATTCTTCATGACCCCTCATTCGACCATTCAATTGATATTCACTGCACAAAGATCCTACATATAAAAGAAGGAGCTGGAAAGTTGTATATAAATATAGAATGGTAATAGGACAATAAAACGATTTGGTGACGTCGTACTAATAAAAGGGCGGTGGATCTAATAAGTACGCAACATAGACCATGTAAAATGTAGGCAACGGCATCGTTAAAAGGCGTATATATGAAGGGTACTTCGAACATTTTGGCTCAATTATTGGGACCATAGAACAGCTTTATCAACCCTTCATTTCGAACATCTGTCCAGTGAAAGAATACAGCCCCAAGTTTGTCTCCTCATCCTCCGCCCTAGACTTTGGATTGACAAACTAGTTGCCGCAGGTCCCTGGAGATTTCCAATCGTTGTTATCGTGATTTCCTCGTAATGTGTCCCCTCTATTTCCTATATTACTGGCTGACTATCTTCAAGGGGGACATAATAATCTCATGATAGCGTGAGTAGATAATCGGGAGCGAGTACATCGTCCTCTCAAAACAAACACAGAGGGAAGTTTTCGCAGAGAGACGAAGGTGTGTTCAAGTTTGATATTAAGATTGACATTATATAACACCCCCCCTCTTTATAATATACATCCCTGTGTATTGCCCAAGTAAGCTATACACACATCTACCCCTAATCGTGCAAGAATTCCTGAATATCCTTGTCCTCATCGTCCTCCTGTTGTTGTTTTCTCAACATCTCCTCCTGATCCAAAATCTTTCTGATTGCCTGTCTTTGCTTCTTTCGTGCCTTGCCGCCCCATTTGACATCACTCGAAGTGGCCTTGGCATCCTCCTCGCTGTCGGTATCCTCGGAAACCTTGGTCGAATCTCTGAAAGAATTTGCGCCAACATGCTTTTCCTTTTCCTTCTGTTCAGCATGTCCAGCTCTGGCTTTGGCATATTCCTTCTCCTGCTTCTTCGCACCAAGATTGATGAAGTATGGCCTAATGAGAAGGTATGCTCCAACTACCGCGACGATTCGAATCCATTTTTGAAGTTCCATATCCTTCATTTGTGCGAAAGCTCCTGTTGTATTTCGGTAGAAATTGGCAGCTCCCATTTCTAGGAGATTGGTGATAAATTCCGCCATGTTTGTTGAGGGCTGAAGTTGATTTGATTGATCGTGTACAGTGTTGTTTGAGACTGAATTTAGGAGAGATGAATGATGTGGTCGATATATAGTGTTTTTAAGGAAAGTCGGTGGGAGTATGTAGGAGATAACTTGAGACGAATTGGATTATATTATACAGTAGAATAAATTGAGAGTTGCGACACGGCGTAACTTTGAGATAGACTATGGGATCTCTGGATGCGAAGGAAAGAAAATGTTAAATGTGTCTTTTTGAAGAAATTATTGACAGCGCAGTGAAATTGAGGGAAATGAAATATAAATGTGGATTTCATTCTAGTCTACGTTAGAATTTTTAGTTCCGGAGGCGGTCGAGGTATTGAGGGTCCCGGCTTGACTTCGGTAGACGCGTTCTCCCTCAGATAACTTAACGCGACGGTGATTTTTCAATTTCAATTGATGGATAGAAAGAAGATAAAAAGGCAATTCTCGAAATATTCTCAAGGTATTGACATCTTGACCTGATTACCTTGCTTTATCTTGTCTTACTTTACTTTACCACTTACGATACCGTGTTATCTCTCCAAATATGCCTCCCATCGATGATGAGCTCCATGAAGTGAGTAATTATATCTTGGGAACCTCATGAATCTCATGTTACCTACTTACTTTACTGACAATCTATTTCGTAGCGACTCAAAGCAGCTCTTTGGTTTTCAATTGGAAAGATCGTGGAAGAAGAAGCCGTACGACTCAATTCAAATGCTACGAATCAATTCATAGGAGCATTGACTGAGATGGTATGGCATCAGATAGGTATGTTATATCCATCCTTCCCTATTTATCAAGCAATCCCTTCTTATTGAAATGTGTCTTAGAGAATGTCACGATGGATCTCGAAAGTTTCTCCCGACACGCTGGACGATCAACCATAACGACCGATGATGTGTTACTCGTTACAAGAAGGAATGATGCCTTACACGATATCATCAAGGATTTCATCGATCAAGAGAAAGCGAAATCTACTAATGAAAAGGGAAAAGGTCGCACGAAGAGCAAATGATGAGTCGCTTTTCCAATCTTTTCCATCCAACCTTTATAAGATACCAAGATACCCAGATACCCAGGAACGCGGCGTTAGGAGTTACGAATATCATCATCTCGCCGTATACGACGTACTATACCAGTAGTTGACAATCACAATTGACACATTCGACATGACTGCCAAGAACGATCCCTTCCCCTCTCAATATATTGAGTCAGTGACGTGTGTTGTGTGCTCGAATCGTTTGTTCACATTCAGCTGCCCATCAAGGTTTCCCGCACCAACCTCCGCATGAATGGAACAAAGGGATCATTGGTCCCGTACATACATGCGATGATCTACCGTAAGACAACACCTATGGGATGCTGACACTGGCACTGGCATTGTCGCATTTTCTATCTTTATTTCATATCCTATATATATATCCTTAAAAGCTTGACTTCAATACATCAATATTTCAAATCACATCAAAGCAACTCTATTTCGTTCATCATGGCTGAAACCTCAGCAATATCAAGGGCATTCGCAATACCAGAGCTTCTCCATGAAGTCTTATCTTATCTTCCCCAGACTTGTCTTTTATCCACAATCCCACTTGTTTGCAGAAGTTGGGGGGTAGCCCTTACCTCACCGTCACTTGAAAGAGCTCAATGGTTTCGACCTGCGATACATAATGGACCGTCGACATGGTCAGATTTGTTAGAAAAACAATTCGGTATCTTTTTTGATTTCAATCTTATATCGAATCGTAATGTGCTTGACTCAACCGCATTCGACACTTTACCATGGAAGCGAAATCTCGACGCTTTTGTAAGTCTGCAATTTATAAGACTGCTCCGTCCTACTTTTTTCTATGTCTGCTTTTGATGCTGTGGCATGACGTGGTTTCTTGTCTCAATCCCAATTACTTTACCATGGAAAGCTACCATTTCAGCTCTGTACTAACATCAATTACAGCAGAGAGCCGATGCGAGCTGGCGTAATATGCTCGTATTCCAACCTCCTTGTTATCAGTTTGCGATAGAGAGAATTAGGTATGATCGAAGTGGGATTATGCAACAAACTGTCATTCTGCCATGTCCAGATGGTCTGAGAATGGGAATGGTCTGGGACATAGCACAAGAATGGTGTTTGAGAAGAAAACATTGGTTACAAATGTCTGGTCCTGAGGTCGAAAAAGAGTATCGAAACCCTGAAGTTGGATATGATGAACCGATGATTCCAAAGATGATACTTCACTGGCACATAACTTGTCCCCGTCGAGGTTCTCAGGCCAGTTTAGAAGACGATTGGGCCAGCAAGGGCAGAGAGGAATTTGATTTATTCAAATTGTAAGCGGAGCGGTTCCTCAGAAGCGGCACCTCGGCAAAAGAAAGCAAGTTCAAAACTCTCAACGGAATCCAGAATTGATCTTCGCAACGAAATGTATCAAGCCTCGATACAACTTTTACTCACGGAAAAAGACTCCGAACAACAATTTGCATTTACTCGCATGACGGGGGCTCGAAGGCTATATAAGCTTATTTCTTTGAGACTCGTGCGCATGGGCGGGCAAATTGATGTAACAATGATATGGAGTGTGTTGAACATTATCATAATCTTTTTCTTTGTGCGCAAAATTGGGGGCGGATCTGAATGAATGTGTGCAGGTATTTCAATGGCGCAATTTGTCTCAAAATGGTTTTTCCAATCTTTCAGGAACGGGTCTTTATTTGGGGAAGTTATATACATATGTGATGGGTTTCAGGATGATGGGTGTTTCCGGACGGTTGGATCTTGAAGTCACTTGACAGGAAATGGATTCTCGATGGACTATGCAGGCCTGGCATTTTGATTTTTTGGAGATCCTCCAAGTATCAGTCTTTAATTGGGCGTTGAAGAACACTCTGGTCAGGAAATCTTCCACGAGCGCTGAAGAAAGGAGTTACATGAACCTAGGGATTCTAGTAGTCGAACTGTATAACGTCTTCTATACAATCGAACGAGCTGTTCGAGTCAATATTATTAGGCGTTGTTTCTTATTTGATGATGTAATGTTTGGATCATGCCGAACTCAAATACCTAGAAATCTTGACCAGATTTACCTCTCAGAATACACATCCTAAAATGCTAAAATTTAGAAGCGAGTTCTATGAGTCTAGATCCTTAACACAAGGTATTCCTACCTATTTTTTATCCATCTATCTATCTACCACCCGAGAGAATCGAAAGAAGATTGATTGTAATTGGAAATCAAAGCAATACTACTGTTAATACGTCTACTAGATATACTTATTATCTCTCTCCTTTCACTCACCTATGTAGATAGTTACCATGTACCCTCTTTATCCACCAATATTCCCCTCCCTCGCGCATACAATTCTTGGATTATTCATCTCGACTATTCTATACAGATATAGATATGGATATGGATATATAGTCAGGTAGGTACTTGGGTGTCATTGATTGCACTTCTATAGAAATATGTGTAGCTATACATAGATATAGATGGGATGGGATAAGAGGGGGTTTTCTATTCTGTTGTATCTCATTCTAACTCATATGATCTTATCTCATCTCTGGAATACAGATATCTATCCCCACTATCACCCTCCCTATCACCCCTCCATCCAATCCATCTCCAAGCCCCCAAACACCAGCCTTATCAACTTATTACATATCCCCAAAATGCACAGGAACTATAAACCCAGACATACATGGTACTATACTTGTCCATCTCTTCCCAACATAAAAGCGTAGCATAGTATAACATAGTATAGTATAGCATAACACTTCGACCTCGCTACTACGAGGATTTACTCTCACTCGCATTCATCACCTACATCACCTAAATTACCTATGTTCCGACATATAGAATAGAGGAAATAGAAAATAGAAAATAGAAAATAGTAAAGGGTGTTATTGTACATCTGAGTGAAACCCCGTGTGGGAGATGGATGTCGCGTGGATCATATATTTTGCGTTAGGAGTGAAAGCAATTTGAACTTCATTGACAAAACTAAGTGTTGCCTCATTAATATTTTCATTGCTTTTATCGTTTCATAACTAATGTACAGTGTAACCATTATTGCTATAACCCCACTCATCCATCTCCTAACATCTTAGAACCCCGTTCCATTATTACCATTATTTAATTGTTGTAATCAACCTTGGTACCAAAGGCCTTCTCAAAACCAGTCAAAGTAATACGGTATCTAACATCGTTGACCTTGACCTTCTCAACCGCCTTCTTGCAACCCTCCTCACTGATATCGATAGTCTCAACCATAGGCTTGATCTTCTTATCAGCTGCCAACTGCAACATAGCTTGAGCTTCCTTGCGCGAGCCAATGTGCGATGCAGCGATCTTACAACCATTGCTGACGAAATCTTGTGCCATCAATTCAGGAAGTGGCTTATCTGGGAGACCGACATTGTGGAATTCTCCATTGACGGCAAGAGTAGACATGTAAGCAGTGAGATCAAACTCATTGGTCATGTCTGCGCAGTTGAGGATGAAGTTGAAAGTGAAAGCAAGGGGCTTTTGCCAGTCTTTGTCTTGGGTGGAAATGAAATGATCAGCTCCCAATTTCAAAGCTTGTTCCTTCTTGTTTGGGGAATGGGATAGAGCCCAAACTTCGGCGCCCAAGGCTTTGGCCCAGAGAATACCAAAATGTCCAAGTCCACCAATACCAAGAATTGCAACTTTCTTGCCAGGTCCAGTGCCAGCACGGACAAGAGGCGAATATGTGGTGAGACCGGCACACATCATTGGTGCTGCATCAGTCGATTCAAGTCCGTCCGGAACCTTGAAAACGAACTGTTCATGAACTCTCGAATGGCTGGAATAACCTCCTTGTGAGAAGATTTGGTTTCCATTACTGTCCTTCATGGGTTCATCACTGTGGCCCTCATCCTCATTATATGGTGCCATGTATGTGTCAACCATCTTGGGACAGTAGTTTTCGTTATCGCTCTTGCACTGTGGACATTGCATGCAGGATTGGACTTGAGCACCAACTCCAACACGGTCACCGGGCTTGACGAGTGTTACTTTCTCGCCGACTCGGAGTACTTTTCCGATGATTTCGTGACCAACACAGAGAGGGGTAGTGGCTAGATCGCCCCAACCACCGGTGATGGTGTGAACGTCAGAACCGCAGACTCCGCAGCACTATACCCAGATGGCAAGTCAGTAAGCCATCATCAGAGTGCACTAAGGAATGAATCGAGAAAGCAGAGTATATAAAGGATTACGAACCTCGTTGACGATATCAACATCATGTGCTTCGAACTTCTTGGCAGGGAACTAAAAGAGTTGTTAGCAAATGGTATTATGTGGAGTGTCTCTTGATGAGCCCGGTCTGAACCCCAAGGAGAGTTGTTTTTCTTTAAAGCACTTGAATGGTGGAGGAGGAACATACCTTAGCTTTCTTGAAGTCACTCCAGTTCTTGGTGGAGGAGATAGTAAATCCCTCGATCTGTTCTGGAACGCTTGAAGACATGTTGGAGGATTGTCTGCTTTTGATGACACGATAGAACTGGTTTAATTGGGCGAGAGAGTATTGACAGAGTATTTGATGGTACTTTTGAATGTCTTGCTGCTGTTGAGATAACATTCAGATGGGAATCAAGTTATTATAATCGTTTGAGTTTGGGATTTGTAATATCGATTTCACGTCAACAAACAAGATAAATCCTACCTAGTCCTCATATGCTACCAATTCCAAGCTGCAGGAGCAATGAGCCGCAAAAAATAGAGAATGAGGTCATTCTTTTCGTATCTAGAATTCCTACTATGGGGAAAGAGCCAATTGGGAAGGGAAAGAATGAATCACCATGTATGAAAGAATGGAATTCTAGAACGACAAGTAGTCTTTGCCAAGAAAAGATCATGGCATTTGGACATAAAACAATTGACCGAAATCATCGAAAACCATCGACATCATCGAGTTATCGCAGATAGAGTTGATGGTTGACGGTTGAGAGCACTATCTCCGAATATCTGTTAAAATCGATAATCGACGTCATGATAAAAAGTGGATGGCGGTTAAAAATGGTGACGTGAGTGAAAGGGTAATACGGCAACCACAGCATGTCGGCATAAGATAGATATCTCTTTGACCTGATTGAGAAGTCTTTGCATGAAATGGTGGATGAAGAGGGGAGGAAAAGTTCCGGAAAGAGAAAGATAAGAGAAGACGGTTTTTCTCAACTCTGAGATATGAAATTTGGATTTCACATGTGTACCGGTAGATGGGTAGGTATGTGTTTGGTGTGTGTTATGTTTCTTGATTCATATTTTTTGAGAAGCACGTCCACGGGGTCCGAACGTTTATTTAATCTTTCTAACAACCAAAAAGACAAATATCCCAGTATTGATCGATCGAGTGAGCGTGAATAATTCCTTCAGGAAAGAATCACAATATGGACTAGACAATTCGGCTCGAGCCCCAAAGGAAAGACGCTTTACACTTCTTCTATAGACTCAGTGTAGAGACTACAATACTGGATGTGCCTATTTCTGCCGATAATTTTTTGCAAAGAGAGTTTGATAGTGTTTAAAAGTTGTGTCCTGTGACTCCTATGTAGTGTATGTCGTATGGAGACTCATCAGAGAAGTGAAACGTTGAGAATAATCCGGCCATATCTACTCCGTCCGCATACTGTACTCTGTTACATATGTAAGTTCTTATATGATTTTCATAAAGAACCTTGACGTCCATCATTAATCTATCAAGGTTACGGGTGGCTAGGACTAGCGTGACTCGTCAACCAGATTCATCATCCCTTTTCTGAAGACAGCTCTTAGATGGCGAGAACGGGTCTGTCCAGAACCATCACCGTTGAAGATCTACCACTTTTACAGCATTGGCAAAGAAAAGCCTACAGACAACCCATGTTAATCCACATCACGGGAATCCCGAGGACGACATCCGGATACATCGTATTCATACTTCGTACTCCTATTATAAACCCCTGACTCCTGAGGAAGATCTATCAAATCCTACGGACGTAGACAACTCTTCTCCATCAAACGTCCGTCCATCTATCCGTCCATCTATCCGTCCATCACATGCACATCTTTTGTATTCATCACAAATTAATAGTCTCAAGATTACGAAAGCACACGTATCCAGTGCTAGTGCACGCCCCTTTCGTCCGGTTAAGCTCGGTAATCACGGAGCACAAATTCTATCATTGCCTACTTATTAGGAGCCAAGACCGAGTATTATCAAATGGATATCTCCACTCCACCGAAACAAGTCGTGTGAGCGATTTTTCGATGGCTTTATGCAAAAAAATAATAATATAGAGTTGAAATTGAACTTGTGAGCGGCATTTTTCCGAATGCATAATTGAGAATATACATCTGGGGATGTGTCAAACTTTTGTTGCCGACAGGTGCAGCTAGATCGATTGTATTGCTAACGTTTCTTCAAGGGGAAGCTGGCCGCCGGAGATTTATTGTATCTTATTACATTCGCTGATGTTTTAAAGGTGTTGTAGATGTTGTAGATGTGAAGGTTCTAGGCAGGTATGGAAATTGAAACGAAAGGAACACGAAAGCCAACTGTTCTGATTAAGTGATTAAGTGATGACTACTTCGTAGGCTCCTAGGTAAGTGTTCCATTTCCGCTAAAAGCCGCTCAAAGCATCAACTGTGGGGCAAGTCCTTCCAAGGTTACTTGGGGTCAGGAAACTAATACCGATAAGGATACCTAGCAAACATTTTCTCTTTCTCTTTCTATTTCTGTTTCTATTTCTATTTCTAGAAAAAGAGGTTGAGACACAGGTAACTAACTGCTGATACCTCAATCGCAAACATTGTCCATCAACCTCTAATACCGATTAACATTTCAAATGCCGCATGGTAATATACCCGTTGCACCCTACATTGCCGTTGATCGGCATAAGCCGTTGCTGTGCGAAAAAGGCGTTTAGGTACCTTTTCCTTTCTTACATAAACTCGTAACTTCAATCTCCATATTTTCCGTCTTTTTGCGGAGATGTGGGAGGTGGGATGCCCAGTAATTGAATCCTTGACTCTTGTGCCGTTCTTCTCAAGGGGGAGCGGGGGATTCCAGGAAGGGTTACTATGTGCGCTATCGTCCATGAATTTTGTTTGACATGAGGCTTCAAACCTAGGCCAGAATAACAATGCCCTAGATCTAATTGGATACTATTAACTTCCTTAGCTCTTAAGAAGAACTGTGCGGAGCAGGAGGGGATCGAGGGGATTTTAGCTTTGGTGGGGAGAAGTTGTTGATACAACAAATGAAGGAAGTACGAAATGCTATCAGATTCTTTTCAGATCGTCTAACTTTTTAGATGAGTTTCGGACGAGGAAGAACACATTGTGTGATTCATGAATATCTCTATGCTCTCCACACGAAGTGCAGCAGGCTTTATATAGATGAACTCGGAGCAGTTCTAATTCCCTCATGCTACCTACCTACCATCTATCTGCCTTTAATATGTACCGGTACTCGGCCTACCAGTAGGTGCAAGTGCATTAAGGAATACCCTTCATTATAAGTCAAAAATAACATTTGAGTGCGAAGTACCATCGTGCTTAAACTTGTCAGGAATGTTTATTAGATATTAATAAGATTTTGATCCACGCGATTCAAATTTATGTTTCTACTTAGTCTCATATGCCTGCGATCACCCAACTTCCCTCATGATAGAAGCTTTTTATCCTTGCTTTGTCCTCCACAAAAAAAAGAGTTCTCCAATAAGTATAAATACCAGGTGCTAGGTATATTATTTCTTTAGTGTCTTCTACAATTTCTACACCCTATATAGTTGGGAGCTCCCTTCCACACCTTCCGGTCGTTTTCAATTCTCTCTTCGGTCATATCATTATCATTAATTCTAGTTTGGGATATTACTAGTGTGGAATCAGAAGCAAAAAATTAAATAACTATACAGTCTCAGTATTATTATCTTCAGATCACATGCCAAACCGACCCCTTCATTCTCGTCTACACAATTATTGGCTTTTCTACACCTGGTCGATATTCACATGCTTCCTGTACTCCCCAAAAGTACTTAGTCAATAATATTTTCTTGTTTCACACAATTCTAGCAGTAACGCAATGGATCCCGCATCTCTGAGCTTGTTGCAATCCGCTGTGCACGACGAGGAGCAACGAGATTTGGCAATGGGAGAACCTTCCGGAGCCCAATTATCGCAACCACAATCTCCCGGTGCTAAGTCGAAAAAGAGGAAGTCATTAGATGGAGCAGAAACCGCAGTTCCCGAAAAGAAAAAACGTTCTTCAATCGCATGTACAAATTGTAGAAGTCGAAAAGTACGGTGTGATGTGGAGCGTAGTGAGCGCGTCAATGACGCTGGGGAAAGAGTATGTAACAACTGTGCAATTGATGGAATACAATGCTTAGTCCCTGGAAGTAAAAGGAGAAGGTTAGTTACACAAACGGCCAAAGCCATAATATTAAAGATTGTATGTTTTATTGACATGTGCAATGAGCAGAACCAAACGAGGCAGTAGCGATATCGCCGCCGAAGCAGTTCCCCTCCAAGCCTACACGGACAATATTGTATATTCCCAACAAGCTTCAAATAATGAGATAAGACGGGCATCCAGGCCCAGCGTTACGTCCCAATCCCAGCATTCACATGAGCATGTGCCTCATTCAATCTGTAAGCAGGGATTCGTTCAGAACACGATTTGGGCTGGATAATATACTAACAATACCAGACCAGTCAGCCCTTCATTCAAAGGAAAGCGATGATATTGATGGGCAAAGGCTGGCACAGCTTGCGCATCGAGCTTCTATTACTGGCGATTTAGTTCGCACACGCCTGGCATCCTCCCCACCTCCTTCTTTGAAACATTCACTTCCGGCATATATCAACCCCCTTCCTTCGAAAATGACCTCTGTCGACATAGACTATTTGTGGGCGAAAAGCGCATTACTTATTCCCGAACCTCCGCTACGAAACGCTCTACTTCAAGCTTTCATCGAATACATTTATCCATATATGCCACTTCTAGAATTACACAAAGTTTTACAGATAATCAATGACGAAGGGGCGTCTGGCGCAATGAGTCTCTTGCTTTTCCAATCAATAATGTTCTCTGGGACAGCCTTTGTGGATATGGAAAGCTTGAGGCGCGCTGGGCATCGTACAAGGAAAGCAGCGAGGAAAGCATTTTTCCAGCGGGCCAGAGTATGTAACAAGCTAGCATGGGTGTACTTTGAGCAATACTGACTATGTTTAGGTTCTGTATGATCTAGACTACGAAAATGACATGCTAACTGTAGTGCAATCTCTCCTTCTCATGACATACTGGTATGAAACGCCCGAAGATCACAAAGACACTTGGCATTGGATGGGCAGAGCGATTGATCATGCATACACGCTTGCGTTGCATCGGGATCCGAAAGGAATGGATGCTGATCATAAGCTAAGAAAACGGGTATGGTGGTCATGTTTTATGAGAGACCGACTCATCGCGCTGGGAATGAGACGTCCGACTAGGGTTAAGGATGAAGATTGTGACGTACCAATGCTGGTTGAAGGTGATTTCGAGATCAAGGCACTCGATCCACGGATTTCAATAATTTCGCCGAAATGTTCTTTGATAAGAGATGTTGAGGCTCAACGAGAGTTGGCTCTCATGTGCATCTCGAAAGCTGAATTGTGTTTATGTATCAGCCAAATCTTGGTGGCTCAATACTCGGTCCTCGGAAGACATCAAAGTGCTTCCAGCCAATCTGAAAATACTACGTCACAGATTATGCTGTTTCCCAAGAAGTCGGCGTCGTCAGAAGAGGTCGAGCAATGCGATTTGGCACTCGATTTATGGAAGAAAAATCTTCCTCAAGCATGCGTCTACTCGAATCAGTTGAGAAAAGGGAACAGTGGGCAACCATTGTTTGTGGCATGTGCATTGTTACATATGATATATTTCACTGCGACATCTGCCTTGCACAGACCACGAGTTTTACCTGCAGGACCAAATCAACCGGAACCACAAACGCTTTTCGCGCTTTCACGTGAAGTGGTGACTAACGCTGCTATTGGGACTACGAACATTGTTCATGATATGCATAATTACGATCTGGAGAAGTACCTTCCCACCACGGGCGTGACAGCTCTACTTCCAGCCATCATTATTCATCTATTGTTGGTCAGGTCTCCACAGGAGAATGAGAGGCAGCCTGCTCTGGAAGGCTTTTGTCTATGTATGACTGTTCTTGAGAGTTTGCGCGATAATTACTCGTCAGCAGATTACGCTACTCAATTCTTAGAGGCAGCCGTTCGAAAAGCAGGCATGGAGGAGATCATAGGCCGTGCTAGAGAGACGGCAAGACGTGAAGATGCTAAGCGCAAAGCGGCTTTGGCATATGAGAGAAAGCGAGCACAGCTGGAACGTGCACAGCGGTCTATGGATGAAAGAATCACACCACCAGTGGACACTCAATTAAATGGTTTCGAGTCTTTGGGCACCCTCGTTGATAGTTCATCTGCGATATACAATGGCCACTTTGCTCATTCGCCTCCAGATAGTGACGCTGTTCTTGGTGGAACAGGTTCGAAGGTTTCCCATGATCCGAATGATATGTTTGAATTCTTGGACATCAACTATAATGATGGTGGTGAATCGGGAGGATTTTATGATATGGATCTATTCAGTAGAGAGATTCCGGGATTTGGTAGCAGAATGCCTAGTCCTCAACCTGGGGATAATCTTACGCTGTTTGATCAACCTTACATGGATGTTCTGGGTATTTAAGCATATTTAATGGCTTCAGGTGTCGAGTTTTCTTCATTCGATCATTCTCAAATTTGGTCGGTGGAAGCTGACAGTCCTGAGTAAGACTTGGCGTACTGGGAAATGGTTCGGTCGGATAGCTTTTGATGAAACCCTTAATGGGCAGCTATGGCGCCCATACGCAAGGGATGGAGAGATAAATGGCGTTCGGGTCCGAGATTTCGAGGTACATTCGATTGTCACTCGTCATCCAAAATTTGATGGTAAAACATGGACGAGACTTCAATCGTGATGATAGACAAAATTCTCGAGAATTCTGCCTTTGCATCCAAAATGGCGTCACTTATATATGGTTGGATTGGGTCTGGCTGGGTGGTGCTCGATAAATGATTTGATATCTGCATTTAGTTTTTTGCTTTGAATGTTGAATGAGAACGATAGGTCTGTGATGTATGGTTTGTGCTCAGGCGGCGACTGGGGATCTGGGATAGATTATAATGAAGAGGATATGAAGATAGACAGCGAAACCACATTATGAATTGGTTTGAGGCGTTGAGTTTCGCATCACAAAAGTTGCTCAGTTAGCAGGTCTTATAATAGAATGAATGAATTTATTGGATAGCAGAATTGTATTATTTGCCAGATACTATAATGATGAATTTTCATTTCTCAACGCTGTGAGACGACAATGAGGTGAGATTTTGAGAAATGGGAGAGGGGAAGTTGGATGGTATATATACCTACGTAGGTATGTATGTATATATAGGTATACGCACGCCTTATCCTCGGGTAGGTATTTGTGCTATAAATAGATCTACTCATTGGACGGCGCGGCACGTACTCGGCCCCCGGCAACGCTATCCTCGGTATTTGCTCGGTAGAGGGTGGTTAGTGCGCTAGGTTAGATTGGTTCGGCTTGGGGTAATTTGGGGTAATGATGTGTGGTGTGGGGAAAGGGGAGAACCCAGTGCGGGGTTCGGGTAGGGGGTTAGGGGATGCGATCGGATGAGAAGATTTAGGTTTGTGTGCGTTTAGAGATTGGAGATTGGAGATTGTATGGGCTGGTTGTTTGAGTTGAGGAAGAGGGGTGGATGGTGTGGGTTTGTGGTTTCTGTGGTTTCTGTGGTGAGGAGATTTGATATGTATGATTAGACTCTTGGGGGGAGATCGGAGAGCATGTTCCGCGGATTTTGGTTGGATTATTTTGTTTCGATGGCTTGGAGGTTTGAGGCTGGAGGGCTTTGATTTCTTGTGGTGAATAGCTGTAAAAGAAAGGGTTGGTTTTGTTGCTTTTGAAGTTTGATGGGAGCTTGTGAAAATTCATTCTATTTATGGAATCTTTTCTTTCTGGAGTTTAGACCTATAGGCTATCGATTCCTAAATATAGAGAGGGATCTGAGTGAATGGTCCTGCAGATTGAGAGATTTTCAGGTCGTGGTCTTGTGGTGCGAATGTTCTATCCGTTCGTATGATGAGAACGTAATGTCCAATCTCAACCTGTACACTTACACACTGCTCAACGATTAAATGTCTTTCCTCAACTTCCATATTTCAATACATGTTCCTGGTAGCTACGTTTAAAGTTTCTCTTTTGGCTTGCTAAAACTACCTAGGCTTAGGTACTAATCCTAAATCTCTCCGGCTTTCTTACTCTGACCATGTGTAGTTAGCCTTGCGCACCGGGCACAGGTGTTTTTCGAGGTAGAGGTTGGTTGGGATGGATTGATAGTAAAACTAGCAATGAAGTAGAGAGGTTTGAGGATTGCAATTGTGAGACGAGAGAGAGAAGGGAATAAAGACTTGACTACTGCTTGTTGAGCCTTGTGGATTACTGAGGAGGGTGATTTGTGAGATTTGGTGTTACGAGAATTTGAAGTGATGTTATTAGAAATAGTATAGACATTAAAAACATTAGTAGCATCCGAAACGTCTCGAGACTTTTTTGACCAAGCTTTTGATTCTTTCAATAATCCTCTCAATCTCCTTATGAGCATGCATGCACACAACAATCTAAATTTTTGTCAAACATCTCCATCTACCAAGCTCCGTTGTTTTTAAAACTTGGGCTCAGATTCTGCTCGTTTCAACCATCGAAGAGTTCTCATTCTCTTGTATACCAGAATCCAGATTCCGAGACTTGCAACTTGCAAACCCGAGTTTACAATAGAGAGTTTGAAATTGACACCCTATACATTGGAATCATTAGACATCTGTTTGTGTATACAGATTATATCTTAAACTTACGCTTCTGTCGCAAACATTCTTAAAATTGACGACATCCTGAAATGTTGGCTGGATCTTTTCAGCCAGTGGACTACACGCCCACCTCCAGAGATCTTTTCCATTCTTCGCTACTCGATAAGCTGTTGCCACTGCAATCCAAGTTGCAATATGAATGCTTTCAGTTGCGATACCAAACTTGGTATTCATACTACTGATAGAATTCGCGGCTTTGATGGAAATCAGGTAGGAAATAACCGAAACCAGACCAAGAATCGCTGTAACCACGCAAGTGATGAAAAGAAGGACTGCTGACCAAAGTTGCGTCTGGAGAGCCCAGGGTCCGCGGGGTGTCGGCGATCCGGGTGGGCTTCGAATATCATTATGAGTCTCGAGGAAATTTAGAAGTGTTCTTCCTTCTTCTATGGCTATCGCTATGGTGAGGCCAGTGACGAGAACTCGTGAGATAAATCGGAGGATACGAATGCGGCGTTTGAGTTTCTATAGACCAGACATGTTAATTATGAACTCAAACCATGAGACAATTTTGCTTACTTGATCTTGTTTCATCAGATCCTGATGAAGGAGACTTGTAGGCTGTGTACTGGTTACAGGATTATAGGAATTGTTTGGCTCGAGGTGAGCCTCGTTAGCCAATCGGCTGTAATAATTGTTTGGCAAAGGCGGTGCGGAATAATGATGACTTGGATCTTGTGCCGTTAGAGGATATGACTCGTTGTATTGTGGAGTTCCAGGTGTCGAAGGTGTTAAAGGTGTTCCTGGAGACAGTGGGGTTTGTGGCACGGCATCATATGGCGATTTCAACATCTTGAGATGTGAGAGTATTTTTGATTCAAATTATCTCCGGATAAGTAGAACGATTTGATAATCTGATTTTTATTCACTGTAACTCACTGGAAATCGGGAAGTTTGCAGAGACTGCTCCCTCTTATTATATACTCGGCGGGTTGGGTAGTACCCTCTGCCACATGTGGTGGTATTCACTGCTAAACCCAATGTGAGAGGAAGATAGATTACCTTACATCTCGCTAACTCAGTGGCACCAATACAATGAAAAAGAAATATTTAGGAGAAAATCCTTATTAATGCCAGAGGCCAGGAGCCCGGAACCTTTTCTGCATTTCGAACCATGAGCAATCTTCAGCCGCACAAGGAAAGGGATAGGAAGCGTATCTCATTTGCTTGAGACCTTGTCAGACTACAAATGGCCCTGTAAATGTAAAATCAGAACCCATGCATTTGCCATTTTGGGAATTTAGTCTGCATTGGGGGCTAAGCGCTAGCCAAGCCGAGAATGCTACATCAGTGAGGCTCTTGAGAATTAAAACATGATTGACAGCGGTGGGGAGTTCGCCATGTGGCGAAGTAATTAATAATATGCATCTTGGTGAGTAAGTTATCTCTTCCTCCAGGTTGTACGGCCAGGATTCTCGTCTGATACTGCTTCGGTAGAATTGATGGCAATCTCGCAAATTTGCTCAACACTTCACCTTTTCAAGCCTAATTAGCAGACAATGATAGAAAAATTCATGATTTAAGACTCCGGTGATTCTTAAATTCGAAAATTTGGATCTAACTTTTCTTGCAAGCAAGTTCCGGGATTTTATGACGTGCATAAATGCCCTTCACGGTTGAAATAAGGTTTGGTTTTTTTAGTTCGGCGAAGTCTAGTAGAACACCACCATCATCTCATTGTTCGAATTTTCTTGACACACCATGCTAGATCCATTAGTTGATTGGATTTCACTTTAGTATTGTTTTGAAGTATGGTTTTAACCTTTAATTTTGACAATTCTTGGCTGTAATGACATTTATAAGTGAATATGTTCTTCAACCCAATGAGAGGGGTGGGGACTTTGGCGATCTTCACTTAGTCGTGAACTAGTATGACTAGTTCTCGACCTGCTCATGGACTACTATAGCCCTCTTTATGATTTGCACGAAACATGAGTTTGAGGCTGTTTTTCAATTTCAATTTCAAACACATAACCACATACCCAACACAAAGAAAAGATATCGCAAAAATTCGAAATAATGTCGACGCCCACGAAGAATATACTCGAGCTTGCGGGACTCACAGTAGAAACAGATGACTTAGCCCGAACAGAATCCGGGAAATCAGAAGAACAACTGCAAAACATGTCAAAAGTGGTTTGATAGCTTTCTTCACTTCTGACTACATAATGCAATGCTGACCCTCATGCAGGACCAGTTGGCGACTAAGAGAAAGAGAAATACAATAATTTCATCAACCGGAAAGAATTACGCTAGGACAATGCCTAACGAGATCTGGTTTCGAACACTCAGCTATCTGAAGACCAAGGATCTCAAGAATTTCAGGTTGAGCTCCAAGCAATCTGCAATGCTTGGTTCTGAGCACTTTATCCAAACTTTCGCATTTCACGCCAACAGACTAGATCTTGAAAGGTTGGAAATGATCTCTCGAGAACATCCGAAAACATTAAAATATGTGCAGGAAATCAGATTCGAGAAGGGGTTTGTGCCTATAAGAGGCATGTATCGTGTTCTACACAGGGAATACAGAGAATCCTTTAAGTGGGATGCTGAAGGCAGAGAGGTGGAACAAAATACTGGAACAGAGCCCATCAATATCAGAGAAATTCTATCCGAATACCTTATAGTCAGTTACCCGAGTTCTCTTTTCTTACGCTGCCCAATGCTTGCTTGCATCGTCCCCCCTAATCCTTGTTTTGAGTTCAACGACTTTGGTTATTCTAAAATCGATCCGTTCACTAACCAATCTTGTATACAGTGGTATAAATCATGGAACAAGGCGGCTCAAAACTACAGTGACCTTACAAAGATGACCAAGGCATTTGGGAGTTTAAAGAATGCCACTTGTATTCGCTTCTCGACCAGCATTCCTAATTTCAAGTCGGAAGCTTTGACCCGTGCATGGGCGAAAGTCACCCATCCTAAAGCTTACAGAGGCATCTGGAAGACAAGAGAATTGGAGACTGTTATGCTAGCTGCACACAATTCCAAGGTAAAAGTCCGTCATTTTGTTCATGATTCAGCCCCTACTGCATTTTTCACACAACATCTAAAACAGCTTGAAAATACTCTGAAGCCCTTCCGTGATCTTGAGAGTCTAGAGCTGTTATGTGACGGGATGCAACGACCAGTACGCGGATTTGAAAGGAGCAACAGATTTTGGACTGGACTGTGGAAGGCGGCGCAACTAGCGCCAAATTTGGAGACTTTACGTTTGGGATTGCTTACCGGCGGGTACTGCGATTTCTATATTTACGAATATGTGCCTCTCAGAAAGGTCTTGGGCAACTTTACCTGGCCTTCGTTGACTCGCTTACGAATCGATAACATGACCTTATGCGAGAAAGATCTGACCAATTTTCTCCTCAGGCACGCCTCTTCTCTGCGACACCTAACATTGAGTCATATTTATTTATGTCGAGGGTCATTTCAGAGTTTATTCAAGGTTTTGAGAGAAGTCTTCAAGCTTGAGAGTTTTCATGTCGATGGTCCAATACATTCTCCCGTCGGTCTAGAATTATGGTAGTAAGTATCTCGTTGTCAATTCACATTCAATTCTCGATACTAATTTAGCATTTCAGTTTCTTTTCGAAGAACAAAGAAGTCATAGATTCCTCCGAACTTACAGAAGCGGAGAACCTTCGCGAAAGACTACTTACTGAAGCTAAGCTTCAATTTTATAAGGACAACAAGGACAAAGCCCCGGGGTATTTTTGGCTACAAATGCAGAAAGACGGTCTCACTGATGAACTATCTGCCCGAATCTCGGCGTTCGTTCTCAATAAAGGCGATTGGCCCAGTGAACTTATAAGTAAATTGGCGAAATTAATTGTCTATGATGGTAGGGTGGGAGAATACGATGGCCTGACTGATGAGCAAATGGGCGCCACTTGGGATGCTGAGCTAGCTGGAGAACTGCTAGATACCCGCACATCCCACTGGGCGAAGTTCGCAGGTGAACTACCCGAGCGTGCACACTGGCTAATGCTTGATTGGGCATGGAAGAATGAACCGAGCTACCCAAGTAGTAAGTGGGCTTTGTGGGATGAATTGGTAGAGGAGACTGGGGTTCGCGCATTGCACGATGCTTCATTGGCACGAATAAAAGCAGAGGAGGAAGTTAGACTTGGATGTTTGTCTGTGTAATTTGTATATATTCGCTATATTATTTATGTCTTTAAGTTAATATACCTGCATATAGTTTAGACTTTTAAAAGTTCTGGGAATTTGAGAACCAAGGCATCAAAATTGGTATTCCTGGGTTCCTCTTATTTTTTACATCTTGTACTAGCAAGAAAGTTATTATTACAGTAGTATCATGTCAAAATTTTCATAAACTGATTGTGTCCGAATAACCCCTATGTATGCTCTCATCCTTCATGATCGTCTGAATTCAGCCATATGCTGGATAAATGAATATGCCACCTCCCGCACCCAATCAGCGGAGCACAAAGTCAATTATCTGCCAGTATCCATTCCATAACTATCACAGCCATCGACATATCCTCCGCTTCATGCTGTGACTGGTATAATACCAAAGTTATGTATCTTGAATGTATCTAGTATCTGAATAAGTATTTCGAGACATCATTAGAGGCATTCAAACATTAGACGTCTTCACTATCACGATTCTCCTTCCTCCATTTACCCACAATTCTCTCATCTTCATCAATTCTTAATTTCCCGTCTTCACCAGTGCCCATACTGTATAATTTACCCCTCGAGATGACCCGTGCATCTCTCTCCTCCCTTTCGAATGAAGCTAGTCCATCAAGACTTCTCAGTAAGTTCGAATCGTCCACCTCGCCAGTTGGGTCTAGATACTGTAGTCTTGCTGCAATTGTAAAAGGCTTTTTTGGAAGACTCTTGACACCATGACGAGATCTAAGGAGGAGTAGAACAACACCAATAATCATGAGCGAAAGTATAGCCATGGCGAGATAAAAACAGGTCAGGAGCACTAAGCGCGTCTCCGTATTGCTGAACGGTATATTGGCTAGAGTTATTGGTAGGAATTCTGATAGGATCGAACAAAATGAAATCCAAGAGACGAGATAATGTTTCCTTCCGATGGAAGGAATGAGGGCTGAATAGGGACTCATATGCACGGGAGCTAAGATGGAGTTCTGAGGCTTGGCGTTGCCACGGAGGAGCTGATGATAAGGATCCGTCTTACGGAAATCTATGATTTAGTCAGTCATCACCGTCTGTCTTAATAAATCGGAGACTAACCATCGTCAACGCGCGACCAAAGAAGATTGGTTCCCGTTCCCAGAGCTGTCATGAAGAATCGTACTCCGAAGCCTTGCGAATTCATGAAGCGATTAAATCCGGTATTTGCATTTGTTTGGTAGTATACGGCCACCACGACAAGAATGCCGCATAACAAACAAAGCATGCAAATGTGAAGAACCCGAGCCCGGATTCCTTTCAACACTTTTGATAGGAATGTATTCCTAGAATCTTCTCGTCTCTTGGATCTCAAGAGAGCTGAGTCCTGTGTAGCACTGGCAATCTCTCCTTCTGCTGCCATCAAAAATGTATATCCTTGAGCGGGGATGCGAGTCTCCTCTTCTTCCAATCTTGTCTGGCTATTGTTTATTGCCTGTAATGAAAGGGGAGTCTTGCGATGTATGACTGCTAGCCCAACTAAGCTCAATGGCTCACTGTATACACCACTATCGCGGCGTAGTCCCGCAAATATCAAGAAAAGTGTAAACACTGCAATCGAACCTAGTAGTCCTTCGAGAAGTCGTGCAAAATTAGGATATATTCCCCAGCTATCGCAAGTATCAAAGCCAGTTCCTACGCAATAATTACTTTCAACTATTATCATGACTTGTGAAGCAAGGGGTGCGACTGCAAGCATGATGATTGAGATCAAACTTGTCACAAATATTGTGAAGTGTCTCCGGGGCAAGGATTTGAAAGGGAGAATGAATATCGATGGACTCTCGTAGTCTATACGTATGGCTTCAGACTCTGTGGAATGCGAGAACGGCCTTAGTTGGTAGAAGGGCTCCATATTTCGGACTGTGTTTTCCAGAATGCGCCATGGAATCGCATAAAATATAGCCAAGAAAAGTGGTAAAAATGAAGCTGTGAGATATTGTCGATAAGTGATCTGATCTGGTGCGGTAACTGCGCCGCTGCTATAATATACGAAAGTTCCACTTGAATTAGCACTCGTCGCTACCGGTCTGTCGACAGTAGTACCAGAGCTAGTGGAAAAGATGGTACTTTCATAGACGCTTTTGAAAGTTGATACAATGACTAACATACTTGAGTCATTCGTAACTGTCGCAGTGGGTGCGGAAATGGGATTGTCTCTCGTTGGTACATTCTGAAGCCTATTGCTTGTTGACGGTACTGTTCGTACCAGAGACGACGATGTGATGATCAGTTCCACTAGTGTCCCGTCAGGATCACGAGAACTTGATGTAAATGTGACTACTTCGATGGTGGTGCTATCCGAAACTTGTTGCATGGAGGTAACTGGGGTTTTATTTACTGCGGTATCTTGATTGCTAGGTGATGTTCCCTTACCTGCGGTGGTGGGATTGGGAATAGAGATAGGAGAAACATAGTCACTGGTGATAGATACTGTGATGGGCTGAGAGACCGTGATTGTTGAAACATATTCGCTAGTCACGGGTACCACAGTTGGCGATGGGGTTGTGGATTTAGTATCTACATTTATTAGCGCCAAAAATTCGAGACCAATTTTAAGATCATTGAAAATTTTCTTTCCAGACTTACTTGAAATAATCATCCCAGGTGCACTTGTGCTGAATGCTATTGTTGGGTCTAAATTTTCTTCCAGTAAGCAGAGATCATAGTTTAGGGTTTAAACGTCTCGAAGTTTCATAACAAGAAGTCATGTAAAACATACATGAGTTGGTAGAGCCTGGAGTCATATATGATCCATCTGTTGTACTTGTAATGCCTTTTCCTGGAGACAAATATGTGCTATCTGGAGCAAAAGAATCTACGGGGGTAGATTTATCTGTAATTGGAGTCAGATACGAAGCATTCACGCTTGTTGAAAAGGTTATACCAGGAGTCAGATAAGTAGCACTAGACAGAGTTGGCATCGGTATGGTTGTTGTAGCCTTGGAAGTCACACCTGAAGACCCGGTACCCGTCAAAGAAACTGTATGGGTGGTAGACTTTCCAGATGAAGGTATTGGGGTTACAGTCGTAGCTAAAGAAGAAGATGCTGCAGAGTCTACTGAAGTAGAAGGACTTATCTCGTTCGAAACATTGGCTTCTTCAGCCCTTTTTTGATGTATATATGCATCCCTCTCATCTAACTTCGAACGAGTAATATTGACAAGTTCTTCTGCAGTAGACCCAAACCCGGAGTGTTGTGGAATCATATGGCAGGAATATTCGAGCAATGCGATGAGCAGCAATGTAGCTACAAACAGGATTATGAGAGTCGCCGTTCTTGTCGCGAGAGGCCTGTAGTATTTATTCTTGCCGGATGACGCTATGAAAGTTAATTTTGAACAAGATCTGATTGAAACGCGTGAGATTATCAGAATATTGCACATACGATGACTGTTGTTGAACGGGCGCATTTTTGAAACAATAAAATCCAGACAGGCACCTTTAATGAATATTTATACCGGGTAGTAGCTGCATAGATTTCAAACACATATTTTGATCAGAATAAATTGAAAAGTCATTGAAGAAACTTACGGCTGTCTTCAATGAATGGGGAAAATCATATCTCCACCTTCTTGAGATGAGGCTCATTATAAGAGGGCCGCTGAATACAGAATCTTAGCAGCATAATTTGAAACCATTCCAGATCCTTGTGATCTGTATAACTTTGTTTCCACATTTCAAAAATGATAGGCTTCAACTTGTAGCTTGGCGACATGGTCAAAATCCAGAGAGAAGGCGACGCACGGCAGAATATCATTATTACTCGTCAGATTTGAGATATTTCAAGTTCCTGGATAGTCAGCTCAGCTGAGTCAGCCCAGTTAAATTTAGGAAATTTCCCCTGCATAGCCCCCACGGCAAGAGGGCTTCCGCACATTCATTGATGGGGGTGCAATGTTACAATGCACTGGTAATTTTAATTCGATCAGAATATAATGTTTCTCCTTGAGGGGATATTCTGGGGACTTAGCATGCTCAGGAACGCGTGATAGGGGCCAGATCTCGACCCTTGCCGAGACAGTAACACGTCTATGCAGTTTATTGGGACCAGCTCCTAGTCCATAAATTCAGAAAGAGTCACGAGAAAATCGCACAGTTGTAATATAAGGAATGCAAATTAGAGATTTCTGACATAACCCTTGGTTTGCTGGCTCGCAAATGGAGAAGACTGACACGAGAAGTCTACCACGACACGATAGCCGAAGCTGCTGCAGTCACCCTTCACAAATCTCAGTCCGAAAGAATCAATGAAGGTAATCAAGAGAGGTAGCACCTAATATGGTAGAACTCTATTAAAAACTAATATCTCCGGAACTAACGCTTGCCCAAGAGTGAAACCGTCTCTGGGATAACAATGCCCCCAAATGCTGTTGATACACAGAGAATTTTCCTTCTCGAATTAATCAAAGTTATTCTTATCAGAAACTCAGCTGCGCTATAACCTAGAGCCCACTGCTTCATTGTTTTTACTCGGCCTCCAGGAATTAAGCAAATGTCCTCTTGATCTCCACCTTGACACATTCTGCCTGTGGATTTCCTACTCCATGATACCAAACTAAAATGGGATAACTATTGATGGAGAAAGGGGAATATCCACCGCAGATGTACCATCGCTGCTCTCTATGGTCTTTGAGGTGCAAGCGATCGTGGTGGAAGGCAAAGATTCCTTCCGTGTCCTCAGGATGTGCAAATAAAGGATGGGCAAAATCATGCGAAAAGCGATTAAATTCCATTGTTGCCGACTGGGAAAGGAACTTATCCGTGTTATATGGCAAGTTGTAGACTAGGGATCCTGAGAGATCATTGGCGACGCGGGTAGTGGAGACGTTGAAGTGAAAGGTAGTCTGAACATTCGTATCAGTACATCACTCATGAATTCAGGCATTGGCACGAGTAGAATGTGCAATTTGACTACAAGGATTGACAACATACCGGTGAGGTTTCTCCATGACGAGCATGACACTTGGGGAAAGCACAAAGTGCAGTTCGAGCAGCTCCAGTGTGACAACCGTGTACATAAGAACCATTTATATACTTGTTATCAGAAATAATGGACAGAGTGAATGGCGCAGATTGAATTGGATTAGGAGATGTAGAAAATAATGCAGCAATAGGTGCAAGAGCACTGAGAATGTGTTGTTTGATTTGAACCATTGTCGCAATTGTAATAGTTGGGATTAATGTTTTATAATTGAATGTTGGAATCTGAACTGTGTCTGAATATTGGCATGTAAAAGTTGTATGATTGACAACGAAGATGAAGGATGAATTATAGACCTTTATACTCATTTATGTGACCTCTTCTCCCACGCAACTTCCTAAACCCCGAATCACTGTGATAGCAACCATAGGTATCGGCGACTCTTGATGTGTACCTTCTGTTTCATTGATATTTTGGCACCAACAATAAACTGAGCTTAGAAAAAAGGACAATTCACCAACGTACAGACCTTCCAATTCACTCTGTTTGTATCTCTCTAGCGAGTTCCCAAATAATTATCTCAGATTGGAAAGAGAGAAATCGAGAAAGTAGGCGCGTAAAATGTAATACAAGCATGTTAGATAGACTCTGATTTCAATTTGTGAATACTTGAAACACCTTACTTCTTGTTTCTAGCTGATCTCGCTCCAAGAACAGAGGTGGTAAAGCATCGGATACCGCGAGAAGCTCTTCAGAAGTGCATATCGTAACTTATTCTGATCTAACCAACTAGGCTATGACCAAAGACGCTTCTTTAGGTGTGCAGGCACCTCGACGCATTTTTGTAAGATCACACCACGGCAAGATCGCATGCACTCTTGCGAACTACGGGCGCTTGCAAGTAAATATGCAATCGGACTTTTCTCATGACTGAGCGAGTCCCGACGAATTGGGAAAGTACGGTTGAGGAGTGAACGGACTAATCGATAGAGGGCTATTGCAAAAGTATTCGAACCTTCTCCCGGAAAGAACTTCATTGCAAAGAGATAGAAGTCAGGAAGAATGAGACACTTCGCGACTTCCTATCTTAATTAGCCATGCATAGCGATCCGGACTTCTGTATACTGGAATTAAGCAGGAGCCGATGAAGAGCGATGAGACCTGGCGTGTCAAAGCTATAAGATTGTCCAGGTATAATGCCCCTCACACCACTCCAACCATACAGCAATTAGAAAGAGCCAACACTCCCTCGTATTGTACGAGAACCAATTCCTTAAACATAACATTGCTCGAATGAACTGTGGATGTAGTATGAAATATGAAATCGGAAGATGTTATTCATGAGGCATTATCTACTACTTATAATTAGGTGGTATGATCTGTGCGATAGAGCTGCAAGGCACGTGCAAGGTTCTCTACCAATTGGATGACTAATCTCAATATGTACTAACCCACTGAATGCATTTTGTGATGCAGCCAACTCTGTCATCTATTGATTTGGGGGCTGAACAGCGACCATTTTTGGACCTACGCCGCTTTCTCGCATGAAGAAGATTCATTTCCACCAATTGAGATGTCGGAAAAAGAAAATTTGTATCTGAAGCATTGCATAGATACTTGCAGCTGACAAGCGACAGCTTCGGGTTTGATTGCACCATTTGAGATTTTATGCTGGCAGCCAAGTTGGTGCGACAAGCATTTTCTGTGTGCAGTTCGTGCTTGTCAATTATATAGTTCAAGGAGAACCAAAATTCCTATCTGTCTATTTGCACTCTGCATTTAAACAACGCGAGTGCAGAGTGGGGAAAGTCTTTGGTATCACATTCATATCGCAGTCATCCTTATCTCATCTTCCCTTCCTTCGCGGGGTTCTGGCCAACACGACAGTGTACGTAAATATCTTACATTTACTGCTGCTCTTTTCCGGGCCACACCACCAGCCACGTCCGATGACAATTTCTTGAGTCCTTTCTTATAGTCCTGCATACACGATTAGCACCACCTTCACTTCTACTGGCTAATTGCATCAATGTATCTTCTACTCATCTTCGATGCCTTCCGCCCCTAGTCATTCTGATTTGTTGGAATTGTCTCGACACCCAATACTATGTGGCAGAAACACCCTATCAGACCGGGCTACTACTATAAATCATCAGCCCATGCTTGTCATCGATCCCAAAATGGAAACCTTGGAGGCTGAGATAAGTGATATGGAGCCTCAGCGGCACAATCTTCTCATTTTGCCAAATGCCCATCTGTGACTGAATGCATTTCTCAGTAATAATTTTGTCGGTCTTTTGATATTTTTCTTATTTTTCTCATCCGGATATCGTTGATTTATGTTCCTGCATCACGTTTTTACGAACGTGGAATTTTCGAAGTGAGATCCGCAAGAGGCGCCCTTTGCGATATATACCCTTGTTTTGGTTCTACGCGGACTTGCAGCGTGGGAAATCGAGATCGTTCATTCAATATACTGCAGCATTCCTGCTAACAGAAAGGCACAATCGCTTGATCTAAATTTTGAAGCTCTTCTTTAGTTGGTGCAATCAGGCTTCATGACATTTTAGTACAGACCCCGCTGTTCGAAAGTGCAAACCTCGCGGGCCGATACCAACTTGCATGCTGCAGCTTCAGGTCTCACAGCATTGAAATCCTTTGGACAGAAAGATCGGCAGACGTTAGATGGCCGTGTTGCACAATTACGCTCGCGATAGGGAATATTCAAGAAGCATTTGCAGGATAATATCTAACGAGACGAACAAGTCGCATTAGTAGAGTCGAAACACATATCGCAAAACAATGGCAAAGCAAAAGAATAAAGTCGATAATCAATACCCCGAGGTCGTGCAACAATGTGCAAACAATAAGGATGGGCATTGCTACCCCGCTGATAAAGTTTGCGATAGAGAATCCTGCTCGGCAACTACCACAACCCAAGTTACAATGACGACGGCGTTTCTGAAATTATCATACCCAGGCATCGTAAAGAGAAAACTGGGTTCGAATCATTGGGACAAAATACACGAGGCGATTCAAGGGCGAAAACGGGATGCTTCAGAATGTCCGAGCGATTATCAACTGTGCCCTAAATCGATGAATGGAGGATGCTGTCCAAACAACAGATCGTGCGGTACTAGTAGTTGTTATCTCACCAGCGCAGCTCCTGCTTCGGCTTGTGGAGTGTCAGGATATACAGCTTGTGGAATTGATGCTGGAGGTAAGTTCTTATCACATGCCAAATTATATCGCAAATTGTCTAATAGAAAACAGGTGGATGTTGTCCAAGTGGCTACATATGCGCAATTGACGGTTGTAGCGCTTCTCCCGGTATTTCGTATAGCCAAACTTGCGGAGTCAATTCATATTTATGCCCGGCTTCATTGAACTACGGTTGTTGTAAGAGTGGTATGGGCTGTGGGTTGAGTAATTGTTATTCCACGGCAGTAACGACTTTCACATTGACCGAGACCTTGACCACGACAGATAGCAATTCACACACACAGACTTTTACATCCACATTAGTTACAGCTTCTACTCCAGCGTCGCCATCAGTCCCGGCGAATACATCAAAAGCTTCGGCCGTCCCGAAACTCACACCCACGGCTACTGCAATACCAAAAGTCGAAGCAACGAATGGGAGTACACCAACAAACAGCGGTCTCACGAAACCGGAAATAGGTGGCATCATAGGCGGTGCAGCCTTCATTCTCCTCGTTATTCTGATCGCCGCTTTCTGTATTTTAAGGCGCCTAAAAAAGGCTACAAAGGCATTCAAGGAAGCAAAAACACGCAGTGGATCCAATGTCCCTCGATCACACAGACATCGTCCTTCATACCCATCACCATCCGACATGAGTTCAATATCGACGGATCCTCTGCAAATGACTAGTTCAGAAGCGTCGCGTAGCGTCCGAAATTACTCTCACCCAACAACCGAACGATTTTCATCTGACCGACACGACGGTCCTGAAGTCGTAACCCCACCTTCCTTCAACCCATACTCCCCCTTTTCCCCGCACGCCTATCCTGGTAACCGCGCCCAAACTCAAGGTCGCGGATACTACCCAGTAGCCACCTCGGACTCCGCTTACTCTCAGACATCGTCGGGACGTCGCAATCCCTCTGTTGAATCCACCCCTCCTCTTCAACAACCACAATCCTATTTCGACATCCCTCCACATCAACAATCTGAACTTCCCGATTTCAGAAACCAGAATTTGCGCCACGGTCATGATGTAAGTCCAATCCGTCGACCAAGCCAACATGGAAGAAATTGGAGCAATGCTAGCGATGTCAGCGCATCATCATCTAGTCCCCTCGTCGAACTAGATGCCGGAGATGACGGCGAGTTGAAATTTTCACTTGGAAAGGCTTGGAAAGTTTTGGGATTAGGAAGCTGGAAGGGAAAGGTTTCTGCAAATAGGAAACCGGAAAACCTATCCCTCAAAGATTCTCCAACTGCTACTCTCGATCGGGATCTCAAACCTGTCCTTTCAAATGTGCCGGAGGAAGCGGGTAGTTTTATGAATGCGACAGAGGCGGAACACGAGGTTGATGATGATGAGATTAGGGCTCAAAGACCTCGAAGTAGTGATACGGGGAGAGAATCCCGTGCTTCCAGACCGAGGAGTGGTCTTAGTAATGCAGAGCTGAGGGAAGCGAGTATTCGGAATGTGGTGAGAGCGAAACCGAGTAAACCCAAGGAGATCATGATTCGCAATTCGGGAGGTGCGGAGGCGAGTGGAAGTAGGAATGCGAATGGGAAGGCTGATGAGGCGGGGTTTTAGGAGTTCTTTTTATCTGGGGGCTGGAAATCGAGGTATATATATGATTGTTCGAGTGTGGTTTAATGGGATAGGTGATGCGTTTTGCATGTGGTTATGCATGCAAACGGAGGCTTATAGGTGTAATAATAAGGAATCTTGGAATCCCACGGAATTTCATAGTGTGAGGTTAGAGTTTATTTCCTTGCCTCGCAGGAGATATTCGGAGGTTTTTTTGGAAAGCAAATACGGATGGATGGATTTGGTGTAATTACCCCTTGAATACGTAGTCATGCACACCGCATCGCATCAGACATTTATAACCAAGATTTTAAACATCTGAGTTAGATATCGATACTAGGTAGTAGACAAGTTCTGTATATTGATTTAGGCAGACGGAATTGTGGATTTAAATACGCGGATTGGATTTCGCTTCTTTGATATTTTCTTGGGGACGAAATACCTCGAGTGTTTCACGCTGTTGGATTAGATCAGATCAGATCAGATCAAGTAGAAAAAATTCCGAAGTCTAACTATGCAGTTTTCCTATTATAAAAGTCAAACTGAAAAACACACTGCTACTCATATAGTGCTTCATTTTCTTTTCTGCATGTGATTCTCTGCCACTTTAACCTCATCAGTACTTTATTTATACCCCTATACTTCGAACGCATCACGGAACACACACACCGAACCATTTCCCCCGCTCATCCAAGTCCCCAGTTCCTATTTTTACTCCTCATCAGAACTAAGCACAATTCCCTCTCCCCTCACCCATCCATCCCTCCTCTCCAACTGTCTCCTCACACTCTCCAACAATCTCCTTGCAAAAATCGGCGGCACCGCATTACCCACCTGTTTCTTAGTTTCCAGCCCGTAAAACACGTGTTTGAGCGGAAATCCCTGCAGCGCCGCGAGTTCCCGATTCGTCATTCCGCGCGCGCCGTTCGGGAGACCGACGCCGGCGCCGCTGGTGAGGATTGCCCGGCAGATGACGCTGCCGTCCCAGGGGGTGTAGGTTGCGCGGTGGAGTCTTTCGCTCGAGGGATCGTGGTTGGGGGCGTGAGCGGGGATGGCGGAGAGGACTTTGTTGGGGGTGAGGTAGGGTTTTTGGGAGGGGCGCAGGTGCTGCGGGTCGTGGTAGGTGTATTGGGGCATGTGGGGGAGGGGCTCTCCTGGACTGTGGGGATGTTAGGGTTGTGTATGTTGTGAATATGGTGTCAAGGAAGAAAAGATCAATAAAAGGATATGAATTGAGGAAGAAACATACCAAGATGCAAGAATAATCAATCTAGTCCTACGACTCGGCGTGCCATATCCCTGAAACCTGACCACCTTCCACGAAACATCGAAACCTAGATTCGTAAAACAGGCAATGAGCCCATTGAAAGCATGTTTATGTTTCGGATGCAGGATCCCAAAAGTTTGTTCTAGAGTCACGATTCTTGGTCTAGCCTTTTCAATCGCAGCCATCACGCCGAAGAGAGCCGCATAGTTCATTTCATCATTGCGTCCCGGACACGTGTGGATTGGCGAGAAGACTTGACAGGGAGGAGACAGATGGAGGATATCGACCCAGAGTTTCTTGCGCGGATCAGGGAGAGCGGCGAATTCATTGACGGGCAAAAGATGGAATTTTGCATCGGGAAAATTCTTTTGCCATGTCTCGCCGGCGTGTGGATTGAAATCGAAGCCCCATTTCACTTTGAGGCCGGCTGATGTAGCGCCGCGGGTCATACCGCCTGCTCCGCAATCTAAGTGCTTTTGTTAGATGATTTTAAAGTTTAAACAAGTAAGGGAATGCAAACTCACATCCATCACCGTACGTGTATTGAGAGCTCAAGTTAAATCCATTTCTCCTGCTGTCGAGGTTTCCGGAACCGCCCAAAACCGTTTCACCCCTCCATCCCTTCTTTTTCTCACCCGGATCGATATAATAACCTTCCGTACACTCTTTCTTCTGCAGAGATCTCAGAATCCCCGATTCTCTGGGTCTATCCACGAGCGCACCTTTCCATACTCTCGCTTCTGCATTCGGATATCTAGCCACAAAGACGATTCTGGCCACCAATACCATTTCCTCTTCTATATATTTCAGTATCTCAGTCTCCTCTTTACTTCGAACCTCCACAGGAATGTCATCCTTATTGTATCTACAATCCGGCAGAAGTCTGTTAGTACAAATCAAGCGGCGGATCTTCAAAACCTCATCGACTCGAATCGTCTGTACAGATTGCTCCCATACATCTCGTTTGTCGTCCCTATCCACCTCATGAATAAATGCAAGTTCGTTCCTCTTCTTTCCTGCAATACCACTAAGCATACGGTCTCGAGTACGCACGAGTTTCCACCCTCTGATCAAGATTTCGTCACTTGCGAGGTTCTTGACGATTGTTTCGATCTTCAGGAAAGTTCCGTTCTTCAGCTCTACTGTTTTCTCGGGTCTGAGAAGACTAGATTTCCATGCCACTGATGGAATTTCTACATTGGGAGGTACGATCTCAGGATTTCTGTCGGCAAGAAAAGCACGTTGAAAGTTACTTTGGGCGTCAGCATGTTGCTCAATGCCAAAGATATCCTCCTCAAGCTCATTTTCTATCTCATATTCGTCTAGATCAATGACTTCAACTCCGGGTGGTATTTGAAAAGCGGGGAATTCTTCTTCATCGTCGAGATTAATGATTTCCTTCGAGGCTGCAATGAATGAATCCTGGCGACGGGTATTGTTATCAGCGCGAGCAGCTTTGGACTTATCTGAAATTGGAGATGTAGCCTGGGGTTTGGATTGGTGAGTACGGAGGCTATTTGATGGAATTCTCTGGCCGAGAAAAGCAGCTTGAGGAGTGCTGTGGGACTGAAAAAGTCTAGAACTCATGTGATAAGCACCACGAAACGGTGAGAGTGGAGTTCCATTGTGGCGTTTTGAAGCATTAAAGATCTCCAGATTCGTGAAAGACAGCTCACTCTCCTCCAAAGACCGCTTTTTGGCTGGGGTTGCAGGCGTGTCAGATGTTTCGGGCGATATAGAGAGAGATTTGAAAGAAGGATGCGTGTCGAGTATTGTGGAATTTGTTGATACGGGATTCGACCCTGTTTCTGGCTCTGGTGAGCTTTCTCTCAAAGTACACGAGGATGCATCCGATAAGGCCGGCGAGCATGACCTGGTCTTAAATGCGTATCTAGAGGAGACTTTTGATGATAAAATCAGCTGAGTGCTCTCTTTATTGACAGGCAAAACTGCAAAATTGCACACTTTCAGGTTTCAGCTCCTAAATCGGAGGCGGCTGTCAAGTACTGATGGAGAAACTCTTACCACTGCCGATTCCGAAAGACACATCTACGCCTTTTTCAACGTAGATCGCTTTGTTTGAGGCATCCATCGTTTGCTCTTGACAATAGGATAATTCAATCAGCTACTTCAAATTATTGAAAATGTTTGGGGAGCGTTGACGAGAGGCATTGAGAACAGAGTAATTGAATCAAGATTCTAGCACGTTGAGAACTTGCCCCAGGCAAATTTTCTCTGGAGAAGCTCAGAAGGTAGTCTTGCCAGATTCAATTCTAGAAGATGAAAAGGGGTGAAGGTAGATTTTGTAAAGTGAATGGAAAAGGTTTTTGCTGAATTCGCAGAATATTATAAAGTGTTTTGTGTACACCAGGTAGCAATGGCGCCGTCTTGGTTACAGTATGATATGCACCTATACTCACCTAGTACTAACGACATCATATAAGGCTAGCTGGATTTTCACTTAAAAGCCCGCAACTTTATAAACTCGGAAAAGGCTCTTCAGATCTACGAGAATATTCTAACTCACCACGAGTGTCATTCCAAATCTCCATACCATAATAATCTCTTTTGTCGTTCTCTCTAACCTGTTTTTGCTCGTGACCTTGATCAAATTTCTTCCTATCAATATCGTTCCCCATCGTCCCGAGATCCTTCCGAATTTGAAGAAACCCTCTACAAAACCTCACAATCTGAAGGGGCTGGAGATGTACAGACTCTGGATCTGAACTGGCGAAAGAGGGAGAATGCCTTCTTCGTGTGACTCCAAGTCTACCCAAAACTAGCTGCCTTCCTCTACCTCTACCTCTATTGTAACCAATTTCTGCGAAGGTAAGTAGTTCATTACAGCTTCACGAGAAGAATTTCAAGGGTTTTGACCACAAGATCGAAAGAAGGCTTGATTGAAGGTTGCAGCCTCAATATGCCACAAGGCAACTCTCGACCCCTCCAACACTTTTCTTTTTCCGAAAAAAAAGAAATGAAAGGGATGAAAGGACATCATTCGGCATTGAGGAGCCGGATTGAATGATATCAGACTTGGAAGTGCAGTACCGGCCAAGTAGATAGATAAAATGATAGCAAGATATAACTTACCCATTGAACAATTATACTTGAAGAACTGCCATCCTCGACCTAACGCGAGGTTGGCCACAACCATTCTATCAACAGCCAAATTTCAGGAGAACTGAAAATACTGAGTGAAGGGGAAACAAAACTGTACAATGGGTGACTAATCATTTTACCGCGTGCAATACATCTATGTTATATATATAGATATTCTTCTCGACCTTCTCACCCCTTGACATTCAGGAACACAAAATCAAGGAACGAAAGCTACATATATCAGCCACGGCATGGGTCCCTTGTATCATCATATGTGGTATGCGAGAATAGAATCTTTGAACCCATCACCTAGGCAGATATTGTTTGTAAACCCCACTATCGATGGTTGTACATATCGTACTTTAATCCCTTACTGGCGTCCCTTTTCAACTACATAAGGCTCGGGCAATTAATCACTACTAGCCAGGTACATTGTACGGACTATGGGCCCGGTTTTTTCAACTCTCTATGAAAATCAGTGCTCTTGTCGCTCAATCTGAACTGCCTGATGAGAGTGGCTTGGCAAGTCGAAAGGATTGTTATCCAGACAAGTGTGTTGTATTTGGTGGGGACCTTTAAACTGCACAGCTTTATTACAATGTTGAAAACACTGCCTCGTTGCCATGTACTCTCGAGTCATTCTCGGAGTTCTGACCGCGTTAATTGAAGGAGGGAAAGGATTATAAGATCAAAGGAGTAGCCCTCAATCCTCGAATCTCAACTCTCTATCTCAAGCTCCCATCATCATTCCGATCAATACTTGTTCCTCAATTCGCAATCAGTCCTAGACGATAAATCTCTCACTCACAATCAACCATATTCAAATCCCATTCATTACCCCAAACCGTAACCTACTTCCGCAATGAGGGAAAAGATTAGTCGGGCTTGGACAAAACTTCTTATATCTCTCAAACGTGTGAATTGTGCTTGCTAAAAGTGCTAAAAAGCTTGGGAATATTTCACGTGACGATCGTCGCTTCTCGAAGAATGCTAAGGTTTTGAGCTTAAGCTTTCTAAACCCCACCCCCACATTCTTAGGATACCTACCTACACACCTCATGAATCACGATCTGCGATTGAACGACAAGCAAGATGTCACACGCAAGAATTGAAGAAGTCGAGGATAGCGACAATGAATATGGCGCTAGTGATCCATCAGAAGGCGATATCTCAGATGTGGCCTCAGATTTCTCAGACCACGATATTATCAAGAAGAGGACAGCGGCACCGCCAGCTACAAAACGCGCACCACCTCCTAATGCTCAATCGTCTCAAATGAATCCTGCAAATATACCATTCTCTGGCTCTCAAATTACCACCGGCGCAGATGGCACACAATTTCGCTCTACGGAAGACAGCTCCAAGTACAAAGATTTTCAATGCATCTATCCAATATACTTTGATGCGACCAGAAGCCGAGCAGAAGGTAGAAGAGTCGGTATGGAGCTAGCTGTCAAGAATCCAGTCGCCCGAGAAATCGTTGCTGCATGCTCTAGACTTCGAATCGAAACACTATTTGAGCCAGTCAAGACTCATCCTAAGGATTGGGCAAATCCAGGGCGAGTTAAGGTCAATATTAGAGGGGGAAATACAGCTATTAAGAACAGTACGTTTTGTCTGGAGAGACTCTAGGGCAATTTGCGATGCATTAAATTGGCATAACTAACCCTTGATGAATTACAGAGCACCACCTCTACACATTGATCGCGAAACACCTGAAGGAAAACCCGACCACAGAACGAACAGCCATGCAGCCTCAACTTGCTGGCATACCACCACCTGATCCTAGCAAACCATTACCCAGACCTGCAGTACCCAAAGGATGGAAGATGGGAGAAATATTGCCATACTACAGTGCAGCATTATCTGGTGGTGGCATTAGTGAGAACCTGTTCAAGGATATGTTGGCTGAAATGGGAGGACAAATGCCTGGAATGGCTGGAATGATGGATGGACCATCGAGCAGCGCGGCCTTGGAACCAAAGAAGAAGGACAAGAAGAAGAAGATTAAGGGCTGAAGCGTCTCATCTCGTTACGGGGGATGGCATATAGCAAAATATCTGGAGGTTGAAGCGCAGGAGCTTTGTATCTCTTACAACACAAGAGCAATCTGGACTCGCATCCGTAAGGGAAGCCTTTTGGTAGCAAAGGTAGTCATGCAGCAGAAGCCATTATAAATACGTCTCATGACCGGATAATAGTCAATCTTAATTTATCCTGTTATCTATAAGTTTTCATCTATCACGTATATGTTGCCAACTAAGAACTCCTAGTGTACCATTACATTAAACTTAGTATCTCTACGGAATCAACGTCTCAATCTCCATTTTTCTCCCATCTCATCTTCGCAAAGCCTAAGCCCTACCATACTACTCTGGAAGTAAGACATCTCTCATACTATCTTATCTTATCAACTCATACCTCTCTCTCAACCATAAGGTGTTTCATTCACTGTATTTTTTTATCATACAATATCTCGTGCTGGGGTAATCTGAAAGCTATAAACAAAAACGATCAGACGAAGAAAGTGGAAACAAACCATTCTACCAACACCCAACAGCCACAAATCCTCGACTAATTGCTTGAGCCCGCAGATATATTTATGCATCCTGGAGCTGGGAATTTATCTACTGTTAGATTGATGTGATATTTTCTTTACATTTGCAAACTGTCAGAGGCAGGAAGCTAATGCAGGTGCGCAATGAAATATACCAGGGAACGTGGTGTTTGGAAAGAAGTCCAAGAAGGAGAGATATGAGGTTGTGAGATAGCAGTAAAGCAGTTGACTCTAGCTAATGCGATTACTTGAGAGCAGATGCGACGTGAAATTGGAATGCGCTCGAAGCTGCAGACAGCAGATATAATCTACGACCCCTCCATGCAACTTGCAATGGCAAGTCTCGACGCACACAACTCCAATAAAAATAGAAAAATACAGTGAGGTAATATGGGGAACAAGCAGGTAGTCCAACGCAAAAGAGGAGACGCCCGAACGATGCATCAATAGAATCGTGCAAAGAAGCCTACAACTGTTCGCAAAGCAATACTCGCAGATCCAAAATTCATCTACCACAACATTCACTACGGCAATCAAATTTACTCTTGCGATCCTACCTTCTGGGACGGAAACAAATTGGCAGCAAAAATATCGAGGTCAACAACTCAACTTTCCAAAACACCCCGGCTCATCACTCAGCCATTTCTCTTTCTAACTCACTGAAAATTGATATTCCGTATGAGAAAACTATTCACAGCAGCCTCAGCTTCCAAAACTTACACTTTTCGCAAAATTCAGAAGCCCTAATAATGCGACAGTCTGGTAGGGTTCTGGTGCGCAAAAACAAAACTCGCACAACTCCTGCCTCCTATATTAAATTGGGCAAGTTTGGCCACTGGTCTTGATCTATGCTTCCCTCAGTCTCCCGCAAATACTCTGCTAATGTCCATGATCCGCTGTCGCAGATACCTTCCCATCTTTTCCATCCACGCACATCGAGTCCCGCGCGCGCCGGGAGACAAATGTTTGCAAAAGTTTCAATTTTGGTCCAATCATACCCATGAAGGGGGCAAACTCTTCGGCACACTCGTGGCACCTCGCACGAATACCTTTATACCCGTCAACACGTCCAAATATGAGACAGGGCGCCGGGGCGCAAGATCAGGAGTGCAGGTCGACCTTCAAAGTCTTCGCAGACGTTACATGGCCACGAGAAAGACTCCAAACTAACAGGAACTACTCCTCGACCCCACAAGACCTTCTTGCCAACGTTTCATCGTCGTCGCTGGCACATTGCGACTTAAATCGCGTGAAGAGCAAAATCGTCGAAAACGCCCCGATGCGCCATGCAACAACGAAGCGGCCAAAATCCCCGAAACTTTACTCCTACACTATTCCAAACGTCCTCTATAACCTCCAACTTTAAAAAAGTTACAATTTCAATAATTGCGGAAGTTACCATTTTTTGTATGGGGCTCAATTTTGACCACAGACGTGCAACAGATCGGTAGAATCCCGGAGTGGCCATTTCACGTGACAAACGTGACCTGGAAAATCAATAATCCCACCGAGCCTCGGCACACTGGTGAAATAATGATGTAAGAATTTGACGCGGTCCCCAATGCGGCTCTCGTCTGATATAAATTTGGGACATCCCATGTAATCGAATAAATTTTTGTAAACAAAACAAGCCAATAAAAGTACACATTTTGGGTTACAGACGCGCGATGCAAAGAGGGTTTTCACGCTAAGGGGTATTCACTGGTCGATTACCCAGCAACGGCTTGACTACCTGCGTACATTGAAGTGAGGTTTGATATGATCCAGCTATGTATCCATCGTACTTTCAAAACAAGGTAACTTTGTGCATATGACCAACGTGAGGTCAGTACATGAAGCACCACCTGAGCTGGTAGAGTGTTGGTTACATTATTAGTGGGGCCAGAGAAATTTACCACCGGGAGTTCTAGATGTGCAACAAACTTCTCTTACCCTGAATGGTATTTACATTAGGTTCCTCAATAGAAGACTTATCTTTAACTGGATGAATAATGGATGATAGACAATACAAGTACAGTTCTCAACTGTTCTAATGTGAAGGCATTAAAATCACTGCATGAAGGTTGCGGTTGTTGAAATATCATAGTAGTAGCTGGAAGGAATGAAATCATCAAGTGGAATTATAGATGCGCAATCAAAGGTCTCCTACACTGAGCGATGTCGACTTCTAAACTTGGCAGACTATAGTTGAGCGCCGACGTAACCAGAGCAAACGAATATAAAATCATACGTATCTGAGCATTCTATTTGAAGTAAAAAGCTGGCGCATCAAGTCCTCCTATGAGGAAATCCACACAAAAACCCTAGGCCAAAAAACCGCATAAACTAAGAATCCAGACGTGCAACCAAACTCCAACCCACCCAAGTGAAGAGTGAATCAAGTGAAAGTGATCCTTCCCACATCCCATCCCATCCCTCGCTCCCCAAATCCCATCCCGGGACAAAAGACACCGAGCGAAATTCACCCAGGCCGTCCGGAAATTCCCGCTCGCAAACTCACCACCAAAAAGTACGAAAAACGCAAACGTCGACACCACCACCAATCCTTAGCGGATTTCCATTCTGACAGTTTTCCCAAACTCGCGCAATTGAGAGCTTTCGAAAGGTGCAAAACTTTCGTCGTGTCGAAAAAAAGCCCCATATTTGGAAGCACCCACAGATGTGCAACAAAACCCTTTGTCGGGCAGAAATATCACGTGGAAGAGGGAAATGGAGCTTTGTGATTGGTTGGAGATCTCGACAAAAGTATTCATTTGGGGATTTGGGGAGAACGGCTCGTGGGATGGAGATAAAATTTGGAGAATGTGTTGTTGAAGTGTGTGAGAGTATTATAGAAAAGTTTGATAAACTCCTAAGATCAGGTTTGGGAAATATTTCGAGGGGCAGGTTGGGGGCTTCCTAACTTCGTCGAGATTTGGCGAAATGTACATCGTGCGATTTGCGGCGACCGCACAAGAGATTATGAGCGATGGATTGTTTTCAAATTCTGGGAGATAGTTAAGATGGTGTTTTTAAATCATCTGCCAAAGTTTGGTACGTTTCTAAGATCTGGTTCTGGTAGTACCTGGATTTGGGGGTGGGAGTCTCATTTTCGTCTGCTGGATTTGAGAGAATGTCGCATGCCACTTTCTTCTTTGCCCAAACACAAAACAACGAGTTTCAAAAAACATCGAAAAACTGCGAAGAAATACAAAGGGAATATACGCGGGAGTATAGGGAGATGTCTACTAGAATGAAATTTACAACATTGGAGGAAAATACGAAGAAATGATGGTTCTGGGTACAGAGGCGTATGTGGTAATCTTGTCGCAGATTTGTCGCAAAGCTGTTAAAGGATCATACTCTTACGAATATCATTTCGAACACATTTTTGAGACGTTTACACATCACGAGAGTCAATACTGGTATACGAAAAAAGGGAAGGATACAAGGCGCGACAATGAAAACCTATCTATAATCTGAACCTCTGCCAGTGGGTCGGGCACTTGATATATGGACGAGGATCGCAACGATTATACATAAGGGTATCACGTTGGCAATAATAGACGTTGAATGCAAGGTGACTGAAGAACTGATTACAGCTGTATTTCAGTGTAATAATGGATTGGTCGCACATGTATGCTTGGTAAGAAGCATTGAGATGGGCATCGATGAGTACAAGGTTCAATGGCGAGTTGTTTCACAGCGGCTCGACTATACTGACCTCGATTCAGAGGCTAATGTGATTGAATGGGTTTCACATTAGCAAGTTCTCATGCCGACAAAACGTATGCAACTCCGAAGCTAGATGCACATGCCACAAGATGGTAGAGCACAACAGTACTAAATTGGATCACTTAGCAGCGGGTTTGCATACTTTTGGGCAGCACAAGTAACTGCGGTAGCGCGGTTGGTACTTGAGCTAATTCGAAAACGCGGGGAAATCGAAAGTACATTGGATGGGTAAGTGGCACGGCATGACTGTCTGAAATTAGATATAAAAGGTAGGATCGGTCGACAAACGATTATATTTTACACCAGCGAGGAACTTTAGGGCAATGGGGCATGTGCGGAAGGTTCACTCCTTCGAGAGAGTAAGCTTGACGCCAGCAGATGCTGGGTTGAGTGCTTGATTCAGGCTTGATTCCAGTGGAAATCGTAGGCCAACAAGTGAAGGCAGGTTGCAGAGCAAATTCCAAACGCAATTTGCAGCGTTAAAGAGCAAAGCCGTATGGCTCAAGCTTGTTCGGAATTGTACAACAGGAAGTATCTGTGTAGGTAGTCTATTAAATGGTGTTGATTGAGTTCTAGATCCATACGGGCGGCGCAGAGTTCTCGGAACAATTCTGGCAGACCAATCAAATGCTTCCTTCGACAGAGACCAAATGACACAGGCCTTCCATATCCTTCATCTTCCTCCTTAAAACCCAAGATCATGAGAATATCTCGACGGTATGCTCAAATATCCGATCATAATATTGTAAAGTCTGGACCAATAAGTATTGCATTAAGCTCTCAAAACTAATCGAGTTTGTTGCACCTCATATTTCGAACTTCAGAGGTACCTGAGTATCATTCCTTATCATAAAAGCCATTAACATAGTGCTTGTATTTCAATATCGAAATCCATCTAAAGGTCGAAAGGTGTTTGGACGTTGTTAATTTGTATGCTCACGTGACAGTAACAAAAAGTGGTCAGGCACATGGATAACAAACAAACAAAGAAATCAGCCAGCACCAAACCGAGGATGTAGAAACGGACAGGGCTAATAAAACTCAGGTCAAACGCAGCATAAGCCTCCCAGCCTCTCCAATCTCCCTCGGGATTTGTTGATCAATGCTTCATCTCCACAATTGAATGAGCAGCACACTTCGAGTTTTTATGAATTTATGATTTACGATTTATTACTATTTCTGGGGATTTAATCAATGGAGAATGTGATGCGATTTCATTCCTAAATGTCATCCCCATACGATCGCAGAGGCGCACAGGCGCGTCGAGGAAATATCTCTTACTGGTTACCATTAGCTTTCACCGTTACTGCAGCCGCAGTAGGTGTAGTAGCATGGATATGGAGCACACGAAGTGATGAAGACGACGACGACGATGACGATGAAAACCGACCTCTTCAACCTCCAAGACCAGAATATGGTGAAAGAAATCCCGATGGCAGTTTTCGAACAGGTCCTCCTTCGTACGCAGGCGATATGCGACCGGGGGAAGCTTCATTCGGCACAGCGGATCAACAACCATCACACCCTTCACGCTCTGAAGAATCCCAAGGTTACATAGCTCAGATGTCAGGCGCATTGCAAAGAACACCTAGTCCACAGCAATTTATCAATAGTGCAAGTAGAAGTCTTGCGGCAGGGGCTGCTGCTGTAGGTGGTGTTGTGGGAAGTGCTCTCTCCTCAATCCGGGAGGAAGACAAGCATGGTTTCGACGATCATAGAACATGGCAAGAGGAATCAGTTATACGAAGAAACGCCGCTCCAAGTCCACCCATCACTACAAATACAACGCCGACCCCGGCCTCAGGGCCAATCGAACTACGCTCTGAAAGCACTGCAGGAGTTTCCGCAGCACCTCGAACACCAGTCAGTAACGGGAAAAGGAAGACGGTCGCTATCGTAGTGTCTGCAGAATCACACGATGATGACGCTGCTTCCGAAGCGGGCTATCATCATGAATATGCGGTTTGTTAATGTGGTTCTGTTGATTAGCCCATAATTACTAATTGCTTCTGCAGTCAATCCTCTCTCATCTTCCTCGCAAAACCGACTTCTCTAAGATACGACTATTTGTTTTAATATATGCACCAGGATTAACCGAGCATCCACTAGACGCTGCTGGTGGAAGACCGGGTGGATCTCTCAGTTCCTCGTTTTCGAACATCAGCCCTGGAGATGTCCATACACCCGGGGAAGAAAGTGATAGACAGTTGTAAGCAGATTTCTTTTGAATTATGAAGGTCGCCAACTAACAGATGTAAAGGACTCCGATGTTTCCCCCAAGGCCTTCGGCTCCACTTGCGTTCGGCCCAATATACAATGAAGCATTAGGCTTGGTGGAAAAAGAGACTATGGTCCTACCATTCACCACTCCAACTGGCCATGTTCATATCCTCCGACATCTCGCACCTGAATTTATATACCTACAAGAATCCCTCGGAGGAGAGAACGGATCGGTTATCAACCATCTACAAAGTTGGTTTAGAGAAGATGTAGTTCTGATCGTAGGCGCCGATGGAGGTCATGGTGGACTCGCAGATAGCGAATCCGAAGCGGAGAGTCAAGTTTCAAGAAAAAGAGAACAATGGTGGGAGAGAGAAGATAGAGTTGGTCTTGGAAGAGGTGTGGTTGTCATAGAGGGTAATCGCATCGGAGACTTTTGGGCTAGAAAGGTTCTTGGAGTGGAATAGGCGGGCAAGCGAATAGGCAGATATGGGGCGTCTTTTTTCTTTTTCTTATATACCTAGTACCTTTGATCTACAGTAGGGGTTTTTGGATGAATGATTGATACCGGGTTGGGAGCGTTGAGGTCACAGGATGTTTCTCGTGATCTGACTCGCGAATTTTATGTATGATGGATATCTTGTTATTGAATGCACAAAATCATAATTCTGTTGAATACCGGTACCTACCTTACCTATTGAACATGATATTCATTCCTAATCCGGTGACCCTGGTAATTCCAACTTTGATTGTCGTTGGTTATTCATGTTACATCGCCACACTGTATCTAGGCAACAGCCCCATTCCACCTGACTCACCCCGGACTCACTCACCCCTCCCCCCAATCCAGCCATGTTTGCACCATTTGTAGCAATCTTCCTCCCCAAACATCCTGCCCCCAAAAAACTATATAAACCCTCTCCCTCTCCTGCATTTCAACTTTTCTCTCCTCATCGATTTAGCATCTCTTTGAATTTCGCTTAGATCAAGTGTAGTATCTGTTCTATCCATGTTTAACTATGTGGATCCTTTCTACGGAAAGACGTCTAGTTTACAGAATTTTTTGTTGTGTCTGTCGCGAACGCTTGCTTGCGGGTGTGAGTGATGGAGGTGTCCCCGGTATTACACTGCTTCTGGGTGATGCCGATGCTGATAAGAGGAGAGAGAGAGAAATGACTTTTCGTTGCCTGGGACCTGGCGTTGCTGGGGGGTGAGGAAGAGTTGGGGCGAGGGGGAGGGGAGGAGAGGAGAGGGTTGGGGAGAGGTTAGGGATAGGGGGTGGATTGTGGAGGGTGAATGGAGTCGGTTGGGCTGGAGAGTAGAGAGTGTGAGAGGGTGAGAAAGTTAGGAGAGATGGTCGAGATTTAAGGATTGATGAGATTGATGAGATTGGCTTCACAAGCTTTTGTATATAATATCCAAGTGTAGGAAGTCGAGACACTGGTCCTCGGAATGTTCACCGTGCAATGAAGCTCAATCGAAATAGACCTGTTATTTTTCAGACCAGTGTCATTCAAATTCCATTATATGCATATAGATAAATCGTGACTACTAAGTGCGCTCTTCGGATGTTACTCGCTGGTATACCATCCACTTGATGGTACTTGAAGGCTTTCACTTTGCTTCGTCCTTAGAAGTATCATGATGACATTAGATGTTGGATTTATTTGAAATCTCCCGTTGTTTCGACTTTATACCACTTGGTTTGTCTATGCAAAAATAAAAAGGTCTAGATTCCTGGCTTGTAATTGACGAAATGCCGATCGATAAAATCCTATCCATTATGGAAATTTTGCAACGGGAAGTAATCTTGGACTTCTTCAGGGTACACATCGACTTCTGCACTGGGCAGACAGTAGACAATATTTCTTTTTGAAATCGGAGATCGACGAATAAATTCAACATACATTCGGTCATGACTTTCAAATTAGATGAGGACTATCGGGCATTAAACGATTAAATCACGTGAAGTGTGTGACTCATGTGATACTAGTTTCGACATTTTTCATGAATTGCAAAGAGTACAGCTACCAACGCAATCGCGGTATAACCACACAATTCTTTCAGAACACATCCGGTACGATTTCTCTCCAAGAATTTACTACCGTATCAGTCGATTGATTTAAGTTGGATATCATACACTACCTAGTATAAAGTACTGGTTTTTTGTGAACTGGATTCCTCTTTCGTTCACCACATCGGTTTTTTATATCATATCCATTTCGACTAGAATACCATTTTTCACGCAAAGAAATAACCGACAATGCCTCACGCCATGCCAGCGCCTGGCTTCCAGGCCATAATTCTTTGTGGTCCAGGATCGTCTTTCCCTACTTTTACCTCAAATCCAGATAAGAACCCAAAGGCTTTAATACCCATAGCAAATCGCCCCATGGTGTGGTACCCTATCGATTTCTGTTATCGAATGGGCGTTACCAGTAAGTGAATTCATGTTTCTGTACCTATCGTTAAGATCTCAACGACGTCTGTGAATGAGTAGCTTTGAGTGCGATGTTAAATAGGGTGGTCTGATTAAGGGCCCTAGGGCTACTGTATTTAAGGTTCTCAGGATACTAACACTTATTCAGATATCACTCTCATTACACCACCTTCTTCAGAGGAAGCTATTAAAACAGCATTGGCTACCAATCCGCATTTGACAAGTTTGCCATTGCCAAAACCTGATTTATTAGCACCCGAAGAATTAGATCAAACCACAGGTACTGCACAAATCTTTCGATTGCCTGAAGTACGGAACATCATCAAGGGTGATTTCATAGTGCTTCCCTGTGATTTGGTTTGTGAGCTCGGCGGCGAATCTTTGATAGAATCATGGATGGTAAAGGAGGGAGGCTTGGGTGGAGCAACGGGAGGAGATCACGAGGGTCCAAAAATGGCACTTGGTGGTGAACGAGGCGGAAGACGTGGTGGACTTGGAGTGTGGTACGAAACCAAGAGCGAAACGCCAATCAAGGGCGAAGAAACTGATTTCATTGCAATTTCGCCCCTCGCCGCCACCTCTGTCCCACCTTCGAAATCATCTTTGATTCCTCACGTCTCAAATTTGCTCTACTCTGTCCCTACAGATACCTTGAAGGATATAGTTGAAGATAAAAAAGGGCTACCAATTCGTCATGCCCTGGTACGCAGCCATTCCCGTATTCGAATGCTCAGTTCCCATCGAGATGCGCATATCTATATTTTTCCAGCCTGGGTACTTGATATGATCAGCGCAAACGAGCACATGGACAATATTGGTGAAGATGTTATTGGATGGTGGTCAAAAGCGGGATGGCAACAAGGTCTAGGTGATAAGTTGGGCTTGCGGGATATTTTTGAGAAAACAAGACCCGATGAGTCCGACGACAATATGCTTGATAATGGCCCAGCAAGTGACGATGTCGATTACGGTAATCTGAGCTCAACTTGGACTTCTAAACTTGAGAATCCTTCATCAAAGAAATCGTCAGATAATTCGACCGCTAGCGATAAATCAAACTTGGCTATTCCTCCAATTCTAGCCTACATTCATCCTTCAAAGCCCACAGGAGAAGTTCCTCCACTAATCATCCGACGAGTAGATACAGCTCCTATCCTTCTTAATGTATCCCTCCAGCTCGCCAAAATTGAAGCTATCGATCAAGTTGGCCGTGATGCCGCTTCTCCTTTCGCCCATAACAGCAAAATAGCTTGGCCAGAAGGAATCGCACAGAAAACTACGGTACGACCAGATTGTCTTTTGGCGGAAAATGTAATTGTCGAAGAGAAGTGCATTATCAAGGAATGCGTCATTGGTGCAAATTGTCAAATCAAAACTGGAGCAAGATTAACTCGTTGTGTATTGATGGATGGAGTTACCGTAGGATCATCATGCACATTAACGGATTGCGTGCTAGGAAAGGGCAGTGTGATTGGAGATAAATCAGAGTTACAAGACTGTGAAGTTCAGGAGGAGTTTGACGTTGACCCCGGGAGTAAGTTCTTCACACCCCACTGAATTTCTGAGAGATGGTTACTAATAACGTTTATCATTATAGCAAACAAGAAGAAAGACAGACTCATGAGTGCTGCAGGTTTGGGTGTAGCCACCGAAGATGAAATTCAAGAGTTCAATCAACATGATTCCGATGAATCAGAATCAGATTAGTTTTATAACCTCAATGAATCTACTCAAATTCACCAGGCTAAAGATCTATTCTCCATGGTAATATATTCTACTTCAAGTGTGATATTTTTTTATATTTTTTTTACAGATCCTGCACCATGTTTCCATGCGCAACTTCATCGCGCTTAATTCATTTTACTTTTTCCCATCTACCATATTGATAAGGTGATGACGTTTTTGCTCTCAAATCAGCCCTATTAAGAGGAAGGTAACCTAAGAAGGAAATTTATCCATTATTCATCAGACCTCGGACCTTTAGAGCTAGTTCTATTAGAGAACCTATACCCAATATGGAATACATCTCCTCATCCACAACCCCCTGTTCACACAACGCAAAACAGACAGCCCCTTAAGCAAACCCATCGCATCAAAATTGAATCTTCACCATCCCTATCTCTCTTATCTTCTCCCCGGAGCTCTGCATAATCGGGCGTGTAACCACAGCTCGTTCTACATACAGTGTGCAGATTTCCCAGGTCTCTTGACGGCCCGATTCCTGCATTGAAATGGCACGAGTGGTTGTCGGAAGGATGTCTTTCTTGCTAGTGTGGGAGCGTTGGTGATGATGATGATACCGTGTTGTGAATATGTCTTGGATATGCTTTGAGTATTCTAATATCTACAGTGTACCTACGAGAGGCATGGATTGCTCCCTTTTCAACAGGCCTATCTACCTACCTACCTACCTACCTACCTACCTACCTACGCACTTACCTACCTCCTCCCCTTCTGCATAGTACATACATACAGTACCCTCCCCCTCACGACGTTACGAAAACATACATTCACTCCGAATATAAGATTCCCGTCCCGCGCCGTGCCCTACCGTGTGTATTTGTGTGTGTGTGTGTGTGTATGTGTGTGTGTGGTGCTCGTGCAGGGAGTGAAAAGGAGGTCTTGAATACTTGGTTTTCGTTGGTCGCGTAGTGACGCCTCCAACTGTTGATTTTGATTTTGTGGGATGGGTGGATGGGAAGGGAACTGTTGGTATGTATGCGCTGTAACGGTGTTTTTTGGAATTTTTGACTGGTTGGTTTTTGAATGGTTGGTTCGGGGATGGGAGGTGGAGGTGGAGGTGGAGGGGGGTTGTTTGGGTTCTCGGACGGGGAGTATACACGTATTTATTTTTATTTATTTGGGTTGGTTTGTTTGTTTGTTTATTTGTTTTCTCGAAAATTTGAGAAATCTGGGAAATTATTCTGGGTAGGTAGCTGTCTTGTATCTATATGTAACTGTAACTGTAATTGCAATTGTAATTGTAGTCGAACTCTCAAGTCAAACCTCTTCGAGTAGTAAAAGAGTTTCACTATTCAACCTTTTTTTATCTGATACATTTTTTTAGAATCTTCTCCCTCCTTCTTACCCGATTTCCAGATATGTACTCGTATTCTCTCCAATATCCTTCCCCCGCGCCCCCTAATACTACACATCCCCATCCCCCTCCCCCTCCCCGGTAGAATCAAAATCCCACGATCATGCACTCATTTCCCATCTCCAGGAATCACCCACCTAACCTAACCCATTATAATTACATACCAAAGAAAAAGGAAAAAAGTACTTCCCGATCAGGAAAATCCCACCACTGCAAATTGGAAAATAACACTGTTAGGTTTTTTGAACGCAGATAGGTGAGGATTCAAGTAATATGCATTAATTGCTCACCTAGCGCACAATTAACTTTTGCGTTAGTCGCGTAGTTGCCAGTCGGTGGTTGGAACTCAGGGACATGTGAGGTGTGTTGCTGTATCGCAGAGTTGGAGAGGTAAACGCTTTGCGCGCGGGTGGATAGGTTGGAGATGTAGGTTGTAGGGGAGATGAGGTGGTGGTGGTGTATGTAGATTGTATTTGGTGATAGGGGATGTGGAATTGCTAGTTGTAGTTTTTAGAAACGGGATTTATATGAAAGGTCTGTAGAGAAAGGAGATAGGGAAGGGAGAAATTGGGGAGGGCTATTACTATAGAGTGATTTACAAGGGGCTGGAGAAAGATGTAGAGGTGTGAATGGGGAGGGAAGACTTTTATATACCATACTACGCTATACTGTTACTGAGACGAACTAGTTGAAAACATGAATCTTTAGTCGAATGAGAATTTATAAGCTGGCGGGTAGAAGATACTTCACGGACAGAAATTCGAGAATGAATTGAATCAACTAATCTGTGTGGAAACTCAATAATAGCCGCTAGTACTAGATTCATGTACAGTCTCCTCCTCCTCCTCTACTCTCTCATTTCAATACCATTACTCTTTTTAATGTCTTCTCTTCCCCCCCCCCCTTTTCGATATCTCTTTCCATCATCTTCCATCCTTCTTTTCTTCACTCTCAAATCCAACATGCTTCCACAAACAACAGCCCAGTATCAAAGAAACCAACTGTCCAGAATCCACCAAAACACAAACGAACCCATCACCCCCTCGCTCCCCCATCATCTCAACACTCATCTCCCGATAACCCATCCATAAAGCCGCAATCACAATAACCTTACACACACAATCCCCAGAACACTCTTACTCTCCTATAAATTTCCAAATCCCCAAAGACTCAAACAAAAACCCCAATCTCAATTCCCCAAAACCTACCTACCTACCATACAACGTCCCAAAAAGAGAAAAGTAGGCAATTGATACCCCGCCCAACGACAACAACCAACCACTAAGCGCCATCTTCACCACACTTCCAACACACCTAAAAACACCATCTACATGTAGTTCGTGAAACTCCCAGCTTTAAACTCACAATACATCTTTCATGCGCCACACATAATCTATTTCAAAATAAAACTTCAGGTCTCCAGACGCATCACTCAATTTCATTCAATGTGCATTCATAATGTGGAATGAAAGCGGACAATGCAGAGCCCACTATCCAAAGAAGAAATCCCTGGAGTGAAGAGAATCGAAATAAGGTGGACTAGAACCCTAGCTTGAGTTCAAAAAGAGTCGATGTATAGGATTGAGAGGAGAAAAAGAAAAAGAAAGGTTCTTGTGGAGTGTGGTGCAAGCTGGAGATACGTATACTAGTTGAGATGATTTGGAAAACAAATAGCTAGAGTATCCAGAGATATCTAGGTATCTGATAATGCATATAGCTTCTAGGATGGGAAGCAAAGAGTGATCTGACTTTCTCTCACCCAAGAATATGTCACCAGTGCGTACTTGCAAAAGCTGTGAAATAGACTCAAGTGGGGATAGTAATGTTCAAATGCTAACAATAGAATTTCTCCAGGTGTAACCTAGAGAGCTAAAATAGTTTATATTAAAGAGTGGTGAGTATACTGGAGTAAGAATGTCTCAGTATCCATTAATATACCAAGCTAAACTACCTCGCCGCGATTAAAAATTGGCCCTTCAGATCATAATAACTAATTTTGGTGACCATGAAGAATTGCATCCATCGGCAAATCAAAAATCCATCCATCCATAGTACAGTGAACTCTTGAGGTTCTCGAGCAAGAAGCAACCAAATGTTGTGTTGTAAGGGAATTGGACCGAAAGTAATTTTGAACGATGTTTAATATCGTTCAACATACTCCTTTTTGGGGTGCTTGATGACAGTTCCTGGGGGGTGATCGTCCTTGTAGAACTTGCAAGCAAATGCCATACATGTAGGTTCCTTAGGCCCAACGCTGGGGATTACCACACTTGGGCAATGGTGCCCATAGATGCATTCCTCATTATCGCAATCTTGGCCATTGACACAAGGATTCTGACGTGTTAAATAAGCAATGGCTTTTATTTCCTCCTCTGTAGCGTTGTGATCGTGCTCAAAGCAACATTCATCGCCTTTAGAGCAAGGGCCTCGTAGATAATGATTGTTACATAATTTATTCGAATTTGTACGTCGTTTTACCGCTTCCAATACATCTTTCTTGACATGTATTGGGGGATCCAGTCCTCTAGGACCCGGAACCCAGCCCAGCCGAGCAAAAACATTACTTGTAACATCTGGTTTCTTAACTGCCGTCGAAGTGGTTTTACCTAAAGCAGGAGATGCGACAGTGGTAGGTGGTGTGGGTGGAGGAATCGACGTGACACCTGCCCAGGTTGATGGAACGGATGCCTGACTGAATTCTGTTGTGCGATCTGTCAATTTTTGAGAGCGGAAAATATGTTCGAATTTGAGAGTTCGGAGGCCAATTGCAGAGAGCTCGCGAACTATAGGAGGTCCTTCCATTATTGTAATTCTATTTCGATCGTCCTGCGTAATCACTTCGTCGAGAAATGGTGCGTATCCGCTATCGAATGATATACCAAGTAATAGTTGTTTGCAATTCCAGTTTCTTAAATGCCATCTAATACATTCTTGTAGAAGTCAGTACAATGATAGCCTGCCCCGAAATGACCGTAAATCGTGGTAAGGCTATACTAACCTTTAATCTTTGAATCTGCCCTTTCTTTGCCATGGCCAACATCTATAAAATCGAAATGTGCTTTTCCTTGGGTAAATCCTAGAGTAAATTCTTTAAATTTTTCGAAGCTTTCGAGTGTGCCGTCTCTCATTAAGGCTTTTGATAATCCGGTGTAATTTCCGCAGACTTTTGCCATGATTTCAATCTCCTCGGTCTGAGGTCCACTACATTGTTCGAGTATTGATGCCCTGAGGAGGTTGGCTGCCTTTTTACCTCCTTCGAGCCCTTGATTTATGAGATCTTGATTGAACTATGTAGCACTTATCAGCGATGATTCGGACGAGATATGGGGATGTGCAACTGACAATCATGCCATCGGCATCAACTAGCGCTATTATGTAGGGATTTCGATTCTGTTTTTGCAACGCATCAGTAAATAAAGCCGGCTCTCATTGAACTCATTCCGTCGTACCTGCAGAATACTATTTTCGTTGATAGCTCGTTCTAAATGTTGACTGGTCAAATTCCAGTGTATTTGCAATTCTCTTCTCGATTTCCTCGAATCATCCAGATCCAGATGTGCATCGTTCAATTCTTTTTTAAGACGCTCATTTTCATGTCCTAGACCGTTTTCGACCGTCTCGACATACATCAAAAGATCCTGATGGTAGTTGAAGTTAGCATAGGCAATTGGATTCCGGCATAGCAATCACATCATAGCATCGACGGCGAACCAACACACCTTAATTAATTCATCGCCAGTTTCTCTTTGCTCTGTTAACAGCTGGAACCGACGAACAAAGGCATCCATCATGGTCGTCATGATGAATTTTATGAATTATTAATATTGCTAGATGAAGATTAAAATGATCAGACTCAAGTCAATGTGAAGTCGAGCATAAGTAATATTGAAATTAATATCGATTTAATATTTAATTGATCGCGTACGAAACTTTTTTTTTGGTGAGTATGAACGCTGGAGACGCGACAGTGGGGAGTGGGGAGATTGACGCTAGGGCTGTATGTACTCCGTACTTTTCGACTTTATTAGTGTGTTACTTGAATGATTGCGTGGGTAACAGAGAAGTGGGAATAACTTCAACTTTCTCGCAGAAAATATTCTCGATGCTTGGATTTTACGATCTTGATATTGATGTTGTTTCTCCTACATATGGAAGAAAGGGAAGAAGTGTACGATGATGTGGTTGTATGTTCAAATGTCTTTCTACCTCTTTGCCCTTTAAAAACCGTGGGAAAGTTTTCTCTCATTAGAAATATGCCATGCCATGCTATTGGTAGTAGGTATGTAGCATTAGTCGGGTCCCTGCCTACCTTTTGAGATTTGTTTGTAGTATCAAAACAACAGCCTCTCGTCACCCTTTTGGCCCAATGACCGTCCCTGTTGATTGTTGTTCTCGGCATTTTGCAGTGGAGTTTAGTTTAATTGATTGGTGAGCGTGTTGCATTGAGGACTTGTGCTACAGAGTGGTTGTTACAGCGTTACACCCAAGGCCTATAGTGACGCCAACCGTGTGTCTGACAAACGAAACTGAGCCTTGTCTGCAGTTAGATGAAAGGGATAGATCAAGGAGTTTAGACCTGGTATGATGACCCTAGGTGCCTACTCAAACATTCCCTAGTTGTTTGTTCATAAGATGTGGAACCTTTTCAATGCTCGAGTTTATGGACAACGCAGGACAAATTTGATAATTAATCCTTCAGTTTGGGTGGAATAAATCACAAACGGATTCTCGTCAGTAAGTTTCATCAAGCTTTCCTCAGTGGATATCTGTCTTCCCTTTCCGGAGGTAAAGGTTTAGCCCATTAGTATAATTCAGCTGTCCAGTCGCTCGAAATACCAAGAGGAAACAGCTTGCCCTTTTACTTGAGTCAGAATCTCAGAGGAGGAGCAAAAGCGTGATAAACAGTTTGCTCTCCTCCTCTTGATATCCTGGCTCAAGCAAGTACGAAGTAGCAAGCCGAAGCACCAGTATTAGACTCACAACGAATTATCGTAACGTGTGCTCCTCGAATACCAACGAAAGCCTGTTCGTATTTATGATTCTCATATCTTCAACAAAGTATAGATTGAAGTAAAGTCCGAATCGTATTCTTTTTTTAAGGAAGACAAGTATTGCACACAGCTGATTACACACAATTCCTTCCATCGTACACATTTCTAACCGGTAGTCCACACAACCCCACTCGATTGACTCAACCACGATCTACCGTCCCGTATCGAAAATCAACTCACCAGTATTTCCCAAACCCAATTCCCAAGGGATAAATATACGAACCAACCAAAACATTCGAAATCAGAATTCCCTCCCATATAAGCCTATGTGATTCACCCCCAAAACAATGTTCTCCACACGCCTCGTGCGCCCCATTCATCTAAGCGAACCCCCTCCCTTCCCCCTATCTATCTCGTGTTACACTAATAATACAGAAGTCCTAAGCGCCTGACGTTGCTTCTCCTGGCGCTAAATTTGAAATGAATTATGTACCTATGTGAGGGGATGCCCTTGGTCACTTATAGATACTTGTATTGATACTCGGATGTCACAAAAAGAAATATAATATGGCCGTTAGGGAAATTGATACGAAGCCCCTCCATTTCACAAAACGCCCTTCTTGACAACATATCGCGAGATCGGAGAAGGTCCCAAATTGGGGATGAAGAACTGAAAAAGGGAATCTACGATGGTGGATATTCTATTTCTACGGTTCGTCATATTATGTCTTGGATATCAAAGTGCATATCGCCGACGATGTACAAGATGTCTTTTAATATGTTTTGAGCGGGGAAATCGATGAATGCGATAGGGGGACGTGATTGTTTTGGTCGCCTAAATTAACAACGTGTTGGTGTCTTCCGAGATGAAAGACATGAGCCAGGAACATGGATCCGTGCCCGAAGTTCTCGGCGTTCGAGGAACTATTAGACGGGATAGCTTACCGGGGTATGGAAACAATGGAACCAATGCTTGATAGAGGTTATGCCGGCAGCTTAAATTGATTGTATCGACGGTGCTGTGGGAATTAATGTCTCGGTATTTGATGTTGCTCACTCCAGTCACTCGCAAATATGGGCTCCCAGAAAAGGGTGATGAGATCATGGGAAGAGATCGATCATATTCTGGGATGTGGATGTGATTGATGCAATTCTTTGATGCGAAAATATATCATAAATTGCCGGTTCATCGCCTGCTTTGACACAAAAACCATGGGTAGGATATCAATATTGTGAATGTTAATAACATGAGGCACCAGCAGACAAGCCCATACTCATGGTACATCCTGAAGCTTTCAAATACCTGAGCAAATAACTCATCACTGCCCGAGGAATTCTTTATCTTCTATCCCACACCCTCTACCAAGTTTTAGTGGGTAATCGATTGTAGATACAAGACCATTCTCAACGCCCGACCCCATGCAGCGATCGTCAAGTTCCTACTAAGCCACACATGCTTATTTGAGATGCAACTGATGACTAAAAGCTGGTACGACTCTGCTCAATATCGCAAAGGTGCAAGAGTCTATGATCAGTTAGCACACCCGAAGGATATATGTGGTCTACTTACGGATGTTATGCTTGCATTATTATCCTCGGGACGCGTGGTAGTCACGATGACAGTTCGAACTTCACAGTCCAGCCGCACGCGAGCCAAATGTTGGTACCACTGTCTTACTGCCAATGACCCATTCTCCTTTCGTATTTAGAGTAGTTACTTATATAACGATCAAGATCATGGTACTGGTATTCGTATGTGTACGTCTCTTATCCATAAGAAATAATGGTACCTATCAAAAACTAGCTTTATTCCCTACGTGCATACCTTTAGATTCTTCACAATACAACCTTGACTAATCGTTGAATATTAATATTCATTTCTCAGATTAGCCAAGGAACATCGAAGAGATACGCTCAGAACGATGGCAACTATTTTGCTCATCATTGAATAATTAAATTTCTGTCGTATTCTAATGTGGGGAAGGTTTTACCAAAGAAAAGGTAGCTTGCATTGCAGGCACACCATCTAATTTGGTTTCGAAGAGCTTGTAGAATGTATTAAGACAGTGAAACTATAGTCCTTCCTGTTAAGCTCGCGGCTCCGACTGAAGAGTTGGTCTTCTTGATTGGATAGTCACAGCAAAAAGCCTGAAGGGTGTAGAGATCTTGTCAACTGAAAGAAACGATGATGTAACGTAGCAATTTTTTTGAAAATTGAGAGCTGCAATGATGCAGATAGGCCAAGGCCATTTCGCAATACCTAGTCTCTTTGTTCTATTGATGTACAACTCCGTGTTTGGTGCAAGTGAACTCGAGAGCGTTTGTTTAGCTATTGAATCTTTTTAATTGACATCATTGTATCGCCAACGAAGCACTTCTTATGAAGCTGCAGCTTTTGCGGACTATGATGCTCCGAGACTTTTCGGGGAATCCAGTACAATCCCAAATATTCATGGAAGGTCGATCGACGGATAAAATTCATTCCTCCATACACTGTGCCATACTGTCATGGCAGTGAACTAAATGATCATAGTTACATTGGTAATCTTTAGAGATACTTCTGCATGTATTGAGGTTGAATCGAAGAAATGACAGGAGAGTGAATAGGAAAATGAATACGCTGAAGCCGTGCAAGTATTGAAGCAAGCGACCTATCACGTCGCATTGCCAACGACTGCAGCAGAGCCTAAAACATGCAAGTCATTTGCTTTGCAGTTTGTGATCGTTATAATTCAGTGATGAAGTTATGATCGATAGGTTAGTTCTATTGAATAAAAATTGCCGCAATTGTCGAGAGTAATTTTCGCGAGACTATCCGTTTAGTTCATATCGAGATCGACACGGTACGAGAGCTTTTGAGGAGAGTACTCAGCGTGGAAGAGGTTATGTGTTTTTGGCAACCCCAAAGTGTTGGTTCAAGTGCAGGAGAAGTGCGTCAAAAGCAACCTCGCAAGATTTACCTAAAGCATCGAAACAAAGGTGTTCTTCTCAATTGAGTGAATAAAGCTCCCTTCAATATTTTGAACCGTATTACATCATTTTGAAATGAGGTTTCATGAATTGAAGCTGTTCGATGACTGAAGATGTTGAAGATTGGGGTATATCGAGAATATAACTGAAGTTTCGGTCAATCCCACTTTAGTAGTATAGTAATAATTTCGAGCAGTACCCGCCTGGTGACCAAAGCAATTAAACTTGTCTTTTACTAGGACTACATTCTACTAGAGCCATCGCGCTTTCTCACCAGTCATCCCAAAAACACTTTCAAAAAAGAGTTATCTCGACCAAATTTCGAACTAATCTACTTTAGAGATAATAGTTGGTGTCATAAATTTGAGTTCAGCCTTCCATAGCGGAGACTTTAATCGCATAACGTAGCCTAATAGCCGGCATCGAGAGTCGCAACACAACGACACATTTTCAACCATCTCGATGATATATCGACCACATTTCGATGTCACTACCAACCATTCAATGGCTTATCGGATATAAGCTTCTCCTCGGACCCGAATACCAAGGAAAGATGTTTCTTCAGAGCAAAGATATGTTAATTGACGCTGATACTATACTCAACGTCTCACCCGCTTGGGGATTAAATTTCTGCATCAAATGCCTCCGATTCAGCAAGAAACCCTCCATTTGCTTCAAATCGAGAAAGGTCGATGTGAATCTAGATTCTTGAATCTTGATTGGACCATTATTTGATGGAAGCTGGCGGGATGGTTGCCTATTGCATTTAGTGTGTTATCACAAGTTGCGAATTCATGCACCTTCGGTAGCCCCGCGACTTCGGCAGGATATAGACCGTAGATCTGGAGTGTATACTTTGTGAGATATGAGATACATCTCGGTGACGCAAGTTGACTAGTTCAAATTAGCCGGTGGATGCAGTTTGTTGGCGTAAAGCAAGAACCTTCAGGCTATATTCCATTAAAATGGTCCATATTTTCGAAATTTAACAGCTCCATTGCTAGACTTAGAGGGTGTTGATATATAGGTAAGGTTTCAGGCATGTCAACAAGCCAACATTTTCTCTCCGCTCCTTTATATTTTCATTGGTAGACTTGTGAATAGTAATCTTCTTGTGATGCATTCAACTACTACCGAAGTAGCTTCGGTTAGTATTGAATTTTTCGGGGCGCTTGAAGCGAGCGAGGGTTGTTCGTCTCCACTACAGTGGCACTCCATAGAATACCAAAAGAGCAGGGGGTCCTGCATATGCTACTCGCAAGGCCAGTAATCCTAGAAACCTGCGATCTCAGAAATTGGTGTCTTGATCCCATACTTTATTGTTGTTAAACGCAGGTTCTTACAGGTTCGGGGATTTTTGTTTCCTCGCGTCGGAGGTAACTTGTGAAGGAGAAACCGTTGGAAGTGGGCTGCTATATGTGGATGAAGAAAATTGTGGAGAGGGCTCTGCTACAAGATGGGATGATACGCACAGGGATTTTGACAGCGGTACATACAGCTTACCCTCTTTCTAGCCTAGTTTATGCACTTCGACCACTGCGTCGAGCTTTCAAAAAACATTCCCATTTGACCAGTGGGGAGATTCCGAACATTACATTATGGCTTAACTCCTAAAGCATGTAATCATTCCAAACAATGGCTTTTCATGCATGATTTAGACTTCATATTCCATCATGAAAATTTCCTCATTTGTATGTCCCAAGTCCTCGAAGATGATTGCAAAAATCCCGCCGGCAGTCGAAAACTAGATACAGGTGCAGAAAATAGCCACAGACTCATCACAGTAGACTGATTTCGGAATTAAAATAGGGCCACCCCGGGTATAGCATCCTTGATGGAAGGTTACACGAGGAAAGCACATCGGAGATCGGTTTTCAGTCCTGAGTCCCCACACTATGCGCCACGCCGATGATGACAGCCGGTAGAATAGGTAGACTAGAAAGCTCCAAGCCCGGTGTGAGGACCGAAATATGTTATAGTACACACGAATTACTACCGAGGTAGCGAGAAATTACGCGGACCTGATAATTTGTGCCGTTAGACCTCAAATTGAAAGTCATGAGTACTTGTATAATATGAATGACTGACAGGAACAAGGAAGTTTAGTGCATGCAATCGGTAGCTGCCATAGATAGCCATACTCGTTCAGATGCAGCGTCTAGATCTCTGGCCAAATATGAGATTAGAAATCACTTACAACTCAATTGACGTCGACCATCTTGGTACTATCTTCGAATAGTTAGTCTTAACGATTTGTGAGACGTCGTCATGGGAGTCACTTACAAATAATCTCTAAGGAAAGAGCTCCAATTTGCTATCAGCATTCTTGTGTAATGCACAAGCACCTTTTGATACCACTTCTGATGTTGACATCACACAGTGGGGTTTATTCTTACAATTGGTGACCACTTTAGTCCCAGTGGGTGCGCTGCATACAAAGCATTTTTCGATATACGTTTGACACATTTTGCTTGGGTTGGCACGCGAATTGTCAGTATAGAAGCTGCAATATATTTGGCATTAAATTTTATTTAGAAAGTTTCCGGATGAGAAATTTCTGAGCAGAGTTTCTGGATGGATAGAAAAAGTATTGTGATCAGGTAGTGCAAGCGGAAGAAGAAGCAGAAGATGTAAAGACATACTTTCACAACACTTCTTTCTCTTTTTTATAGATGAAAAACTGAGTCCGCCAAGATAATACTACATCCTCGAAGGACTTCTATAGTCAATGTAACTCTGTTCTGGGGGAGTGAAATGGGTTTCCGGCCCATTATACATACTATGGCCTTGAGAGGAGGAAACTGATATCAGCAGTCCCAACGACGTCTTTCAGGGATACCATGAAGTTGGCAAGGAACGCAGACCAAGTTTATGGCGGATGGCTACTTCTAAAGAAGTGGTGGTTGGATATACCATAAAAACTGCAGAGGCTGATAAATCCATGTGTAAGAACCCTAGATTTCGGGGGGATCTTTAACCTCTGTTAGCATCTTCTCATCCAGTCGTCAATCGCATGTGGAAGTGTCTCTTAAGGACCTACTGCATAGTGGAGCCATTGGCTTCAGTCTCCAGTTGTAGTGGCGATATTTTAGACTATCGTTTCCTTCCGTTCGAGCATGCATTGCCCCATGAATGTGTTACTGGCATTGGCAGGTTTACTAAGTATGCAAGAAATTCTCTCTGGAACCATACGGGAAGAGTGCAGTGTAGTGAGATAGTGCACAATGTTTCTAACCACATGGTGCAGCAGTAAGCTGTACTCAAGCCGGTTAGCCAATGGTACCAAATTGTCGGATTTGATCGCGTGTAATTTTGCATGAAGGTTCTCGACTGACCCCGCACAAACAAGCTGAGATACCTTAGGAAAGAGTATATACGTAGAATTACACTTCTTGACATGTTTAAATCTTGTAATATCTGTGCTCTTGATGACAGTGATGAAAATGCACAACGTATCACATCTTTTACTCCAGAATTGATCTAGTACGTTTCCAGCATGCACAGTGCACGGAGATGAATATGTAGCTAGCCAAAATAGAAGCTGCAGTCAATTATCGCTTGAATTGACAAGTAAGAAAACTTTGATGGCTTTAGAAACTATCCCAACCAAATTTCTTCTTGCTGCATATTTGACAGGATAGTAACGAAAAGTAGTCCCTTGGTACTGGTTAGTATTAATACTTGCAGGGTATATTACTACCGAGTTCGGGGGCCCTGATATCGGATGATGCCTAGGTAGGCAGGGCAACGAAAATATGATGCGCTGGCTTTTTGTTGGTCCAGGACAAACATTTATCATATTAATCTAACAAACGCAATAAATTGTGTTTGTTTTTTCATCGCAATAATCGGCAAGATAGAAACCTGTTCTTCTGTATATATTGACAGTTTTTCACCATCTTCTTGAATTAATGCGAGTGATATCACATATGACTCCTCTTCCATTGATAGCCGAGCCGACTCAATAAATGTTGGCCGGAATGAAGGAGAGTTAGCATCCCTATTCGGCTCAACATCAACCTGTACACCTTTTCCGTTCTCTCGCGGGCTGACTGTACCTCCGTACCGACTAAGACGAATATGTTGGAGCCCGGATTTGTACCATAAGAATTTCACCAGAAAAGAGTTCGCGTATTGTTGAGTCCGAACTTTTGATTGGCCATATATTACAATTCCTGTGAAAGTTGAATCATTGGTTGAATTTTGTATCATATATGATACTGTTTTGAGTCTTTTCCCGATTGATAGTTCGTAGATCAGCCAAAAAGAACTTTGGTGGCTATTTCAGCTTTCTATCTTAGGGGCCTCGGAGGCGTCTATCAAGTGGCAGAGGCTTTTCTCATTCATTGGTTTATTGGCAGAAGTAAGCGCGACTGGCTGCTGTTTCATAACTGATATTGATTGGACGCATGAAGTATCGTGAACAACTGATTGACCAATAATCAGATGCTTTCTGGAACACCCGTACAAACAAAGCATTTTGTTGAGATAGTGCACATTGTCAACTCCGAGGGTTTCAATTGAACAATCAATCGAGACCTTCCAAGGTTGATTGAAAACGCCAGTGGAAGTCAAAGACTTTTGACAATGGCCTGATGGCTCTCAAGCTATCTCAATGTCGCGAATCAGCGCGATGGTTAATACTGGAAAGCCCTCATAATTTTGAGCATTCCAGAGACCATCGTCTCATTCTTCGCGAAAACACAACCTCGTAATGGGCACATAAATGGCTGATTACAAACGGTTTGGAGAATGCGAGATCGTAGATCTGCACCCAGGGAGCCAACCTTGTGCAAATCAATGGATTAAAACCAAGCATTTGGCAGCTCTTCAGTTCACTTTAAGTGTGATGTGGAAGAAGGACCTGCATAATTCTTTGCTTTCTGGCGACTGATCCCTGTCATATTAGACCAATTTGCATATGTACGAAATAATGAGACTAAGCCCACACAATCAACTCTCTTGGTTCTCGCCAATAGATCATTATGAGTGTCTTATGGAAACCCCACAATCCACAATTTGACAGACTAGTGATGATCCAACCTACTCGAGGACTTCTTCGCCATCATTTGACATGTATGATTTGGCTTCCCTGAGGCGAGGGCCATTAAAGAGGGAGAACTGACCCCCCCTCAAGGGATTTCGAAGCTATTCTGCAAGGTACAGCACGATTAACACTGAACAATAGCTCGTCTCAGAAGTTCTGCTTGTACTATACTGTTTCTTCGTCCTTCTCCGGTAGTTGAACAGACTCCTTAATTCCCTTGCTGTAATTCACAGAATTGGTAGATATCCAGTGAGTTCTTCTTGGTATAACGGCGCGTTCCTGAAAAACACTAATCTCCTAGTTAGCGAGATCCAGCGTTCGATTCTTGAAAAGGGTATAACTGATCCCTATTTGATCTTGAAATACACGAGCCTTGCGTGTGCCGCACTGCAATTTTGCAACAGTACGCGACTCAAAACGCGACTTAAATTTGTCTTGAGAACTGCAAATAGTCTGTGAGTTCTGTCTAGCTATATCCCTTCTGGAGTGGTAATATTGGTAGTGATGCCGGTTTTTACGGCATCGATGGTGTCGACATTCATAACTACATTCATAAATGGGAGCAAGAATCTTCCTGGGCAATTTCAAATTCATTGGAGTTCACTGACTCACTGAATTGATATAGCGTTTTCAACTTTTCTCAAGGACACATACAGAGTGCAGAGCACCTAGAAGATCGTAAGTTGCTGATGCAATAAGATGCAGCATATTCCATATTAACTCAAAATGATCTAGTCTTTGCATCAAAGTTTCGACTATCTACTCTCCCATAGCTATGCTGGTTTACGAGAGCAGGAAAGATTCCTATTCAATCAACCGACCTACAAGCACTCTCACTCCGTCAGGGAGTGATTCTTATGCCGATTCATTAAATTCCTCTTGGGACTCTTCTTTGCAACTTCATGTTGGCACACCTACGAGTTCAATTACTCGACGTCCGTCTTTCGACGAGACCGTCAAGATGGAAGATTTATCTTTCCATGACTACAATAACCTCCCAGATAGATACGGAAGCTCAAATGGCAATGCATTCTGCGCTATGTCAGCCATGACACAAGACATGCTTACCGGCTTCCAAGAGCCTAGCACTTTCTTTAGTATGGATGACGGAAAGACATTGGCCGATGCAAATCCTTCAATCGCTTTCGATACTAGTTTTCAAGGCTACGCACCTGCTATCTTTGGATCATTTGAAACACATTGTCCTTCAAGTGACATCCCATCGCTTATGGACGATTTGTATTCACCAACTTCAACGTCTGAATCTTCAGGAGCCATGGATTATGTGGATCCGGCACAAACAACATTGATCGATACTTTTGCCGATTTTCAGTCCTCTCCAATCGGCTCACTCACACCTATCAGATTTGGAACACCCTCATCAGATTTCAACACTCAGAGATCTTACAACAATTCTCCCGCAGGGACTTCTACCACAGGATATCTCGCTCCACCAACAAATTACCAAGACCTCAGACAAGAGTCAATCTCTCCTATACGACAGCAACAGTTCCGAAGACCGTACTTTGACAGCCTTCAAAGCGCAGCCGCTCTGCAAAGAATCCAAGCCGCCACTCCAACAAAAGCAACAACCCGTAGGAAGATAAAGCGAGAAACAGTACCAATACGAGTGCAAAACAGAAACAAGTTACCTTGCCTCCACCCCGGATGTAACAGAAAATTTCAACGACAGGAACACCTCAAGCGACATGAACACACACACGACCAGCTTGCTCCCAAACACAAATGTCCCTTCTGCGTGAAAGAATTTGGGCGTACAGATAATCTGAAATCACACATCGATCTCCACAGGAAGCGCGATAGGAAGGCGGCTCGAACTGAATGGCACGCAGATGCCGATAAAGTATGGGAGTCAATGAGCAAAAAGAGTCGCAAGCATGAAGACTCGGAAGCAAAATCCGCCTCGACCAGGACTAGGTTGAGTGCTTATTGATATCAGTATTAGGAAGCCTTGTATCAACTGGAGAGAAATTCATTACTTACAGCTTTGAGATGAGAGAGCGGCAAATATTGTTAATTCAATCTGAGAAAATATGGTTGGAGGGTTGTAGATGAAACAACAAAGTACAGGGGAGATTTCGTCAAAAAGGCATTTACTTTCATTATTACCAACCGTGTTCTGGTTGATTGGCACATTTATACTTATTTATTATGGAAAATTAGAGGGGAAGCATTTGGAAAATTATACAAGAGATACAAGAGACGAAACTTTCGTATTCCAGCTTTCAGATGTATTGGTATTGGTTGGCTGTATTGTATTGGATTGTATTGTACTTGGCTGGACTTATTTTGGGCATTGGAGCTTGGGAAAGAGTTGATATTGTCGTATATTCACTTAATATTGAATTTTATCTAAACAATTAAATACTTGGTTTCAGTATTCAGGAAGCACGCAGTGTGAGGCAAAAAATTTCAGTGCCAATATGTATGTACATCATTTTCTCCCTAAAGAATGCAGACAATGTAAGATTACAAACAATCTAGCAAAAAGTGAAGCTACCTACGCGATGGAATCTCACGATGCCGTCATCTCCAAAAGCATGCACTCCATACTATACTGCAGGTACGACGGCTACACACATTTGCATACACATAACGTGCCTTCTCGTGCATTAGTCCGCGTCAATCTTCATTCATTTCATTTATTTTTGATATCTCAGACTATGTATAGCCGTTATCGTATGTCAAATTGACCCCTTGCGTGGACAGAGGTCTCAAGCTCGCGAGAGATCACGAGTATATTGATCGCGTCCGTGTAGACCGATATATCTTATAGATAGATCAAGAGGCTTGAAGCCATAGTTTTGTAATTTCCTGGGCGAGAGACATATCAGAATCAGGTCGTTATTTTTTGTGCAACTTTGGGTTGCTATATTATCCGTTATATTACTTTTATGTGTACACTGACCCCAAGCCTGCTTATACGTGAGAAAGTCAAGTATGCCGAGTCCAAGCGGAATTTGGCTCTAGACCTCGCGTCCAATGCTGGCATAGCATCACTTGTTATGCTTTCTGATTGGACTGTGAACATAAAAGGGAGTTCTGATAAGAAGCTTCAATGACTGTGGTCTTCTCAGATCCTTGATGACTTCAATTCGAAGTCTGCATCCAAAGCACATAAAAGGCTAATCTCAACCAACTATGGAAGTTACTTTCATGATTGAATGAAGCCAAAGAATGCACTGGTATCATATACGGAACAACGACACTGAATTGTAGAATACACAAATTCCCCCCTCCTTCAAATAACTATATTCCCGCCTTCTTTGCTGCTTTGTCTGCATCAAAAAGAGCAGCGTAGGTTTCGACTTTTTCAGAGAGTAGTGCACCGCCAGGCGTATTTAAGTTTTTGAATCCTTCTATCACACCAGCTCTATCATTCACATTCTTCTCTTGGCTCCACTTGAACCTTCCCGACATGGAAGTAATTTCAATTTCTATCCCAATGATGTTCTTGGTGAGCAATTCAATATAACGCTCAGGTGCATCCTCCACTTTCCACGGATGTGTTCCTGCGGTCTTGCCATAACCCATTACCGACGTCTCCATATGCTCCGAGAGATCAGATATCTGCTTTGCCAGAAATGCTCCGGATTCAGCAGACTTTGAATCGTAGTAAACCTTTGCTTTACCGTAAAGCTCCACAGCCTCGTAATCCCAGGTAGGAACTACTTTTCCAGTATCAGGTTTGGTCTGCTTGTAGAACTTAGGTGTAACATAGTGATGGACTGGTCCGTTGAACAATACAAGAACGTCATTCTCGAGGACGTTTGATGCTGGTGAATTGTCGTCTGCTGTGCAACTTTCTATGATGGCTTTTGCCTGAGGATTTTGTCGCGCAATGTGACCGCGAAGTCTACCAAGACCACTCGTATTGCCATCAAACTCCGCATCGACTATCCAAGGAACGTGACTGTTTTGAAGAAATGGATGCGTCTCCGATTTGATTGCAGTTGTTAAAATACCAAGAGGATTCTGACGGATGAAGTCACGTAAAACCTCTGGTCGTTTCTCGGCGTTGCAATTTACAAGATGCATGATGTTGATGAAGATGTAGACTCCTTAATACAGTGAATGGGTAAGGATTTTATAGATCTGTTGTCTCCAGCTTGTCTCGATAACAATGAATCATAGGCATGACTCTGAATTGACTACCGACCGGTATACGAGTATCGATGCTCCCACTGTTGCCCCACATCCACATATGAGTCAACCAGTTACTCGATAGACTTTGGTCAGCATGTCAATCGAAAGGCGTGACCTTCACCATGAGATAAATTCAGAAAAGTAACATCGAGAGTGAGAATGCCAACTCATTCAGTCCAGCTGCGGACACCCGCTGTAAGACGGTGATACAAGAGCTGACTATTACTAAATGGTAGACGAAATTTCGTTTAAGATTTCGTGGTGATTGTTAACCTTATAGTGGCACTGATTGAACATTGAAGAGCCACAGCCAGTCTTAGCAAATTTTGACTACCACAGGCTCATATTTGTATCGGATTCTTTCACGTTTCGTATCATTTGGTCTGAATAACAACATCTACTTGTGTTATCGACGTTGATGGATATCGGGAATTGGGAGTGATGATAAGTGCTTGTCCAACCATCGTTAAAGCAGCCATCCACCCCCAAACTTCTTTATTGGTGATGGTTGAGGTTGCCTACTGACCTCCGAGCATAGCCACAGTAACAATGGAATCTTCATCAGCATACCACTTCTCCAAGATAGATTGCTTCTGCCGTTTATGATTTAAGTCATTGCAAACATTCATCATCAAACCTCCAAACGATGGGCTGATTATTGGAAAGGTGGGGATGTAAGGTTATCGCTTGTCAATTTGATCGCATTGGACTTTTCTCCAGGGATTTAGGTTGTTGACAGCAATGTTTCCATGTCAAACACAGAGCTTTACAGTTAATTCCAAAGGCTTAATCAGTCAACTGCAGACAATATGGATTCTCTCCCTGCATATCATGAGCTCAACAAAGATGTTGCAACTCTCGTCGCTCCGTACCTTAACACTTCCGATCTCTACTTTGGCTGCCTCGTCAATTCTCACTTCAATGAGAAATTCGGCAATTATCTTTGGGCCAACCCATTTCGAGACCTAGCCCAAAGAAAAGAACCTTGTGGTGAGGGTTCAATCTGATCAGTTTCACAGACTTGTCCACTAACTAGATCCAGGAGTTGTCACCAGATTCTTCTTAGCCTCTACAAAACATGATCTCAAGACGCTCAAGAGAGTTCGAATTCTTGACCTGCGTGCACTACACGAGATCAGACGTGACAGAGCTCAAACTAAAGATTGCGTCGTATTCGGGCCCAATCTGAAACCTGAGTGGTTCTTTAAATGTTTCAAGAATTTTCCAGATCTCAATTGCGTCCTTCTCGCACCAACATGCTCCGAAGACTACGGCGTAACTACTGTCCCTGACTTGCCAGATGATTATGATGGGGCGCCGCAGCCAGAATTCTTGAGCGCGGCTGGTTGCAATACGTTCAACTACTCCTTGATTCTTAGCCAAAATATAACCAAGAATCTGATATATCTCGACGCATCTGAGACTGCTCGCAGTACAAATTGGAGAGCCATGTTCACCGCACAAAATCTTCCAAAACTTAAGGTCTTGAAGCTACGAGGTCTAAGATTGACAGATACCATGTTACCTCCCATTGTGACCAACTCTAGAGGGCAGCTCTGGTCTTTAGACCTTCGTGATAATCTCCTGACTGACAATATAATCTACCCTCTGATCCGAAGCTGCTTTCTGGGACGATTGCCAAGCTACAAACATGGTCCTCTCCGTGCAACAGACGATAATCTGTTCGAAAACCCTCCAATTTACCGTGAAAGTAACGAAAGTAGCGATCTATCTCCGATTGCTACAACTACACTTCGCCCCGACAGTATTCATGACGTTGAAAGTTCTAAGCACGGTATCAATATTCTTGAGCGGAAAAATTATGCTGAAGATAACCTTTTACTGGTTACAGGCCTGACCCATCTCTACATATCAAACAACAAATTCACAGCTCTTGCACCTAAAATCCTCCTCGCCAGCACTAATGTAAGCTCGATTGATTCACCAAGTTCTTCGTATCCAATTTTTATTTTAATTCCTCGCATCCAATGTCGATTTTCATGCTTCGGAATATGTACACTTCTTACTTCTCCATACAGAATCAACAATTCTTTCACATTTCCCCCTAAATCCTTTCGCTAACAGGCAACACTAACTCCCAACACCTGCAGTCTCTACAAGTCCTAGACATCGGATCAACCCGCCCCAACCCACCCATCGGAGCCGGATCCGGTATCGACACCCACACACAAGAACACAGCATCCCCTATCTCTCTCGCAAATGGCAGCCCCGTCTAGAAATCCTCCGTATCCACCACTCCATTGTAACACACCAACCACCCACCACCCAACCTTGCAATAAACACTCCCACACCCACTCCGACTCCGACAAAGCCACAACCACACCCCTCAAAATCACAAACCCAAACCAACCAACCCCCCCACAAGATCCCACTTCACCCACCTCCCCCACCTCCCCCTTCGACCCATCCAGCAACCCCCGTCTGCACACCCTAACCCTCACCTCCCTCCCACGCAGATCAAATCCAAGCACCTCGGTCTTCCCGTCCCTGCAACACTTCATCCGCCGTCTCTCAGTACAGGAACTTACCATCCAAAACACCCAGAAGAATCTCACAAGCAGACGCGCTCCGCTGCTGTACCCCGGACTTCGAGAACTCATCCTAGAGTTTCTACCCGAGGTGCGATATGCATCTGCGCAAGGTGGTGGTGGTGGTGCTTCGATCACGGATGATCAGGACGCGGATGTGTATTACAAGGAATTGGCTCGCGATTTTTCATTTTTAAATCAGGAGGATAATCGCGCGGCGACGGGGAAAGAGAAGGGGGAAAAAGAGAATGAAGGAGTACATGATGTTGATATTGTGGAGGAGCTGAGGAAGTGGAGAAAGAGTGGGACTTTGCGTTGGGGTGGGAAGTTGACGATTAAGCTGTTTTAGATGAATGCGAGTGGGTTTTGATTTGGAATTTTGCGGTGGGTTCAGCTGGCTTGATTTGGCTGGTATATCAAAATCTCAATTTTCATCCTTGGATTACATTTTTAAGTATTACCCAAACAAGATGCTTTGAACACCAGGCCTCCAAAGCTCAATGCAAGTTTTCCATTTTGGAATTCAATTTTAAACCTCAGATATATACTCCATACCATGACTAACAATAGGTATACAAACATACGTACAACTCCTCGCCAATCCAATGGCAGTGCCAGTTCCAGGACCACCTACCCCAATTACCATGCATTTATCCCAAACTGGAATCAACAAACTTCTCATTGAATCGTCAAACTAATATCCAAACAACATCCCATCTCACCCTCCACAACCAAGATTGGAAGTGTCATTCACTGGTAATTTGTGACTGGTAAGTTTACCAGCTTGATGTTGGATATTGATATTCGTCCCTGGTCCTGAGAAATATAAACTTCTTTTTGGTTGCAATGATCCCCAGAAAAGCCGCTAAATTTATCTCCCATTATTCCGAGAAACAATGTAATTCCAGATGAACTATCATCGCTTATCGTACGTGTGACTTTTTCGACCGTAGCACCTCACCTATCCCAGAACAATGTTCCACCCCTTGCTATCACAAATTTCCCGCCAATCCCCATCCTCATAGGTCCCCTTATCTGCCCTGCTCCAAACTTCTTGCACCACTTCCCAAGCACGCAAAATATTCTGCATTCCCTGTCTCCTCTCTGTTCCCTCAAAAGCCTTCGTTGCTAATTCCCTATCCGTTTCCGATTCAGCCTCGCATGCTGCTACGAATAATGGCCATAATAACGCAGACATTGGTGCATCATCGCATAGCTCCGCTAGTCCGACAACATTGGCACAAGCGATTAGTGAAAGATTTGTGTGTTTTTGAACTAAAGGATGAGACCTGGGGTGAGATTGAATGGTACGATAGAGATATATGAACGCGGAGTGACGATATGCTTCGGCATTGTTAAGGATGGTTTGCATACGTGCTTCCACGGGAGTAATATCATACTTCGAAGAAGCATCGTCTTCTTCATTGTTCTCCCTGGGTGAGGAAGGTCCTTTAGCTACAAAACTTGGCTTCCAGTTCGTAAGAGCCATCTCAATAGCCTGAGATGTACTTTCTAATTCGGTCCGCAAAACACTTGCTTTACTCAATTGATTACCTTCAATGGCAGCTTGAAGAGAAGATTTGTAAGATAGCAGGTGTGCAAGTCGATGAATGATTGGCCATAATTCTGTCGAAAGACCGAGGAGTGTGTCAACCGAATCTAATGGTGAATTTTTGTTTGCCTCACTGGGTGAAAACGGTAAAGGAAATGGGCTTGCTGTAGGCTGCGAAGTAGTAGTTGGAGGTGTTCCTAAAGAAAGAGCTGTAATGACATCGTAAAATCGAAAGGCCTAGTTTTATTAGTTACAAGCCCGTATGATAACCAGCGATGAACATACCCGCTCGAGAAATAGGCTCGTCGGACTCGGTTCCTGATGTCTAGAATCCATAATCGTCATCGCTCCTTTCAGATGACCATGTACAATACTCGAGTTTCCGCGTTGTACGAGCTAACACATGATTAATTTGCGCCACAATAATTAATCTGGGAGTAATATGACTTACCACTTCGTAGTAAACGAGTAACATTATTGCGCCCAAAATTTCTTCTCTATTTGCCTGATCGTTTTGTTGAATGAGCTTTGCCAATCCTTGCAAAGCGCTGTTATGAAAATCCGAAGATTTCTCTTCATTTTCCACCCCCCTATATTCCATATGTGCACTACTCAATGCGAATATTGCATTCATCACTGGTGAACTGGCGTGAGACAATGGTAGAATAAGTTGACGAAATGGGTTGCCCGTATCTTCTTTGAATACAATGAGATGAGACAGAGTATTGCAGAAATGGTCCACGAGAGCCCTGCGGTTTCTTCTCTCTGCGAATTCTAGAAACACTGGTGAACTAAATTCGAGAAGAGGAGATGCAACCGGAGAAGGAGCAATCATTGCTAAATCTGGATATTGACTTCGTGACCGAACCAGTGTGCTGCCAGAAGAGGAATTGACATACGGATCGTCTCGTATTATTTCTTCGACTTCGTTATCATTATCATAAAAGCTTCCCCAAGTAAAGCCCGACTGCTCAGAAGTTGCAGATAGTGGATATTCCGTCGTTTCCTCCCAAGTTTTTGGCGCATCTTCCGCACTTTTGTCTGTAATTATGCTAAGCCCTTGCGAGTATTGTCGCGGCCATCGTTCGCGATCGGAGCCTGGGGAGCCATATTCGAGCGAGAGGGCAGATTCCGCATAGGACGCCCTTCTTCGTTTTCGCGGCTTTACTGCTTCATATGCGCATTGCAGACCTCGTTCTGTACACCTATTGCATTGCGGACGTTCTTCGTTGCACTTCTTTTTCTGTGGTTGTTGTTAAAGACTTGCATGGGTTCATTGATGGTCAGATTCCGTACCTTTTCCTTACTGTGTCACAATTAGCACAACGCAAATCAATCAAAATCAAACACAAAATGAGGCAACTCACCAATGTATACATCCTTTTATAACAATCAATATTAGCCATGATCATCCGAAAGAGTGAATCGACACTTACCAGCTCTCGATCTTTTCTTAGGAACTTTCGGGGGTGCCTTTTTGGTATACAGAAGCATACTAGCGAGATGTGCAGAGCATAAAGTACAGCCAAATATATACTTTTCGAATATTCCACCTAAAACCCTCGTTCTATGTTACAAAAATTGAGATCAAAAGGCCGAGCTGGAGGGATTGAGTAAAATAATCTCGAAATAATGTTGGAAGTCTTCTTGCGCGCGAATGGTTGCACTACATCTGACAGAAAGTTACCAAAAAAGATTTCCAGTGCTGCAGGTGACAGACAGGCCACTGACATAGCTGGGGAGGATCAGCGAGTGGGAAACAGCGTGCGGGGTAAAGGCCCTTGCTGGTGTCTCTTGGATCCTTGCGATGCTTCGTCGGGACCTCTTCCTCTTCCTTCAAGAAGCATCGGGCCTAGTACCCTAAAGAGGTATCGGGATTTGATGATGAGTATTGGATACGAGATTCAAAGTTTTGAAGTGGAGATTCGATCACGGCCGGCGCGTTGGTATTTGTATGAATTGGGTGATCAGACGATAGAATTTCATTTGTATCATGCATATGCCATACAGATATCCTGGTTAATGCATCGGTCTCGGAGAAACTTTTGGTGATTCACCAAGTGCCTAGGTGGATATGATTGGTGATTGGTATGATGGCCTGGGTGTGTTCAGCTGGTGATGAGTTGCCATTGGCCCTTCTCCCTATTATATACAGTCCATAATACTCGGGACTCATTCATTCACAGGGGGTTTTGCAATTGAACGGCGGTGACGCTGGTCACAGAGACCTAATATCCTCGGTTATCATATTAGGTGGGTGCTCGAGCTCTGTCACTGTGTGATTGACTCAATGATATATGATGGGTTTAAGGGCGAGGGAAGGCGTCTGAGAGTATGGAGAATCAGGGGCACCATTCCAACACTCCAAGTCTCATCCATCTTCGATTCGATGAGCTGGCTACTGGGTGTAACCTAAGCAAGTCTCGAAGAGTCGAGCCCAACAATCCAAGATCTTCATATGAGATTATCCCATCTACTCCATATCTATTTATCCACCGGTGGCCACCTTGCAAGTACCTGAAAGCGAGGTTGCACAGCAGAGAACACGATACTGATAGGTTCACAATTGAGTATACCCCGGTTTGGGGTAGGACAACAGATCCCCCGCGTTTTTGATATTGAGTCCGGAGCAAAGGGATCGCATCGGGATGATCGTGCTATCAGAAAAGTCAAAGATGATGGCACGGGCCGGGACTGTTGTACCGATACTCTAATATGTGTTTGCTTCCGTTCATTGGATCTCTGTTTTGTGTGGAAGCCGATCAAATTGCATCTACATAGGAACTGATTGATAAGGGGAAGAAATGGCGAGCAATATCGCATATCATGAATTGGGAAAACCGTTTCCTTATAGTGCATAGATAGATAAATATACCCACTATCCAGATACTATAGACTGCACGGCACAGGCGTATCACATGGTCGGCGTCGCATGGGCTATAGATTGAGTGTGAATTGATTAATAAGAATTTACTGCTATTACTATTTCTCGGTACGTGTACAATGTGATGAAGTCTCAAGAACGAGTGTGCTATTAATTATCCTGGCGCTAATCGAGCATTGCTAGGTATCAGTTCGTAGATTGGAATTATTTGGAAGATTTATTACTGATGCATGGAAGGAAGGTATTTGATCTAGAAAAATGCCAATCATTCCATTTGGAAGATTGCCCGACCAAGAAGAAATTCGTAAGCATGAAACAATGTCAAATTCAAATTCGAAAGTTATTCCAAATTATCAGAGAAAATTCTAGATAATTCCAAATCAGTAGACATGCAACAAATGCAGAAATGTCGTTTGATCACAGGATTGTCACGAGATGGCGATATTGACTGGATAATCCCTATCCATTCAGTGTTTGGAGATGTGTACAATAATAATATAAGTACTAGGTAGGCAGTAGGCAGTAGGCAGTAGGCAGTAGGCACATGCTGGCAGCTGTACATTGTACCTTTCATCACTGTCGGACACTTTCAGAGCCCCTTCATCGTTCTCGTCTAACATACCTAGGTAGGTATTTGCAACAATAGAGGTGGCTCGAATCGCAATCCTACCAGCCCACTTCCAAATGTAGACATAGTCGTCCGCGAGCGAAGGAAACACAACGAATGTTTTTTTAGATGAAGGCGCGAACTCACTCTAAATTCTAGAAGGATTTGATGCTACCGGGCGGAGGCTTAAGACAATACATATAGGTAGAGTAAGGTTGTGGTTGTGGATATCTCTTTAATGTGGCTAGTACCTTGCGAGCTTGTATGATGAGAAGAGAAGTGAAAACTTGGAACAATTGAAAGTACAACCGGCATAAGAATGTGGAAGACAGCATCATAATTTCATAATTTCATAAGTTCATGATCACGGGACGCTAAGGTTTGGAATGATGTCAAGCCGCCACACAAAGTGGCTGAAAAGAGGGGCAAATAAAAAATGCGGGGACAGCCTTTTTTTTACCTGTAAAAGATTCTTGACTGCAGGCACCACGGCAACATCAAACAGATCATTTGCGGGTCCCTGCCAACTTTATCTCCCATTTACCCTTTCTATTCTTGTTAATTCGATTTGGACGTCGGGGTGACATTTTGTGCATCCCCAAATAGTATACGAGTCCACCACGAGAAGTGGGATACATCGTAATTTGCTGGAAGCTCCAGATGTACCAGTAGATCTTATTCACCAGTTTCATCATCTCTCACGAGAAGGGAGGGAAAATGTCATGTTGGGGGGTGACAGTTGGTAATATAAGTAGGATTGGAATGCAGGATTTCCTAGGTCACTCCAGCTTACATCAATGCATACCTAGTTTAACTGAAAGCTAACCTGATGTGGAGAGCTTCTTTGAGATCAGACCTTGATATCAGCAGTCCAATTCACTCCACCACGATTTGGTCGTTTGTTGCGCCATCTTCCCGGTAACTTTTACATCATTCAACGCGTTTGCTAGCCAATCAGCCAGCATTTCAACCCGTTATGAGACAACTCGACCAAGCTACAATAGAATGTCAAGCTTTCTGTGGGCAAGTTGTGGAGGCTGACGACATCGTTCATATCGAAATCTACCCCTCAATTACCTTGATTTAGCTTGTCAAATACTTGTCAAAGATGCTTTTGGACCAAGTACAATGATACAAATACTTCGCTATTGCCGCATTACTTTTGACTTTCCTCCCATATACTATTTACTTCTTGCTTAAGATACCCCTTAGTCCATAAACTTAACCATCGCACTTTTACATACATCAACAACCAGTTAAATACATACATACCATATCCTACAATCAGTAATCTTCCAAATCGCAATCATGGATAAGATCAAGGCACTCCTGTAAGATATTCTAACCTGCGACCAGCAATTTGACAAATGCTAACCTTCGGATAGTCACGGCACTACTCCGGAACACGAGAAGGAAGTTAAGGAAGAGAAGAAGGCCGAGAAAATTGAGCAAAAGGAGGAGAAGAAGGCTGAAAAGCATGGAGCTGCTCACTCAAACGGTGGCGAAGGAAGCCATCTCGCAAAGGGCCCCCACTCTGAAACCCACCCACCCGCAGTCACCGATGCCAGCCACGCATCCCATACCACCCACGCGAATCCTACATCAGCAGGTCTAAGCCATACATCAGGAGGACTTGCTCAGGACAACGTTGCTCACAGACCTAGAGACTCTGAATTTGGTTCAACTACCACTGGACCAAATACACATGCCCATGGCATCGATTCCGCAACTCGCACAAATGAAGCCGGGCTTACAGGACACAACACTAGAGATCCTCTCTCATCACACAATGCTGGTATTCCATCAAACACCACTTCTGGCTTGGGTGGTGTTACTAGCATTCCTTCAGGAAACGGTTTAGATACTCATGGTAGAGATAACATCGGTAGTCACGGAAATTCCCACCTTGGCAGAGATGCAGCCATTGGAAGTGGAGCAATTGGTGCTGCAGGGTTAGCTGAACATGAACACCGAAAGCATGAAAATCCTAGTCTTGGATCCCACCCAACTCATGGACATGCTGAGGGCTCTCACGGAATACACAACTCTGCTGCATTGAATGCCGCTGACCCAAGAGTCGATTCAGATTTGGATGGAAACCGTCTTCCGAACAAGACTGCATCTGGTTACGGTACCAAGGATGCTTACGGTACAGCCACAACTGGCTCTTCAGGACACCACTTAGGTCGTGATGCTGCCGCAATTGGAACCGCAGGAGCTGTTGGAGAGGGCGTTCGTCATCATAACAACCAACACAGCCAGGGTGGTCTTCTAGGAACTACTGGACCTCACACCACTGCGACTGCAAATCTTCTGGACCCTCATTTGAGTGGTTCCGGAGTTCGTACTGAAGATGCTCACACTCATCACGGACATGAATCTAGAAGTTTAGTTGAAGGTGGTGGCGCTGAAGAGGCTGACGGTGTACACGGTAGTAAGGGCACTTCTGCTGCTGCTGGCGTAATCCCAGTTGGAGATTATGAAGCTGGCCATGGCCATAACACCACTGCCGGACCACACACGTCCAACTTAGCCAACAAGGCAGACCCACGAGTAGATAGCGATCTCTCAAAGCAACAAAACCACCATTATGGGCGTGATGCTGCTGTAGCTGGAGCTGTTGGTGGAGCTGCATACGAAGCTAACAAGCATCATCATAACTCCGCTAACACTACTGCTGGTCCTCACTCTTCAAATATTGAGAATAAGGTTGACCCAAGAGTTGACAGTGATCGCTCAAGAGAGCAACATCACTATGGACGGGATGCTGCTCTTGCTGGTGGAGCCGGAACTGCCGCATATGAGGCTGACAAAAATCACCACAACACATCACATACTACCGCTGGCCCCCATTCCTCAAACCTTGAAAACAAGGTGGATCCAAGAGTCGATAGTGATCGCTCCAAGGAAGGTCACCACTACGGTAGAGATGCCGCCCTCGCAGGAGGGGCTGCGGGAACAGTTTACGAAGCCAACAAGCATCACAACAGTCATGGTCTTGATCAAAAGCCTGTGGGCAAAGATCTCGGGGATAAACTCCACGGCGCTGAGAGAAACCGTGGTGTCAACGGACCTACTGGATTCCCTCATGAGAGCGGACATTCGGTATTAGCTGGTCCGGTAGGATCTGGTGTTCCAGGAGCTCCTCGCGGAAATGTGCAAGTCCCTGACAACACCCACGGCTATAACCCAAACGCTGAGCACCCAGTTCATAATTCCACTGGCCCTGATCATATCTTCACTGCTCCAGTCATGGATGATCCTGCGGCCAATGCTGCTCTACGAGAGGGAAAGATTGACCAACATGAACATCGCCCCGGAGATGAAGGCGTTAGAGGAGTTGGACGTGATCACGGTGGTGATCACAGCTTCTCTACCGGTGGCGGACATGAGCACAGCAAGAGTAGAGGATTAGAGAATGAAATTCACTCTTCCCCATTGGGCAACACTTCAGGCTCTGATTTGAAGCACGATAATCTAGCTGGTCACAACACCACTTCTACCGGTACTACAGGCTTGAACCACGGTTCTGGACTTACCGGTCACAACACCGCATCTACCGGTACCACAGGCTTGAACCACGGTTCTGGACTCACCGGTCACAACACCGCATCTACCGGTACCACAGGCTTGAACCACGGTTCTGGACTCACCGGTCACAACACCACTTCTTCCGGTACCACAGGCTTGAACCACGGTTCTGGACTCACCGGTCACAACACCACTTCTTCCGGTACTACAGGCTTGAACCACGGTTCTGGACTCACTGGTCACAACACCGCATCTACTGGTACCACAGGTTTGAGCCATGGCTCCGGTCTTCACGGATCCGGTTTGACTGGTTACAGCACCGGTTCTTCAGGTAACAACGTTACTGGTTTGAAGCATGACATTGGTTTGACTGGAAACAACAACACTTCCACTGGCACTACAGGCTTAAGTCACGGTTCAGGTCTCACTGGACACAACACAGCCTCCTCTGGTCTCAACCATGACTCTGGCTTGACCGGATCAACCGGTGCTCATGGCCTCTCGGGCGAAAACAGATTGGGAGAGACTTCTGAGTTTGGAAGCACCAACAATCGAGTTTTGTAAATGAATTCGACAGGCAGGCGAGCAGTCGATTCAATGATATTATTCATGTGATTTATGATTATTATGATGATTTAATGGTTTCTTACATTTTCTTATGCGGGCTTAAGGCTTTCATGTATATTAGTTAGGTTTATTTATCTATGGAAGGGAATGGAATGAATTTGATGATATTTACAAAATCATGAACTTGCAAAATTAAACGTGATAAGTTGAAAGTGTTCATCGGAATTTGGTAGATAACGTGGCATCGAAAGATTCAAATTAGAGCGGGCGAATTCCTATCTAGAATCATGAAAGTAGTCCAAGTGTCTTTCATTCTTGGTGGCTTGAGACTAAAAGTTTAGCTAGTTTTCTCTATGGAACGAAACTTTTATACTAGTCGGTGATATCTAATAATGACGTCGTTTCTATGTAAACCTCAATGCTTTTCTCCTACCCCTTCTCTTCAAGTTAGGAATTTGGAATACTCCATACGCGTGAGATCTTACCTCCTTACTACATGTACCTGTCGATCACTTTGGCGATTACACGGGATTAATCTACTTTACACATTACCTCGATCGTCTACCAGTTCTCTTCTCCGTTATTTCCTTTCGTGTAGCTACCTATATACAGAGGATCTCTGATACCTATTTCATTTTTGATTTTGATCCGCATATATTTCCCGTTCATAGTATTGTATTAGTACACTGCAATTTTAATTCAGGCACGCACACCGTGCGAAGCAAAACTCGATCGCGTAGTTAAGCATGTTTAACCTGATATCCCATACGGGGGAAAATAACATGTATCATCATTCGTGCTATTTGATCTCCTCGCCATATCTATATCTCTTGCTGGTCGCGGGCCTGTGTATTCCGTTTCGATGGCCGGTTTATTGGTTATTTTCTGGGGCGCCGGTGTTGGAGGCGATTTTGCTGGCGGGGGGTGAGAGGGAGAGGGAGAGGGAGATAGAAAGAGAGGTTGGGGATCGCGGAGAGAAGGGGGAGGTGGATGGGAGTGCGAGGATTCTACGGCAGTTGCCTTTGTGGCCGTTGGCTACGACGCTGGATTTGATTTACTGTGTTTGTAGGACGAGTTGGCTTTTCTATTATTTGTTTGCGGCGGTGTGTTGGGGGTGTGTGCCTCTGGTGTGTCTTTTCCAATTTCCGGGCGCGGGAAAAATGTTGCGGAGACAGTTGAGGAGGGTGTTGTTGGTGAAACGGTTTGGGTTGCAGTTTATTGAGGATCGGGTGGGGGGTTTTGATATTCCGGGGTTGGAGATTGATACTGAGGTGGATGGGTTGATGGTGGTGAGGGGGATGACGTTGAGGGTGAGTGCGATGAGTTTGGTGGTTCATGGGGTGGAGGTGGGGTTGAAGATGGTGGTGGGGGAGGGGGAGGGGGAGGGGGAGGAGGAGGAGAAAATCGAAATCGGGATTGTGTGTGAAGAGGTGGTGGTGAGGTTGGGGAGGGGGATTGAAGTAGGTGATTGTTTTGTGAGTGTGAAGGGTGGGGAAGGAGAGTTGAGCTTCAAAGATGCGGAAGATGGGATTGCACGCAAGGGTGCTGATGAGAAAAGAAAGAATGAGGTATGGGAGGTGGATTCGAAAATGTTGAGAGCTGTTAAGGGGAACGAGGTTGTATTTGAGAACGGCACTGGGAACTTCAATGTCAGTCAAAATGAGAATAGAACGGTAAAACCTGATATGGTCGACGGATATGCACCAACAGATACAGATGTAAAAGAGGGCATCAAAGTCATCAAAACCATCACTCCAGACGACACCGAAGCAGCCAACGAACAGTACAACAAAACCATCGAGATGATCCGCTCCACAAACAGCATTGAAATCTGCCGTCAAAACGTCCAGCACCTCGTGCAATCAAAAATCGAAAGCAATCTCCACAGCACCTACCCCCACGAAACCGTCAACGCAAACAGCAATAACGATATCCGCGCAGCAATCTGTTCTCAACTGCACCGCCAACCATCCATCACGCACCCCCCATCCCGCTCCATCAAAGTCACCACGCTCCAAACCCTAGCACCGCCCCACATCCGCGCCATTCTGCACCGTCTCCCCATGCTCCTCCGCCTGCTCCTCAACCCACTCGCGCACTTCCACCCCGTGAAAATCTCCTCCCTCACAGCCACCGGATCCGGGAAATGGATCCAAGAGATCCTCTCCGCGAAAGTCTTCAAAAACACCAATATCTACACACCCCCCTCCTCACCCACCTCCCCCATCTTCTCATCCACATCTGCATCTCGCAGACCATCCGACCCCACCGAGGACGACGAGTCTGCCATTCCCAGAATCCAACAACGAATCAACGAGTGGCTGTTACCCGCCAATTTCGTGCTCCAACTGGGTTCCATCACCGGTCTTGCACAAGTTCCCTTCCTCTCCACATACGATATCCGCTGTTCGCTATCCACCAGCAACATACTGGTCTACCGCACTCTCCCCTCCGCCATCGCATTAAAACAAGTTGTGCGCCTCGGGGGCGCAGACGCTACATTTGCGATTCCGAGTTTTTTGCTGCCGCATCATGAACATATATTACCTGCTCGAGGTGGCTCACGTAAAGTAACAAGTAGAGAGGAAGGAAACGGAGATGGGAAAGCAAATCAATCTGCCGAAGAACAACGAGATGGTGGATCAAAAGATGAATGCGTAGTACGCATAGCAGCACATGCACAATTACCCATCGTAATGGATCAGGAGCTTTTAGATTGGGTGGCGAGTGTTGTGAAGGCGAGCAAGGTAGGAGAAGTGGAGAAGGAGAAACGGTGGATGGACGAGGAGATCCACGGATTTAGGGATTTGGTGGGCGTTGTGAAGGGAGGGGTGAGGGATGTATGTATTTCCATTTTCGATTCTTGTTCCTCTCACCCCTTTCTCTTGAAATTTTTATTTCGGCCCAGCTTCCCACATTCCACTTTCTTGCCCCGTTTTATCTTCTCGGTAACTAATCGAATCTCGTCATGAACCATAAGGCTCATAAAGGAATGAAGAAGACGCTTGTCAGCGCCACGGTTAACGATAAATGGATTGCCAAAATGGTAGGGAAGGTGACGAAGAAATTGGAAGAGGCGAAGGGAGATATTGGATATGCGGCTGATATCAAGGTGCCGCTGGGACCTTATAGATTAGGTGAGGAGGCTAGAGAGAGGGGAGAAGGAGATAAGATATTGCCTTGAAGGATGGAGGGAAGAAATGAGGTGTAAGACTATTGTAGTGAAAATGTAATATAATTTATATAGAATGCCTTCAGCTTGGTATACTGGGCAGTGAAAAAAAAAAGTAAGGGCTGAACATACGCCCGACATCTATCTAAATTCTAAAATGATGACAGCAGCCCCCGGAGCAAGCAACCATATATAAAACTGCGCAGATCGCTGCAAACAGGCCTTGGGGACGTGGCCTAGATCCACAAATTAACAGCGCTCTTTGAACCATCCAAATCAACTCGAAATGCCAAACTTTATAGAAACCATGATCGTACAAAGCTCTTTCAAATAAAATGCCCCATCACATCATACCACATCACAAACCTTCAGCATCTCTCCCCTCTCCTACGGCACTTGTACACCACTTCACCAGTCCCGCAATCTCATTCGAGACCGCCGATAACCTAGGAATATCATGACCACCCCCATGATTCCAAACCTTCTTCTTTCCCGCACAAAAGCTCGCCAAATTCAGACCCGCCAACCGACGGGGATCTTTCTGTCCATAAATATGAACGGTAGGGATCTGTATCTTCCATCCCTCAGGAACTTGCAATCCATATGGATTCTCCATGTTTACATTTTCCACATTCAAAATTGATGTTTTCTCCGCCTTTGTATTCCAATAGTCATCTCCAGGTTTAGCCGTTTCAACCGCGTTAGCAGTCGCGAACAGTTCTTTTACGGATTGCGTTTCCAAGTCTCGTGCAAAGGAAGGGATTTCGATACCCAGATCTTCGATGATGGGTAGCGGCATGCCTCCGCAGATGAAAATGGCACAGCTGAACGGTAAAGGAATATGCGGTCGTGTAACCTGGTGATCTAGCAAGAACCCCGCGACGAGCGCACATCCTTGCGAAAAACACATTACACCATCGTAAGGACCGTTTCTGTCAATGTGTTCTTGCAGGTAGGAGTAGGATTCGCGGATGGCGGAGGGATCGGAGGAGTGGTAGTAGGCGTAATATGGAGGGTTGAAGAAGAGCGATACACCGGCTGCGGGGGGAGATGTGTAGGGTCCATCGAGGAAATCGAATGTATATGAGGGGGGAAGAAGACGGCGGAATGTTGCTAGGAGGTATGCGTTAGAACACAGTTTCGTATGGTGCGGATTGTATTGTAGAATAGGAATTTGGGTGAAGATCCCTAGGGAGGAGAAGATATCATACCCGATTGAATAGAAAAGATCTCAGCACTTGTGCCTTTTCCATGTAAACATAGAAACCTCATATTGTCCAAAGGTTGGGATATTTCGCACACTCCTAATAGTTCAGATAGACGACACGAAGTAATATTGAATCTAGATATCCAAGATCGAAAAAAGGAAGGATATTAGTCTTATCTTATATATAATTATCCATTATGGCAAGGCAGACAAGATCCATTGAATCTCAATAGAAGACTTCGGTGCTCGGTGCCCGATCATCTAGTCACTGTAACACCACATCCCACATACTGACTGTGCTTGATGTGCTGTGCCGGCCATACCTGACGTGCTGTAGCGCGTTATCAGTAGAAGGATTCCTCCCCTGGATTATGTGGAAGAGTATGACGGATGCAATTACTTTTTTCCATTCGTTTGAATGACATCGTCTTCCCAATGGAGATTTCCATTACCTGAAGGGCCATTTCGGACGAGAGAAAGCTGTATGAAAGTATCAATTCGAGTATAAAATATTTGGTGGTTCAGTGCTGTACTCTCTCTGTAGAGCGTCGATAAGATTCCGGAGTTTGTTAGTGGAGCGATAGGATGGATGTCTGTGCTGAGCCGAAATCTTAGTGGTCGTCGCGTCGCAGCTCGAAACTAGTGCGGGTGCGGGTGCGGGTGCGGGTCAACAGAATCAACAAAACATAGATCTAGACGACATCTTCACAAAACCCCTCTGCTTCGCATCTCTCTAGAAAGTACGTTATGCCCGTATGTTCTTCCACTGGAAAAGCCACACAGTATCTCCTGATGTCCGAGAAACGCGTGGTTGAAGATTGCCACTTTGAGTGAAGGGCTATTTTTAATGATTTGGTATGGGCATCGGAGTCGCGGAGTCTTGTGTCATGGCCAGCTCTTGTTTAATTCAGAGAGTTTGTGTCTATGAATACCATTGTGGTTTACGAGAAGAGCTTGTACTGTGTGTTAGTTTGCCATACCATATGAATTCTTACTTAATGGCTGAATAGTTTCATTCTTCTGTTGTGATATCACTGAGTAGTGCTTTCTCATGAGGCTTCCATGACTTGGACATGGTTGTGTTGAAATTTTACATATATTACACTAGGTACCTAAAACATGGAAAGTTCCAATATCATACATAGATGATGAACTATGACGCTGCTCGAACAGTCAGTAAATTTCTTTTCTTGCCCCAAACTCCACAGAATCAATTTATCATGTCAAATCATAGACTACATACCTCCTAATATATCACTCTACAACCTCAACAGGCATCCTCATCCTGTCTATCTTGACAACTATACACTTCAATGCCCCCTTATACTCAACAAATAATATTACTACCAAGGCTTTCAATCGAATCGGCACCTCTATGCTTGCTTCCACTACTGCTGTAGATCCAAGGTGGCATGCAAACCATAAAAGACCGTAAACCATGAATCCTCGCTTGGATCAAGCACAAACTTCCCCTGGTACACTGATTCGGGACTTGGAGGAGAATCAAGTATGCTCCATCCTTAGTAATAACTTGCTCTAGTGTCCACTAGCGAGTGGCCACAGTCCCAATAAAATTCCCCCTCCTCCCAGTCCCAAAAAAGCTTGCCGCTGGCAAGTAATGCTCGGCGCTCCGACCGTAAAGTCGGCGTTGTAAGAACCAAATTTTGAAACGAATTTCTTTTGAATATTTCAATTCCATCGCTCCACGATCCACTTACGAGATACATATATTGTATATTCATTTCTATATCTGATGAGTTTAGATTGTCGATGAATGTTTCTAGCTCTGATAGATGAAGCGGTACTCGGGTCAAATTCATTGATCTGAGATTCGGCCATATATGACTGGTGAAAATTGTTCCCAGAGAAGGCATCGATTGATTTTGTGTCTCCATTTGGAAGAGCTCCGGCTCTATAGCGTGTTGCGATACATCGATGTGAACCTTTTCTAGAGCATTTGTGTTCACAATCGCAGAAAGATATTTAACCAGACCATCTAATTCCGTGAGTATCCACTGATCACTCCCATCTTCATAATCTTCTTCTCTGCAATAGAATGTGAACTTTTTTAGCCACTGTGTCGCAGCGGAAAGTTCTTGGAAGCCTTCAAATGAGGCCAAAGTTCTGTAATCGGTGGGGCAAATCATCTCAATACATATGTTTTCGAGTGACCTGCCAGCTTTGTGGATAGCAGCTGGAAGCCCAATAATTATCTGAGAGGATGGTGAACTCCAGCTTTTGTCGATTCGGAGTTCTACGCCATCGTCATCCCCAAAAAGTTTGCATTTAATCATATCGTCGATAAGTAAATCCTCATTTTCATGATAGTCAAGCAAGAATTTTGATTTTGAATAAAGTCTTGGATGAGGACGGTAATCATACTCATCATTACGGTCCTTGTCGCAAATGTGAAGTGCTGTTGCCCTTGGCATTCGAGCGATTGCAGTGCCAACACTCACCAGAAATACACCCTCTTCTGTTAGGGTTTTTTTCTTCTATAAGGAGATATTTATACCGCTCATAAGCTCTGCTCCAGAAGATTTCACGCAAGCTTATAGCAGTGTTACTTTCACCTGATCTATCCAATCGATACCGCTGATATAACTCCCGGCTCATTCTGGACTCTTTTCCCTCGCCTGCTGAAATGTGTTCAGTTAGCACGCTGTGTAGAGCACTATGCAAGTACTCAGACTTATGCCACTGGAAACGCTCAAAGCTATCCCCAATTAAGCGGTCCAAGCAACGAGCATTGACTCTTACAGTTCTAACTCCTTTGCCGATAGTAGGATGACGAGAGATCATATCAAGGCGCGCAAGGGATTGTGCACTCAATTCAACACGCACGGTAGGAAGAAGGAAGTGTGAGCTGATATTGCAAATTCTTCGGCATACTAATCGCATTTCCTGGATCGTTGTTACGCTTTCTTTGAATTCCTCATTCCATTGATCCCGATCGGTACGCAATCGAGAGCAACCGGTAGGACGAATCTCGGAGAGCTGTGGCTCTACAAGAAAGCCTAAAATCATCTCCAGTAACTCATCTGAAATCTTTAAAAGTCCTGGCTGTTGGACGCCCCTCCGGCGCGATAGCAAATCGTCAGATTTTGCGATAGAAGCATCTAGTGTGCTCACAATGCTTCTTCGCAGTTTATCCAAGGACGGAGAAGAATCATCCTCGGCACCTGCTTGCTCTCCGCCACTTTCTCCAAGATTCGAACTGGCATGGAATATTGGTTCTCCTTTTGGCTCCGACCCAAAATCGGATGAAGCATCTTGCAAGGACCTGTCCAAATCCAGTTCCAGCTGGCTCTCCATTGAGTCATCCATCTCAAGACTGGGAATCTTTCAACTGGCGATTGAAGAAATCGAGGAAACAAGTATCGTTCGTTAACAAACGTCTTCGTTTCGAGACGTGTTTATCAAGTTGCGCGATGATGGCGAGCTGTCTTTTCGAAATGGTGTATTGAGAAGGTTTAAAGATAGCTACAGTGATAAGACAGGTACAGTGGCCTGTAATTGACAATTTTCCTGGTAGGACTATCTCTGAAGGAAGAAGTATATGTGAATTGGATATGCGTTCCTCACTGTTGTCGATCAAATAGACAATAGATTACAAAAGTTGGAATAAATGTAATGGTATGGAAGTAATATTCAGTATGCTCTTGAACCAAGAAATGAGAAAGGACAATCTTTTCTTAAATATGAAAAAAAATAAGACAAGAAGCTAAGCATCGAGCTACACAAATGGTCTCCTTTCAGAGCGAGGAAGTCATCACTACCCACTTTAACACGTGCTCCTCCTCCTAACCATACCCTAACCCTTAAATCGTCACTTCCAAATTCTGCAATCTGGCTTGAACATTGTAGTTTCCTTGGGCCTATGCAATTTTGAATATTCGAATACGTTACCCTAAGATTTTCGCTTGCTATCCAAATTCCTTTTACAAATTATTCCAACTCACTTTTTGTTCTAATCCCCTCCCCTATTTTTGGATATCCACTCGATGCGTCAACCGACGACATATCTGTCCGACTCACAAAGAGCGATTTTATCTCAATGACCCCCGCAGTATGCAAAACGAATAGAATGACAGGACTTGAGGAAGTCAATTCACGATGACTAGCAAATGACTCCTCACTCGAAATTCGTTCTGAACGAAACGGATTATTCGACACAACTTGATAGGATGCGTCACGACTACGAGGAAAATGACTCCTCACGGAAAGTTTCATTGTGAACAAAACAATTTGATTTCCCCCGAGTACTCTTCTTTTCCCTCCTTCCCTACCCTCTTGACAAACTCTCAATATTTACAGAAAACTAATAACAGATATCCTAACACCCTTCTCGACACAAGAGCCTTTGATCCTCGCGTACAAACTCAGTGCTCATCATGTCGACATCCTCTAGCCAAACCCCAATAGACATAAATCTCAACCACCTCGAAGGTAACTGCCTCCGTCACTCGGAACTTCCAGATCCCGCTGAAGCCATCGTCGCCGCTCGCTTCAACCACGGTTTCGACCCAGACTTACCCATTGTACCCCTATGCATGCACTCCCAAGACAAGGATGTGAACAAGACGCCAACGGAACTCAGTAGAGATGAAACCAGCAAGGGATCCAGCTTTCATTCCGAGGGGCTAGAATGGAATAAAGATGGGGAGGTAAGTTGGGCGGTACTCTCGAGATGGTGCCCAGCGTGCAGCAAAGAGTACGAGGAAGATTTAAATAAGGGTGATTCGCGCATATTGTACATCACGGCTATGCTGCGTCGACACTGGATAATGGTAGGAGATGAGAATAGAACCCCACGGGGAGGAGCGGAAGCAATGGAAGTAATCAGACAAGCCAGAACGAGATTTGACAGCCAAGACTACGATGAATTGCGAATCTACAATATTGCCACAAAAGAGCTTTCATACATGAACAAATTGGAGAGAGCGCTAGGCGAACACATGACGGTAAACAAGGAGTCCATGGTGAGAGCACAAGAAAGAATTGTAGCATTTGTTTCGGAACAACAATCGAAGATCGATCCTGGCCAAGCTTACGAGTCGGCCTACGCCTCGAATAGAGATCCGGAAAACTACCTGATGTACGGCCCAGCTAACTACCCGGCTTCCAACCCCCCTTCGACGCCAACCTCCGTATCCGCAGAAAAATGCCCCTCAACGTCCATCGGAGAACGGCGGTCACAACCCAGCAGCCTCCATAGCAGTCGTAATTCTCACAGATCTACGCTCGAAGAGAGACAGTCCAGAGAAGCTCGCAGCAATAAGAGTGGAAAAGCTCACAGTCAACCCATGCGTGCCCAAAGCGCATCCGAAATAACTCGCAGCCATAGCAGTACGAGAGCTTGCCGTCGATTTGAATCTGACCTCGAGCATTGCAGAGCATCTCGTACCAAGAGTAGCGTACGATCTTTTAGTCCATCCAACTTTTAACCCTATCGACCTGTAAGATAGCCCCAGGTCCACGGCCCAGCATTTGGATAATAAGGTAAGAGGGCGGAGAACTTTGATTAATATTGGGACTTTGTGTTCTTATGTGCCTGGTTTTTAATTTTCCTTAAGCATACTTTTGTTTTGCGAGATGGGTCAAGCGTTGGGACAAATGTCTTTTGCATCATGATGGCTTTTGGAAACCAATCTCATGTGTACATTTGCTATACAATCTGAGGGTGGTTTAAAGAAAGATTAAACCTGCTCTCATCTCCTTCCTACATAGAGTTAGCTTGAAGATTACAACAGAAACGCCTTTGGTGGAACTTACAATAAGAAATGCGATCCTATTATCCCTGCCAACACCAGGCCCAAAAACCCAGATTCCAAACTTATTCCATCGGAAGTTGATACAGTTGAGGGTACGGAGCCTAAGCTCGAACTGCTTGTCGAATTCCCAGTCGAGGTTGATGTTGCGTTATCTATACTCATGGTAAAAATGGGGGTTGTAGGGCAATTCGCATCGTACAACGATGGGCTTGCAGCGTTTGTGCCAGTTTGATTATTGTATGCCAATCTAATGAGCGTATCCTCTGCGGCATCATATTTTGGCCATCCGTAGTTCGTCAAGCCATTTTCAGGATTCTTGGCGAACGCAGCCCATGCGCCACGCATGTATTTTCCGATTGCTATCTGTTCGGTTGTCTCGGGAGGATTGGCGAGGTTTGTATCGAAAAGAAGGGGTATTTCCGCGGCATGCCATGCACCAGCATCGGGAACAATCATCGTGTTGGGAAAGGAACCAAAGTAGCGATAACGCCATGTGTTAACATTGGCTTGGGTTGAGTAATTTGCGCGGTAACCACTTGGGCAAGTGAACCCGATTAAATTGATAAGTTGCGCAGCTACATCGGATGTGCTGATTCCTTGAAGCGCATTTGTGGTGACGAATAGAACGGCTTCATCATCATTGCTTCCAATTAACAGGGGCTTGCTTGTAAAGTTACCGGCTAAGGAGCGTTCAGTGTAGTTGGAGAACACGACGATCTCATCTACGGTAGGCAGGAAGCTTCCCAATATACCAAGAGATCCAGGGAAATCGGTGGTCGCAGAAACCCCGCTGAGAATTTCCGTTGTATTTTTGGTACGCATACAACTAGTAACATTACTGGCGGATGCACCGCCACATCCCAAAGCTTCGCTCACATTATACCAGGCTGTGGCGACAGATCCAGCTGTACTTGGCATACCCCAACTCTGAGCTGTGCCAGACTCTTGAATGAAACCAGCAACAATGGGGTCTTGCACCCAAGCATAGTTGTAGAAATCCACCGATGCTGAACCGGCACTTTGTCCGAACAGAGTGATACGAGATGCATCACCACCAAAGTTTTCAATGTTATCACGAACCCACTCGACGGCCAATCTTTGATCTAGCAGTCCGACATTCGCAGGACTGTCAGGGCTTCCAGAAAACCCAAAAATATTCAGTCGGTAACTAGTTCTCAATCAGCATAATTCAAAATTGCGAGAAGCTTGAGGCTTACTTAAAGGTTACCACAATCACATCCTCTTGTTCCACAATGTACTGTCCATTGTATGCCGGGGTAGCGGAAGTTCCACTACTAAACGATCCTCCGTAAATCCACATTAATACAGCCTTCTTCACATCGCCGGTTTGTGGCTTCGTCCACACGTTCAAGGTCAGGCAATCCTCGCTTTGCGCGGTCAAGTCTCCAAGTAGGTTCACTATTCCCAATCCTGTTGAAGTAATATCTGATTGCGCGACGACGGTAGCATTATAAGTGGAAGTTTGGGCGGGACATGTGTAGCCCTGTCGTTGTATTAGCAACTGTCAAAAGCCTTTAGAAAGTTTTACTTACAAAGTTGGTACCATTGATAGTTGTAGTACCATTGTATGCAACTGGCGCAGCAAATCTCAAGTCCCCGATAGGTGGTTTTGCAAACGGAATACCTAGGTACTCGGAAACTTGCGAGTTATTCAGACTAGGATGTCCATTAACTGGTCCACTGCTTGTCTGAACAGTTTGTCCTACGGTCCAATTCGATTGACGGCTCTCCAAAAGAGCGGAGGCATTTGCAGATACTGGAATGGCAGAGATCGATAATATTGAAAGCTTCATATTGAAATAAAGAAGGAATCAAGGAAAGAGTGAGAGATGGTTATACAAACGGAGAGGATGAGAGGAGAGAACAGTAGACAAATCGCAAATCTTGAAAAGGAAAGGCCATCTTATAAGAAAATGAGCGCGATAGTAAGGATGATGTTTACCTGTATTTAGAATTCGACTACTACTGTCTACCTTTCGGAAGGGAGTTAGAGGCTACTCAAATCTAGGCAAAGGAGCCATCATGTTCAGCATCTACGAGTAATGGCGGTATTATGGTGCATCGTATTGCGGCTTCCAAGTTCCCTGCGTGCTATGCCGAGACTCCATCTGCATGACGGTTCTAAGTAAATTGAATGGCATATTTCGTTCTTTGGTTCAGATGGATGGTATCGGATGTGATTGGGTGGCATTTGGATGGAGTGCTCCAACGCTAGTCACGTGTCTCGCTTGCACATCAGACACCTTGGTTACTTTTTTATATGTTTTAAAGTGCGTGTGTGGGTGTCAGAAACCTTGGTTGCTTCTCGATGTCTTTTCTACTGCATTTGCTGCCAATCTCTGTGTTACCCGCAAATTGATATCGAAGCATGCCGTCATCATTGTTAAAAATACTTCTTTATTGAGTTTCTATCGATTTTACTTTGCACGAGTAAATAGTAAATGCGGTCTCGTGCTTTAACCATCACCCGTGCGCCAAGAAAATCAAGTCCGTCCCAGTCTAACAACAACTATAATCCATTTTCCAGTGCTCGAGCATTCGGAATGCCTCAAAGTTGTTCTCTCGTTTGTTCTCGTAACTTGCTTTTATCCCTCTGGTATACGAGACTTGTCTGAGCACCGAGCTATTCGTGGCTTGACACTAAGCAACCCCATCATCGACTAGCACACGGAAGGAAAGAGCCAGCCTGCGATAATGAGATCTTAAATTCAATCTCGATTGCGGGGGTAGCTCTCCTTTCAAAGTTTCGATGGCTGTTAATTGACATCTATGACTTTGAGATGCCCCGATATAACAATGTGCCGAGCGATAGTCAACTGATACTCGGTACCGGTAAGTTGGTTATCGATGTTAATCAGGATCTTATATGCCATCTCGCAAAGCAAGTGCTTAATTGTCCAGAGACATGAGAATGATATAAAGAACGTCTATGTCGCGACAGACTGATTTTTCTTTGGTCCTCATCACATGATATACAACAGAACGCTTCGATAAGTCCGGTCGCAAAAGAAAGAGAAAAACAAAAAGGAAAAATAATTCACAGTCCCGGGGTTTCCTTGATCAATATATAATTCATCATTTCGGCAGCGTGCGATGATCCAACTTCCCGTAACACAAGATCCGCGAAGCAACTTTATCCGAGAATTTTCTCAGCCGGCAAATTCAACTCTGATACTGTCAACATTACTATTGATCCATCTCACACCGCAAGTCACAGCCCCAATAGCCATCATCACAGAATCGGGATTCGCACATGCACTTCGATTCAGGAACAAATTATTCACGGGACAGTCATTTGGCAGATTCTCGAACCGAGTCATTCTACTCTTCAGCTGATTGCGATGTTCACCCAAGAGCTCAACTCCCCTTCACTCGTACCTCACCCGTACATTCGACATGTAGCATCCTACAGAATCCACCAAATTACCTGGTTAATCCCTTGAACAACGAAAATCTGTTGATACCATCCCCTCGCACACACTCTCTCTTGAGCTTCAATACTCCATCTAGACTGATCACCGTCCTTCCCGACTTATTTGACTGACTCCTAGATTCTCAGCTCTCAGCTTGTATTTCTCTCATGCATATCCCTCCCATCTATACCCATCTTTCCCACATGCATCTTTCCCACATGCATCTTTCCCACATGCATCTTTCCCACATTCATCCCATCCCATCCCTCCCATCCACATCCATCTCATCCCCATCCACATCCTTCCTATTTAGTACTCTCCCATCTCCATTCCCTCATCCATATACCCTCCATTTATACACATCCCCCATAACTACAACTACAACCTCAACCCCATCCCCAACACCAACCCTCAAATCTAGCCCTCAAACCCACCACTCGCCCCCAACGAAAAAGTCCCCATTCCAAAATTCCAAAGTTCCATCCATCCATCCAGCACACAAAAGCCACCCAAGAACTTCCCTTCCTCTATCAAGAAAATGCCACACACACACAACTGAGCTAACAGACTCAAAAAGACCCAAAGACCAAATACCAGAATACCAACAAAACAACCAAGGCTCCTCTATCACGATTCACGAGTAAGATGCTATTCGAACATAACATTCACATATTATTTTTATAAGACTCATTCACCAGATGCTTCGATCCTCACATCTGGCGATGCGTTTCGTAAAGTCAGGTTAAATATTCATTCATCCCTGAGGATGGTAAACAAAATGAAAGCAGTGCCACAACTATACCGGGTTTACCTTCACAGCATTGTACAAACCAATTTACAGCCATCTTAATTCTCTCTTCATCCTATGCACCAGCCCCAAGCCGAAACTTCCATTCCTCAATTTCGAAATCTCTTCTCTCCCCATTCTTCCTATTCCCTTCACTCTCCAAATCACACCCCGCCACACGTTTCACTGACCCAGGAATCCTCGACTCAGATTTCTCCCCCTTTCCCCACTAACAGCATCCAATCTCACAGCGACCAACACACATTCCCACTCCGCCTTTCCATTGACTAGAGCCTGTCCTCCCACTCCCACTCCCATCCTCGCTCCTTGCCCAGCACCCCCATGATTTTGAACCCTCAGCCTCCACTGCCCCGATTTCACAATCCAGCTTTCATCTTTCATTGCTCCTGGACCTACATCCATACTTGCCGGAAACGCACTCCCACCCTCCATTCTCCTCTTTTTGCTACTTCCTTGACCACCCACACTAGAATTCTCATCTGTAGCCCCATTCAAATCAACCACCTTCCCATCACACACCACCCCACAATCTTCTCCAACAACCGCCCTAACCATCTCCTCACTCAGTCCGCTCTTGCCCGGACTCGCTGGCTCGCTGCTCGCGCCACCATTTTTCATCAATAATCCCAAGGGTTGTTTAGCTGGCAAATTAAGTTTCGTAGCAACAACCTCCAACAATCTACCCATCCGTATTTTTGTTTCCCCAAAGAACTCCAAGCGCATGGTATCCCAGTGAAGCAGTGCAGCCGAATCACCTATTTCGAGGATGAGCTCGGAAGGCGATAAATCGGCAAAAGGACGTTGGTAGTGCACGTAACCTACACATGATGTTGAGGATGGTTGAGGGGAGGTGAGGGGTTCCGGAGAGGGAGCAGTAGATGGGGAGATATTTGCTGTGATAGAGAGGCCAGATTGTCTGATATCTGCGAGTCGAATTATGATTTCTGATTTTTTGCGTAGTAGATTATAGGAAATAGAATGAGGAATCAATTTTTGTTCAAGACCTTTAAGATGGAAATATCGACAATCTCGTAAGAGTTCAGCACGATGTTCTGGACTACGGATTTCGAGTGGGTAACCACGGAGAAGATGAAGAAGTTCGGAAAATGTCTTTGAAGAGCGGTTGGGTACTGATGGAGGGAGGATAGATGGCGGTCGAAGAAGACCTTCCCTACTTAGCCCCGGAAATACCTCGGTAGGGGAGCTGAAGAAGATGGTGAAGCTTAGGGAGAAGTAGTTTGGACTGTTTCCGGGATCAGAAAATAACTCGCGAGGAATCTGGAATTCTCGATCTCCGACTGTTATGAAGATATTTTCTTCATATAGCTGAGAGATCAACCTTGGTACTGTCTGCTGTTAACACGAATCACCCAGAAATGGGGAGAGAAAGACAAACATGAATAGAATTGAGCATCAGCAAACAATTTAACAAAGTGACTTGCATTCCTTGGCGCAACATGATATCCTTGCAAGTGAAGTGATATATCTTTGAACGTGATGGGATCTCGATCGATGTAAAGGGTCCTGATAGCTGTATTTGGATCTTCTCCTTTCTCTTCCGCTTGTCTCAATTGACATTGAAAATACTGGGAAAAGTATGAGGGTGCTCTAGGTTTCTTAGCTGGTGTTCTCATTCTGAAATTTCTTATCCATCCAGAATCTTATTCTCAGCAAGAAAGAAGGAAGAATACATACCATCTGAACTCAAACTAGCACCACTCAACCGAAAAAGTTCCGTCCCGATTTGAATTGGGAAAACCTTTTCATGGGGTAGATGGTTTGGAATATCCGTATTCCAATCTCTTGCCTCTGGATTTCTCAGTATTCCAGGAGGGTCTGCCATTCTCGAGGCGCCCGATGGACCTGAAGCACCCGGCGGTGTACCTCTTGCAAGATTCATCTCCGCGACGCCTTGCGCCATCGTGGCTCTCTGATCCATACTTTCAATCTAGTTATCCCAGCTCCTACTTTACCAAACCTTCAGGCCTACCAATTCCAAAAGTACACCTGCACCGTGTTTCCTCGCAGAAACAATTGTTGAAAAGTAGCACGTGATCAGAGTGCAGGGAAAGAGATTCCTTGGGCCAAGATAATCCGTGAATGTAATCAGTAGATGCACGCTTGACGCGTAATTTCAATTGATGAAACGTGGTTTATCTTTGAATTGCAACAACAGATCGTCTCGTTTTAGAAAGCGGATATGTTCGGTGAGTTGATCCTGCCCGGTGGCTTGAGAAAATGGAATTGAAGCTCAACTCGGAGATAAAGCTGAGACGCTAGCCTGGACCAGAAAATTCCTGATGACATATCACATGACTCACAAATGGCGTATAATTGTCTCATCATCTTTCAAGGTTTCACTGCATCATGGAACGAGATCTAGGAGCATTTAAGGCGGCATTTTCGACGAACAGCTTGTCAGTTTTAGATGTCATGTCTCAATGTGCAAAGACTTTCAAGGCTGAGTGTTTAAGTAATTGCATAAAATTGCTTGAATTGCCCATTCCATTCATAATTTCTCCTCGCCTATCAGTCTATGGTTCTAATCTGACACAACCTCATCCATCTAAAGAAAATGTGAATGCCAATATAGCAAGCACATTATATAGCAAATATATCATACAAATTCGTTATCATTTTGCCAATCCATGCATCAATTACAAGCAAAAATATTCGGGTATAGTATGTTTGACTCCCGACCCTGTAATAAAAAGAAATCTAGCCACGTCCAGTCTGTATTCTGCTACATCGTGCTCTACCTCTACTCTTCTTCATCTTCAACATTCGGTCGACTACCACCTGTAGTTCCACTTCTTGCTCGGCTTGCTGGTGCGCTACCGACTAAAGTTCGACCAGGAGCAGCTTGTGATGTGTTGCTAGCACTCGAGTTGGAAGCTACACCGGCAGATTGTTGTCCTGCTGAATATGATGGATATAGTGATGTCGACGATGGTATACCAGCCCCATCGGGTCCAATTTGGCTTCTGTTCGAAGCAACGGATGCGTTACGTCCGAGTTGACCAGATGGGTTTGCAGGGAATGGTGCATATTTTTGATAACCACTTCCACTACCATATGAAGAGTTGTACTCAGTAGAAGTTGAAGCCCCTTCATTCATGAAAGAATTTCCATAAGTTCCTGATCCTGAAGGCTCGTCTATTGTAACGCTAAAACCAGGAGATGATTGGAATGCATTCGGTGGTAAATGCTCTCCAGGCTTTCGTCTACCTCGGGTGCTTGCTCGTTTCATCAGAGATGTCCTTGAATTGCCGTATTGGTGGTCGAAGGTATTTTCTCCCAAGGTCGACATATCATCGTTGTCGTTGTAACTGTTACTATGTGCAAAGTCTAAACCAGGGCGTCTTGCATTCAAATGTTCCGCGGCCTCCTCCTCTGCATCTATTGGACCAAGATCTGGATTTGTATTTTTCAGAGGTTTCGTGGGTATGAGGCGCTTTGCATCTTTGGTGGTTGACGACTTATCCCGTGCTTCGGCGGCCCACTCATCTGTTACAGAGACAGAGTAGTTGGGGTTGGCAGGTCCACCGAGAGCATCTCCACCACCTCCAGGAGCGTTGATTGGAATCTTACGTAAGGCCAAAACAAGAGCACACATGAATTTGGAGCGACGAGCAGCGCGAACTGTTTCGTTATGCCAATTAGATTTATGTCTGATTTCGACCTTGAGTTGAAGCTTATCCATGTTTCCAATGCCCACAGCCTCCAATACAATGTCTGATTGGAAGTCACGAGCATTGTCTGGATGCCGAACAAAATTTTCCATTTCTGTGCGTAGTAGTTCAATATCCTCGAGAGTCGTATCAAATGAAATGTACATGTCAAGTTGTTCTTTCATTGCCTTGCTACGAGTGATGTTCTCGATCCAAAGGTTGTTAAGGACAATGTTAGGTACCTGCACCATCTTCATGTTGTCGATGCGTTTGAAAATGGTGAAAAGTAAGGAGATTTGTTCCACAACAAGGTATTCAGAACTGATATCGACGCGATCACCGACATCGTATGGATGTTTGACGAAAAGGAAGATACAAGAACCAAGGAACTCCTGAGTAGTTGCAGCGAAGACGAAGGATAGAGACAAGAGAGTTGTGCCGGCAGTTGTCAATGTGGCGAGGAAACCAGTATCTTGGAAAGCAACTATTCAAATGATTAGAGAGTGACCCTGCGTTTGAAATTTTGAGCTTGAAACTTACTGTATGCGAAAATGACAATAATGAGAACGATAATGAGTAAGACCTGATCAAGAACACCGATGGCCTGTCCAACGTCTCTCATGCTGTTTGCAATTGATTTTCGGTCGCGCCCAATATCCACTACTTTCATGATCATTTCATCAAGAGAAATATCGCCATTTCCATCGTTATCCAAAGCTTCAAAAATTTCCTCGGCTTCCATCTTGCGACCAGCGCCAAGGACCTCCTCAAGATCTTCTGCAGACAAAGAATCCCTCCCTTCAACGACAAAAGACATCCATAAACGTCTCGCCAATGCCTCGGAGGATTTGGTCTTCTCAAGTGCTTCAATAACGACAGAGTGAGCAGAATTGGGGTTGAAAACTTGCTTTCCAGTAATCTCAGATGCAATATTTCCAAAGACTGAGGTAACTTTGTCACCAAAACGGCCAATATCTCCGATAAGCTTCATTGGCGTATTTGAACCGGATCTGTTGTGTCCCAATAGCCTTCTGTTCGTCTTTTGAAGGACGGCTTCGATACTATCACTGATAATGTAGTCTTCCTCTGCAAACTCGGGGCAGTACATTGGAAACAGAGTTCGGGATGCTTCGTAGAGGAGACCAAGCAAGTGGATAAGGTGCTTTGATTCTTTGATTCGTCCATCAAAAGAGCGTCGGTGGTAATTGACACTGATCAATTGGACGATGAGTTTCTCTACCAAGAGTATGATTGTAGAAATCAAAGTAGGTACCAGAACGCGCTTCATCGTGTTAACCCATGGATCCAAGGTGCCATCATAGTCTATGCCATTTTTGTGCAGCTTATTCAATTCTTTCGTCGTCAAGGCCGTGAAAGTGACTAAGCTGGTAATAGCCCATCCAACCAAGGATAATGGAATTTCCAAAGCTCTCAAGATAGTTGCGTACTTCCGAACGCCAGTGCTGACAACTCCGCACAAAAACATGAAGATGTATGGGATGGCTTTAGAGCATAGCTTTGAAACCCAAATACTAAGCCAAATAATCTCAATCCAAGTGAAGAACAAGTATAATTTCATCTTTCCAATAGTTGCCGTCGGGTACAAGACAGCGAAAACAACGATTGGCGCGGCGAGTATTATACCAATTGGCGCAACGTAGAACATGTAACGAGTGACGACCGAGAAATTAATGATTGTGTTGTAAAATCTGCCCAAGCCATTGACAGAAACCTCCTCTCCGTTTGTTCCTCTTCTCGAGGGATGGACTTTCCTTCTGCCGGCAAATCCTTTTCTAAACATTCCTTGCTTCTCATCTTCTTTGCCAGAATCATTTTCCGAGCCTCCTGCCAGTATTCCTTCTCCAGGCTTTCGTGCGCCTGTGGAAGAGGCGCCAGTTCTCACTTGCGTGAGGGGAATATTTTCAGTCATATCGCCGCCGTCTATGGGCTGAAAGCCACGCCGCGAGAAATCTGTTGGTGATCGAGGAGAACGAAGTGACATTTAATCGAGAAGTAGGGTTTTCGTGTGGAGAAAGCAAGTACCAAATCGCAGATCTTTCTAGAGATCTGAGAGTGAATCAGTGGCGGGGGAGATAAGATTCCTTGTGGAATATTGCTCGTCTCCAATGTAAAAGTAAATTAGGAATAAAAATAATACTTTGCCCAAATTGTGCAAGTGGTGAATCTCCAGGGAGAATCTTAGCAAATCTCAATCGATTGATAGTCTGCGAAACGAATGTATGAAATCAATTGATTCAATGGACGGCCGTCATTCGTATAATAACTCGCGTCGAGCGTGTTCGAGGGGGTTTGATCAACAATCCGAAGAATAATCAATGAGGTAGATAGATAGAATTCTGCTAGCCCCAACGGAAGAAGTGGAACCAGCTATTTCGATCATGAAATGAAGGAAACAAAAAGTCCAAAAGGTTGAAAGGAAGAAAGAATGACGGTTGGGTTAAATCTATTAAAAGAATTGAAAGAAGTTTTCTTCGTAATAGAAATTCGATTCGTGTGGATCGATTTTTTTCTCTTTTATTCCGTTGCTTGAGGTAATGAAAGATCTAAGAGCAGAGACGGGACATACGAGGTAAAGATTGACAAGAAGAGAGGAGACAGGAAGAGTCCCTGTGGAGCAAGCTGAAGATGTAAATCTCGTCCCTTGAGCAGGAGAAAAATGGAGCCAAAAAAAGTCGAAAAGGTCGATAGGGTCGAAAGGGTCGAAAAGAGTCGATAAGTTATTATAAGTTTAAGTTCTCTCTACCTACCAGGTACCTAGCTACATACCATACCTGGGTAGCTAGGACCTAGATGCCATCTAATAAAATTCTTTGATTGATACTGGGTAACTGGGGTTCAAGTTCAACATTTTGTCTCAAGGCACGGAACATTATCAAGGGGGTAAGGACCGCAAGAGGGGGTCAAGAATGGTCAAGAATGGTCAAGAATGGTCAAGAATGGTCAAGAATGGTCGAGGATGCAAGGTACAGAGAGCCATCCATCGTGATCCATCATAATCCATGGTCATGATAGCCAATAGGCATTTCTAACGGGCCACCACGGCCACCCACCCAGCAATACGAAACACACCAAGCACCAAGAAAAAAGGCTTACTCGGTACAAAGATTCAACCTCTCATATGAAAGTTAGAGGAGACTAGCTTGCTCATCCATCTTCCGAAAAATCAATTTACAACACAAAGAGGAATTGGATCTGGGACAAAAAACGAAGAATGTGTAAAGAACTACTCAGGTAGGCAATCGGGTAAACTTCCTAATGGCCTTACGAGTTTCACGATGGGGGGGGGGGGGGTTAAGGGGCTTCCTTCGTAATATTGTACATTGGTCGCTTCGTATACGGGATATGCAATGATGATCATACTCAGTAAGTAAACTAGAAGAAGAGTTTTACATGTGTATGTGTTGCCTGATTGAAACATCTTCAAGATTGAGAGAGTACCGGTACGTACCAGTAGACTGCAGACTGTAGAAGAGTGATAAGTTCTGGACGTCTTCGTATGCGGTACTTCATCATCATACTTCCTCTGTTGTGACTCGTCATGATCTTGCTCCATTGTCCACGTATAACAAGTCCGAGTCCAAGTCCAGGTCTACTCCACGACGTACCGGTGTTCTACGATGTACAGTCAGTCTCCATTTTACTCAAATCGAACCTAAGAAAAACAAACTACTGAACAGTGCGGATCTCCAAATGTCCACAGTCGCTTCCCGACCAAATCATGAATTGGGCACGCCGATGATGTACATTTTTGGAAGGAAAATGTGGGAAGTGTGGTAGATCCGTCGACCATCTCAGCCACTACTTTGGAAGGATGACGATAGAGGCTCCAAAATTATCGTGATCTTTGGAGTTAATGCTCCATCCAGTATGTTGGATCGTGGAAAATTGAATGGAACACAACCCCAGAGTCAAGTGTAATATCTTGGAGTACGCATGTACATCAGTGGAAACATTTCTTCACATACAATGTACCAGACAGGAAAGAAGATCCAGATTGTGCTTCTATCATTTCAGAGAAAGTATGTATATTGCTACACATCCATATAATATAATTTACTCCATTAATATAACCTCCTTCAATCCCATGTACTTCATGTACTTTTAATATCTATGCATAATAATAATCTCATCAAATTAAGCCCACATGCAATCAATCTACCTAGGTGTGCTTCACAATAATAAATCCTTATCTTGAAAATCATCCTTCGAATCCAAGCCACCACTTGCACGACCTCTCAACATTGGATTCTTCGAAAGGTTGTCCCTTCTCGCCCATTTCGACCACAGACTTCCAACACTGTCCACTTAACTCACCACCAACTCATCAACCATTACGTTGAGGAAGGTACGTATCACCAACAACACTGTTCGGTGCCTCCTTCCTACCCGCACCAGGCTCATCCTCGCTATTTCGTTCTCGACCACATTGAACACATAAACAGTGACATACGATGAATCCACAACTTATCTGGTCTCAAAGTCCTACACAAGCAAAACCCCTGGCATAAAGTTTGTTTGCTGAGTGGATGGATGGATGCCATGCCATGCTTTACCGAAATAGAAAAAGATTTGTTCCAAAGGTTTATATCTAGTAAAATATTTCGTGTTTCTAATAATGTGGCCCACTCCTTTTCTCATTTTTGCAATGCCAAGCAATTCCGCTACGCTCCGCTCTACCTGTATTCTTATCGATAAACTCTCCACAAACCTTCCTTACAAAACCACCAAATCAACATTTGACAGCCAACAACAAGCGCAACCAAGATCCAAATTTCAGAATGAAGCTCACATGCGACCCAGCCCGGGCCAAAACCCTCATTTCAGCTTTCCAATCCGTATCTGAACGTGTCACCAACGCCGCAGGAAGCAGAAACGTATGTTCATTGCCCCTCACCTGCATGAAATCATCCATCCCTACACGTGCCTATTTATCTTTCGCATCCTTCCAACAGTTGTTCCTGTTCATCTTTCTATATCTGTCTTGTACCATCTACCCAGAAGTATACTGACGTAAAAGCTAGGTAAGACTAGTAGCAGTATCTAAACTCAAGCCAGCAACGGATATCCTCGCTCTTCATGAGCAGGCAAATGTCGAACATTTTGGAGAGAACTATGCACAGGAGTTGATGGAAAAGGCGGAGATTCTGCCGAGGAGTATTAAGTGGCATTTTATTGGGGGATTACAGAGCAGTACGTTTGATTTTCTATACATACTTCTGTGTTCTAAGTTGTATTCGTCTGAAAATCTCAGCGAGATGCTGAGGTCAGGATGAGTCACATGATAGTTTTGAGAGATAGATTTTGGATGCTTTTACGCCTGAGTAGGATTCGAGATCCTGTCTAGACTACTTCCAACAGGTTCACCGTCTCATATGTCGCCAAACCCTAACATTAACCTCACTATTAGATAAATGCAAACCTCTCGCCTCCACAGTCTTCAACCTCCACCTCGTTTCCTCCATCGATTCTCAAAAGAAGGCCTCCCAATTATCCCTCGGTCGCTCTCTTCTCCCTATGCCCGCCGACTCGAACTCAAAGCCCTCCCCCTTAAACATCCATATTCAACTCAATACTTCTGGTGAATCCTCGAAATCTGGTGTTTCACCTGGGAAAGACACTACCGAATTATGCAAATACGTCATTGAAGAATGTCCGTATTTGAAATTAGTGGGACTAATGACTATTGGCGCGATAGCTAGAAGTCATATGAAAGAAGGGGAGGAAAATGAGGATTTCAAAGTGTTGAGGGAGGAGAGAGATAGAGTTGAGAAGGAGTTAGGGATAGAGGGGTTGGAATTAAGCATGGGTATGAGTGAGGATTTTGAAGAGGTGCGTTTGTTTCCTTCCATACTTCTAATCTCCTTCTTCCCTTTTTCTGGGAGATTTTATTATGTTATTAGAGCTAATGATTCGATAGGCGATTCGACAAGGAAGCGGAGAAGTCAGAATCGGCAGTACGATATTTGGAGAAAGACCAGCGAAACAAGATTTCAAGGTCAAAGAGGGTGTTGAAGAAGAGAAACCTTAGTGGTATATTTTTTGTTCGAGAAAATGGTTCATTCTTACTCTCCTATATCTTATGAGTACAGAAAGACTCTTTGCGTTGTGCCTGTATTGCAAACACCAGCCTTATAATCGGTGGGGACCATGCGAGGATTGCGGTTTGTAGTTTGTCTGTCAAACTTAGACCTTGACTCAACAATTATACAATTGAACATAAATGCCAGCTACTACTTGCTTGATGTCAGTTGTAAAGCCACCTTAAGATAGATACTAATGATTGACATGAATCCGTCAACAATTTTCAACCTTAGTGATCCGTACAGAACATTATCACTGTAAACACAGAAGTAACGAGTAAAATCCATTCCATTTCATAAAGTCATAAACAAGCTACCTGGCGTGATCCATCCAATTGTTCCCAATCATCACGAGAAAAGCATTTATTCCACCCCCGATCAAATCATATCAAATCCCCAAACCCCGCAACCCCTCCAAAAATAAACTCATCAGTGCATGCACCCTTTACATCTCCTCCCCTCCTCCTCTAAATAGTACCGTATCTAACAACAACACTCCAAACATTCAAAACAAGCGAGTCCAGCACAGATTCCACAACACAATCCTCCATTTCCTCCACCGCCGCGCTGGTGTACGGGCACGCTTCCGGCAGCGTGCGAATCGGTGCTGCTGGTGCGTGAGAGGGTGCCGGTGGGGGTGGGTGACATGGACATGTTGGCGTGTTTGGACTTGAGGGGTTGTTAGTGTGGGTTTGGGTTTGGGTTTGGGTTTGGGTTTGGGTTTGGGTTTGGGGGTAGAGAGAGATGAGATGGGATGGGATGGGTGAGAGTGGGAATGGGAGATGAAGGAAATAAACGTACGGGTTCGCGCATTTCGAAATCTTGTCCCTTGGCGTTGTAGGCGGCGGGTGGTTGACGGATCATGGCTGGGTGGAGAGTAGTGCGGGGATTGGTATTTGTGGCGGCGACCATGTTTTTTAGATTTGTTTTGGGGGGGGGTTGGATGGATGGATTTGTTTAATCTTAATGCGATAGATATAATTTTATCTTATCAGAGACTTGATTTGACAATTGGATGTTGATAGATTTTTAGAGTAAAAGATTGAAGGGTTTGAGATGGTGGTTAAATGAGGAAGATTTATAGTAGTGTAAATATATAATCACAATCAAACCCGAGGATAGGATAAAAAATAATAATAACAATAGTAAGCAAACCACACAAGCAAATTCACTCACTCTTCGGATCCCAAGCACTCTTATACCTCCTCACCACACCACTGCACAACATCCCAGGCGCAGCAAACGGCGATCCGTAAAGGGTCATCCATACACCACCCAATCTAATTGTGATGTAAGCCTTTACGTGTGATACAAGCCAAACACGCTTGGCCGCTTGGCGCCCGCAGCGGTATCCTCGCTCGTGAAGAGCACGCATGGAAACTTTCGCATGCGACGGACGCTGCGATTCGCGCGAGTGCTGGGTGGCTTTGTTTATCGCATGCGTGTGGATGTTTGAATTATTTATTTTTTGCGCTGTGGGGACGTTTGCGTTTCTGTATTGGGAATTCGGATACGGGGATCTGGATGGCTGGCTGGGGTTGGGGTTGGGGTCATGGACCTTATAGTGGGTGCACAGATTTATGAGATGTGCTGCGGAATGGATTGAGAAGATTGAGTTTTGGTTTGATGCTGTTAAGATTTTTACAGAGAGTTTGTTTGTCGAGTTTTAAAATAGATACCTACCTATGTAAGGTCATATATGAGAAATCTATGGAGGAATCATCGGGGTTGGGAAATAAAAACTTCAATACTATACGAGGACCTTTCTTCTAGGTTATCTGACCTATCAGTCTATGTCCCCACTAGCATAGGTTAGTAAATCTATGCAATAGGATTTAGCGCGAGGTATTGAAACGGTTTGTGCAAGGAATCAGGTTACTTTGGATGAACTGCCACTGCGGGTGAACGAGGAGAAAGAATAAAGGGGTTTTGTTCGTTTGAGATATAGATATAGATACATACTGCATATATGTATCATTCAAGACCATCATTCACCCATCCTCTACTGCGTATCCTCGCAAACGCGGTGTCGGGCTACTACTTCGGACATGGAGAAAATGTCACTACATGGCGCTAGCTGCAAGGCTGAGTCGGATGTGTCGGTATGTCTACCTAGCATCGGTAGCCGAGAAAAGCGGGGCCTTGAAGGTTCTGGATTGGGTTCGATGTTTGGGTGGGTGGGAAAATGAGAAAAAGAAAGATTCTGTTTCTATTTTTATAAAAAGTCTGTCTTGCAAGATAGCGAACTTTGTATTCAAGTCTGAAAGAAAGAAAAACTCAAAGATTAAAGTTAGTCGAGAACTTTCTGTGGGGGTGTTAGCGAACTCCCTAATGCTCTCTCATTGCTCCACCGAAAATTCACAAGTCGTAAGTAATGTCATGCATTTTATCATGTCCACTATATATCGGCTTTCGATTTTCTATGATCTTTGGCTTGTTGGATCGTTCATCATCGTGCTACTTGTCTATTAGAGTTTTGCGCGAATTCGTGGATGCTCGTTAAGTTTTCTAATTATATTTTCCCCGTGCGATCGATTCGTTATATCCATCTGACGCAAAAATCAAGCTTCGTCCGTGTCGAGAACTATATAGTAACGTCTTTCTCAAAGTCAGATTGTCGCCATATGATCTAGAGGTAAGACTATCGAGCTTTTTATTTCCCATTGACTCCATACGATAAAGTTCCAATTGAGCTGTAAAGGCTATGGTTATCTCTCCCATACTTTCTACCTTTGGGAGCTCAGACTTTTCTAAATAGCCATGATCTACGGTCGTTGGATCCGGAGTTCGAATACTTGTAGTATAAGTTCCTATTATCGGGACCTCGGGCTCTAATCAACTATACCTCCCGGGCTTTCTGTAACTCGGTACATGGACATTCGAAGCTGAACTGATCCAAGAGAGATAACGATTGAGAGAGTGGTTGATTATTTTTCAATGAATGGTAGTCAAGGGGCGCTAGATTTCCCAAATGATACCGGATAGGAAAGGTTTAATCTTAGAAACCAGGTGAAACGACGAGGTCGTCGCAAAATGGCATTGGACAAGTACAAACAGGTAGGTAGGCAAGATACATGTTGACTGACTGTACGCGTTCAAAAATCTTAAATTATTACTAGGTAGCCCAACACTTAAACTCCACTCTCAAAATAATGAACACACTTAGCGATCGTTTCAAACAAACGCGGGGTAAAGAGAAAATTGACTGGATATCCATTGGCGAATTTGTGCAATAAGTTATAGCTGTTCGAGGACTTAGCATCGATGAATGCAGAACATTGTGACGAGTGTTCAAAGATTCTTCTGCTTAACTTTCAAAGAGGTTCAAAGACTAAAATAACCTTTAGACAAGTAGAAGTGCACGGGTGTACTTACAGTTATCTAAAGGTGAAGTTAAAATCCGTTGTACGCATTTAGAATCTTCAGATCGATGTGGATATACAGCACTCGATGGTCTCGGCTGAGAGATGGGATGAGGTTGAGAGACGACCGTACTGTAGCTAGAACTGCCAGAGCTTTACTGCCAATCTCACCGAGACTGGTGTACATTTTAGGCATGTAGATTCGATTGGATGGTTACATGACGATCAATCATATAACCCCATTTGATCTGACAGGGCTGATCTCTTGACAGTCATGAATATCACATGATTGAATTCTTAGATGATCTGAAGTTTTTATATACGGCAAATTACTCTCATGCCCCTTGGATTCTATATAGATCTTATATGAACTCTATAATAGAATCTACTTTATATGTATAAAGAAATCGAAGGAAAAGAAGTAATATACCTATAACATCTATCTTCCTCTTATAGAATCTACCCCCCGACCATAGATTCCAAGGGACATGAGAGTAATTATCCGTGTTGTATAAAGTGGCCTGTATGATTCAAAATCCCTATCATCTTTGATATGACAGGTGCCAAAGGAAAAAGGAGATTGAACGACATGATCTGACAGTGTATTGTGATCTGCCGGTTGTTTCACAACCCTAGTACATGTGCAACCGTTTTCAGAATCATCTTTTGCTTTCGTTGTCCTGTACTTCTGATTCTTCTCATTTTTTAAAATATCTATCATCATACAGCGTCAAATGGATGCCAATTCGCGCTCTCAGTGAGAGCTAGTTTACCAAAGTGTAAATCTGCCTAGTATCTTGTTTTGGGGAGAGGGAGGCAGTCTCTGGCACTGTTAGATGGACCATGGACTGACAACCCGGCTCAGATCCGGTTGTTCATATCTGACATCACGACTTTGAGCTCTCATCTTCGAAGCTCATTGGTTCGGAGAGACTGATGCTCATTCCAGATGTTGCTCGGAGAAGAGCACAATCCAACTGGAGAATTGGAAATAGTACACATGATGAGACTAATGAACTGGATGTTCAAGAATATGCAGGATGCAACAAGAACTTTTCACAATGGAGTATTCGAGAATGCCTCAAACAATCAAAAGCTTTAAGCTGTTCGAATAAAACGATGACTTTCTGCAGAGAACTTTGGCAGGCTGGTATTTCTCTTCAGCAGCAGCATAAATCGGTGGTATTGAAGTTGATGTAACAGATTTAAAAATAAACACCACAACTACTTAACACCTCGGATTTACCATCGATATCAAATTCCACGCAATAAAATTTGTACTTCGAATGGAGAGCTTCCCGCAGATCGTGGAGAGACATCTGTTCACGTGTGGCAGCCGAATAAATCGTAGTACTCACTGGGTAGTCTTTTAGATTACACCAGTCATAAACACCATTAGAGCGTTCATTTTGTGGCGCTAGGAAGTATCTTCCTATATGCCCTAAACCGAGTATCGAACACTCCCTCCCACGGGGCGTGTGATATCGTACCAGCCCATGATTTTGTGGCACATCTCGGCACCGATGAGCTACTAACCCCTTCGAACCTCCGATTTCACTCTGTCCTTGAAAGACAACATTTCAGGGATGTTTACCATCTTGGTGAGTTAAACATTTGTTCTTTAACACTTTCGATATCACGCCTTGATTCTTCAACAGTATCTGCACAATGAGTACCCATTCTTCATATATGCAGGTAAGCGACAGCCCTTGGTAACATATCCAGGGTAATCCTTGACAGGCGTTGTAAATTTTCAACGAAAACAGTATATACATAGGGTTAGACGCATTGCCGATGGTGTTTTGTGTTGTATTATAGCCTATCGTATTCCTGAATTCGTTCACTTCGGAGGCAAGCTTTTGCCAACGGATTTTTTCATCGTCGTTATTCTCCAACGGGTAATGGTGTAAGACTTCATGCATCTGATTAATTTGTGTAACGCGCCTATCGGCCCCGTACAACAGATTGGTACATGTTGAACCATTCTTTGAGTAAATGATAGGGAACTTTTGGCTGCATCACAGCCCTGTGCCACCCAATGTGTAACCGTAATGATCGTATAATTATAGATGAGAGATTATGGACTAAGGAAAAGAGGCAGCCCAATGAACCTCGTTTTCCAAAGACTTTTGGATATCAACCCAAGAATTCCGATCCGGTACCAGTTACCCATTCCTTTGTCAAAAGAACTATCTTTCGCTCAAGATCTAAAATAGTGCCGGTAGTTTGCAAAAATAATTTGCGCTATTAGATTTAAATCGCTTCAGTGAGTTTCACGTGATGATATTTTTCGCATACTGCGCGAGTTGCGGCTGCTGGGAAAATACTCCACCTCACTAGCATGGATTGTGCCATAGAAGGGGTTTTGGATGTTGAGCAACATGGAAATATATATATCATAGTGATCCCACCTAGTTATGGCATCTTTGTTTATTTCCATTCTTGAAAATAAATGTATACATATGTTTATTGATTTCCTTCACGAGCCTTGCTGAAACTCTATCAGTTCGCTCCTGTCCAAACAACGACACTTCTCGCGAAGTCAGAAATCGGAGATGGAGTTTAAATCGAGTAATCGTTACCTGTATCGGGTCCCAAGAATGACATGAGTCCTAGGATCTTATTTCCCGGAAAGGCTTCACCCCCTGGGGCAGGTGCGACACTCCCTGTCGTCTGACTGAGGATGTTGTCGAAACTCTCGAGATCGTTTCTTTAAAATTACTTTCCCTCACCCTTGGTTGCCTTTCCAACTCGATTTCAACTTTTCGATCTTCGTTTCAACGTGTTTCGATACTTGCAATCGACAACTAAATTTGGGTTTATCTTCGGCAGACAAGTGATGATCGGAGATGAAAGTTTCGAAAAGCTTCACGTCCGGTACTTGCAAACGAAGACGATAAACATGAAATCGAACACGACAGCGGCTTCCACCTTCAAACCTTCAGTCACTGGCTTCCCCTGAAAGTTAAGCGTTTGTCGTTCTACCGACCGAGCCCCGCCTTCTTAAGCTTCCAGAAGCTTAAGACTCATTTCCTGGTAGCGAGCATCGTCGTTATTCTCCACAAAGGTCTCACTTTGATCCTCACTAATGATTTTTCAATTTGGAATTCCCTAAAGGAGGGTCTACATACCTGGACAAATTACCAGTACTTGAAGGGAAACAGAGCGAATATCCAATTGAAAGGAGCAGAAATTATGACGCTGGTGGTTCATCAATCGAATCTTTACGGAAATCAGCTGGCTTTACATCTCAAACAAGATCGATCCACTGGAAGGCAGGTAAATCAACTGCACATGGCAATGGGATTGGCTGGCGCAGAATCTTGATTTAGGTGGCAGAAACCAATGAACCAAAGATGAAAAAGCCCGAAAAAATTGTAGATTGCAATATTGGGGTTTCAACCTGAGCATAATTGCTAGATTTGGCATCAAATCTGTGGCTGATGCCTATTATAGAATTTGGCGGGAAGAACATGAGTGTGAGAAGTATAACGGGCAGACTGGAGGAAAAGGAGCCAACCTTATTATTCAAAACAGCTGTGCCTTCCCTCGTTTCGACCTGAGCATTCGTCGATACGTTTACTATTGCTACATTAACCACCCGAGGAAGACAATTTCATACGAGAGGAATACCAACATCTACTCCCCGATACTATTCCAGCACCTGAGATCCTATCCCAAAAACGACTAGATCTGCATTCGTCTGTGGTTCTCAACTTGTCACACTTGATGCGTGCCTTATTCAATAGACGATCAGACTAAAAGAATACACGAGCAAAGATGTTTTCAAACTTGACCAACCAATGATGACGCGCACATTGCTATGCATCTCAGAACATCACACGAACAGCTATAGTGTATTATTGGGAGAAGGCGCATGTACGGCTTATTGCAATGTCTAGTAGTTGCACTGCCACAAAGCGTGGATTGGGAATCCTCCCTGCAAGGCTCTTACAAAGTCTTGTATAACTCCGTGGGATTGACGGGTAAATTCACGCCTCCGAGGCATTTGTTCATTTTTCATGAGTTGATATGGCAATTCTTGCGAATACTACTACAAGCCATGGTTTGATGCGGTATTTACCCTGTTTTTTACTCGGATACCTATTTGCCTTTGGCACATGGCTCCTTGCTATCTTGGGTGGTTTCCTAATTACAAAAGCTTCAAATCGGATGATTCTTGGAAATCATGTCTACATCGACGTGCCGCTAGCTCCCCACATAGCTCCCCGGCTTTAGCTACTGTGTCTATGGTAACCCGGCGTGCCGTTTTGGCAAAGCAAAGTCCAGCCATTCTTGGTGCTTGGGCTTCCCGAGCTTTTTCCCGAGACAAGATGCACGTCGTTAAGAGTGTCGGGCATACCTACTCAAAGTGCGTCTGCGTCAATGACCTCGATAGCCTCCGTTAAATTGGATGAACAGGGATTGAGGGTGCGAACTACGCGACGCTCTTCTCTCAAATTGTTTTTGGGTGGACAGAAATTGATTGAGATGCGACTATTAAATGTACTGACTCGGGGTTTCTGCATGATGGGCGCTTCTTGGAAATCTACAATCAACCCAAACTAGAGCAAGCTCCTGATATCAGGAAGTCGTACATACACCTGATCATCTGATCGTACGATGTAGGTTTTGCTAACCTCATGCATAATCGAAAGACGGTTCTGTTGAGCCACAGCCTACTTTGACTAGGTATCCCCTTCGAACAGCTAACTTCCAAATTGGATTCTATTTCATTTGTATGCTGCATTGATAATGCAGCTAATCTCAAATGGTCATCACGGATCAGGCCGAGTAAAAACAGTCCCTTTCTTCACCGCTCATGCTGCAGCTAGACACGGTTACATCGCCTCCGACCCAGCCCTAAAGCGATTGTTTAAGGCTCCAATGGCACGTACAACATACTTATACATTACATACAGGCCTTTTATGTTAGTATATAAGAAGTTAGCTTATCAAATAATGACTTCATTCCACACATGGATATGGCATCTCAGTCCACGCAACTCTCAAGTCGACCCCGCCAGGCCAAATGATTTAACGACTTCGATAATAGAGTCCTTCTATCCATCGCATCGTGAATTACGTCGCTCTTGAGGCTATGCTCGTTCTCGAGCGGATCAACGCCGTCGCGAGGTTTCAGAGAGCCCTCGGTCCCGATCATGAACACATCGGAGAATCGTCCGAATTTGACATGACTCCGGTTTCCCCCCCCCCACCTTGGGCATCTCGAGATGGGCTCACACGCTCAGAAAATACTTTCACTTGTGCATGAAACCGCTTTTTTGGGTCATTCGCAGTGGACAAAACCTACGGTACCTGTGCACAGGCAAAATTATCATTTTGAATTGGGAATTTCCCACGAGCTTCATCTTATGGCCAACTCGCACTTCACGTTACCATTCAAAGACCGGTATTCGTGCGCTCTTATTCTATAAATATTTCGTCCACAGCAGCTCATGCATTCTCTTGCATCGTTATTGGGCAATTCAAGGATATCGTTTTCCCCATTACTCTTGGCCGTTGAAGCGAAGTGCAAGTGTAGCATAATATATGCATGGAACAATTTTGTCTTGTAGAAAGTCACTTCCGAGTCTTTGGGCTGCGAATACCTTGAATTGCCAATCATTCCAACAGTTGAGGGTATTCATTTCAAGCTGCTCAAGGCACTGTATCTCAATTATCATGACGATCTAACATTAGCCAAAACTTGTTCCCATTTACGAAATGCTGTGTAACCACAATAGCAGAGAAAATCTGTGTGCATGAATCGAGCACCACTGGACGGGGCTTGTATAGGTTTCTTTCCGAAGCAAAATTTGGAGATGCGGCAGGCCCTGTCAAATCTCGGTCTGCTGATCGATACGGTGACATGGAAATCTGTGGCCGATTATCCTGCAGGAAAATGTTGCGATTAAATACACAAATATGCATGCGAGAGGCGAGGGCAGAATCGGCTTATTGGATGGATATGGGATGATGACTAGAATATTACGCGAACTCTACTACTGTCAAATTATGAGTATATTGAAGAAAAGATACTAACACTGGGCAAATGGGGGCTTCAAAAGTTAAACAGATCTTTAGCGTGGAAGACAGAGAGAGGGAAAGAAAAAATTGACGTTGTGGAATCCAAAATTTGATCCATTTTTTTGTGGTTCGAAATGTATAAGCCTACAAGGTTTAATATCCATCAAAGCTTGGAACAAATCAATGGAACTTATGGAACAAGTGGGACGAAATATAATCCTGGTGGAAACTCTGGCGAACACGCACTTTGAACTTCCATGCACATCATCTTTTTGAAATCTCAATCTTCTAATTTCAAATTCCAAGCACTTCGGGGTCTAAGCTTGCAAGTTTCAACATGGGCAAAAATGAAAGCTCACTTCGGATATATCCTCGTAAATTAAAAAGCGATTGTAGTCCACAATTTAGTAACGGATCCCCCGAATAGTTTCCACACATTTCTTACCTTTGTACATTCTGCATAGCCTTGGAAGTTACAACAAGTCCCATGTTCCACGAATCGCAGCTAGAACATTTCAGCGAATGTTCCTTCTCGCTTCAAGCTCCACTTCAGTTTTCTTATGCCCAACGTAGGAGTTATTCATCAAACTTTACGCAAAGAGGTAGGTCCCTAAATCTACCTAGTATGTGTGTGAAAATTTAGTCCCATGCTTGCAGGTAATTAACTAAGGAGTTGCTGTTCTAATTGAAGTCTTCCCAAGATCAGCAAAGGCTTCGCTGTACAGTTATTGCATGCTCTGCAATGATCTAATATCGTCCATCTTGTACTTTTTTCCCTCCTCCAGCTCCTGGACTTCTTCCCTCGGCTTCAGGTAAGGATGTTTCAACTTTCTCGCATTAATACCACGTTTAGCTATTCCTAGTCGCGCTACGATTCCAATTTTGTGACACGGGCCGTTGCGTTTAAGGGGTCATACAAGCTTCGTCATTATCATAAGCACATTTTGTTACGACGGAAACTTTATCTCCTACTGGTTACCACGTTCATGAAATTCCATGTACATAACCCCTGTCACAATTGACCCCACAAGGCCTTGCTAAGCTGCCGGGCTTTTCTCTTCTCCATTATCCCATGTTCATCCTACCCTGGACTGATCAGCAACAAGCACCATGTCACACCATCGTGGGTCCTCACCGCTTGCTAAAGTGTTATTACTGCATTACAGTACTGATAATCTCCAATCTGACGAAGAGCAAATAACAAGCTACACGACAACCGTTGAGCTCCGCATTTTGAAAACGGTTGTTAATTAGCATCCTTTCTAAAGCTCTTCTGTTACCCAACCCTCTGTCTGCAAGCTATATTTAATAGGTCTTCAACCGAGGATATCCCAACTATCAAGTTCTTAATTTGTCGAGGGCCCATGAGACTTTACTTCACTTCTACATATTTATATCAGATCTTCGTCTTCCATCCGACATTCTCATCACATTTCATCTCTTTTACCATTCACATTATACATACCAATTCAACCATTCACCATGGCGCCTAGTCGACTCACAGAAGATGATGAAGTAGCTGTCCCAGAGATTAGCTATGACATCAATCTCCCATACAATCATGTATCCGATGAATACGACCAGCGATCTAAATGTCGAACAGAATTCCCAAGCTACCTTCCATCGGTAAGTGATAGGCTTAATCCTATTTCATTAGCCAGCCACTAATAAACATGAAGTGGGAGGACGATGTCTGGTTCGACGAAGTTAAGCACTTCGAGTATCATGACCCAGCCCTACGAGCAAACAAGTCCAAGCCAAACCTTTTCAAGGGTGGTGTCAAAGCCAAGCACATTACGCCTAAGATGGGAACTATTTTGAGTGGTGTAAAAATGGAGGAGCTTTCTGACGCAGGCAAAGACGAACTTGCCCTTTTGATAACCGAGCGGAAGATTGTTGTTCTCCGAGAACAATCCGACTTTCTTCACGCCGGTCCCCAATTTCAACAAGATTTCATGTCCTATTTCGGACCATTGAGCATTCAGCCTGTATCTGGCGCTGTGAAGGGACACCCTCCTTTCCATGTCATTCATCGCGATCACAACGAAGAGGAAATCGCAAATTTCTTTCAGAAGAAATTGACTTCCACACTCTGGCATCACGATGTCAGCTATGAAAAACAGCCTCCTGGATATATCATGCTTGGCAGTAAGTTTTCACTCCTAGCTGCAGACTTCACCATTTCTAACACCCAGCCAGTATTAGCATGCCCCGATGTTGGTGGTGACACCGTATTTGCCGACACCGTGGAAGCCTACAAACGCCTCTCGCCCACCTTCCGCGCAATGATCCAGGACCTCAAGGCAAACCACTCATCGCAAAAGATGATTGGCTATGCCCGCGCCGCCCGAGGAACTGTCCGAACCGACCCGATCGATTCCCTGCACCCCATCGTTCGCGTACATCCCGTCTCGGGCGAGAAAGCGCTCTACCTCAACTCGGAATTCTTGACCGATATTGTCGGGCTCAAGGACGGCGAGAAGGAAATGCTGATGAAATTCTTGGTCGATCATGTTTGTATGGGCCACGACTTTCAGGCCAGAGTGGGGTGGGAAAAACACTCAGTGGTTATGTTTGATGGGCGAAGCACTCTACGTATGTTTTATCACTTCTGCTATCCCCTTTACAAACACATTCTAACAGAGAAGATAGACACTGCAACCGTAGACTACGACTCCCGTATTCAAGCGCGCCACCTTTTCCGCTTGGCAGCCATGACTGAAAAACCCATGTCGGTCGCTGAATGGGAAGCCCACCTACACGATGATAAATCCTCCGAAACATCAGAATCCTCGAATTCAAGCGTGAGCTCGGATTAAAGGATACGAGGATTTGAGATGAGATTAAAAGTTTTCTTGGATTTTTTGGGGGGATTTGCACATGTTTTTTTTTCTTTCTTTTTTTTTCTTCTTCGTTATACCAAGATTGGTTGATTGCAAGCACAGCGGGGATACCAATACCAATCGTTTTGATTTTTCTTTCCTATTCCTTCTCTTCGTTTATAGACTTTTAAGGTTTAGGATTTTTTGGGGGGAGTTTCGTCACTGTCATTTTTTTTCTTTTTCACGATGTATACCCGGGATGAAATATTCTCTTCTCGGATTCTTGGGGTTTGGGGTTCTTTCTTGATGATACGTTGGGATTTTTACGTACTGTTACTAGGGTTGCACTGTGTATGCGGGAAGATCTGGATTGGAGTTGTTCCAGTTACCTTTTAGGCTATATATCCACTACTGATTTTGTTCGTCAAAGATTTACTGTACCTCTCATCCGTTTGATACTTAAGCCATTCTCAAAATTAAATTCAAAATTTAGCAAAGTTATTCATGTTGTGTCTGCATAATGTTTTTTTCTCAACTTCATTCTCTGTAGATTGAAAAGATCCACGAGCTGGCTAGCTGTGTGTGTGTGTGTGTGTGTATGTGTGTGTGTGCTTGGAAAAGCAAGATGGAGTCCCATTTACGTATAGCACGAAGAGCATACTTAATGTTCGATTGTGTGATGGCAGGTATGCTCGGCTTACAAAAGAAGGAAAACACGTGCTACAGCATACATTTCAAGAGGGGAAAACGAAGAGAGGGGTGCAGCGCTTATTGCTTAGCCTCACGTCAGAGAATAACCAGGGCATGACGGACCACTTAGATGGCGTACCGTTGTATGTGGGGCTATGGTATCGAGGCTGATTCGATGGCGAGAGTGCGAGAATACAGTTTCCACGGAGATTTTACACATGTGTACATGGTATTTATGGGGGTCTTGAAGTTTGATGTTGAGGGGTCGATATAAATTCTTGGATGGGAGGTGGTGATTTTTGATTTGCAGACCAGAATCTATGCATATATATGTATGGGGGTTTGGTCGAATTGTTGGTAAGTAAGGGTCTTGTGATGGATTTTTTTGGTTCGAGATGGAATATTGAGGGCTTGCTTGACTGATTGCGAATGAATAAATGATGCTGGCAGTGAGTAAAAAGAGGAGGAAACGGAGTTGGTTCAATAGAATACGGAAGACACGGAGGCTTGCAAAGGGGAAGAAGAGGGGAAGTTTAGAGGTAGGACTACAACCTAGTATCTGTTACTATCTGCCATTCCATCATTAATCAAATGGATAATGAAGAAGGATGGACAGCATTCGCCAAAAGCTCTTCATCTAGCGCACCCAACTCGGCGACGGGGATTACGACCGATCGACAGGAAACCGGTTTAACATTTGGTTCAGCATGGAGTATTGGCATTAGATTAAGATGGCAAGCGATGTGATTGATGATGAATATGATAGCCTTACTACGGCCTCCAATCTAGATGCCTAGTACCACCCCAATATCGGCTTTAGAAGGTTCGATCACATGCATGTATATCTGCAGTCATGGATTATGATCGGTTTGCACGGTTTTGTTCAGCACAGTAGGCTTCCAGATTATGCACTCATGTTACTTTGTGCATTCCATGTGAGGCGGAGTCCGGTTCAAGTATATTTCTCTTGGCGTGATATGGCGTTTTGGGTCTGGGAGATAATGCACCTTCTACGACACGGTACGGACGGATATACTCGTAAATGCATGCATATATGTGTATGTAGGTATCTATATGTGACGCGAGCCAGCAGTGAGATAAAAATGAGACCCCTCGGGACATTGAGTCACCGTATTACCAACCATTCAGACAATTTGACTGTGCATACACTCGTTATTCTTCGGTGCTCTCCCTGTCGATTCGATGATTGGTACTGGTGGCAGTGAAAAGATTCTCACACCATGGATGATGAGTCTCAAATGATAGACGGCGATTGTACCCAGACTTCCAGCGGTAGGATCATTGTAATTTCAAAAAGGATGAGCGGGTGGA